GGCGGATTCTTTTAAACTGAGTCTCAGATAATCTTACAGATGAGACCATGTGGATGCATTGTAATTTAACACAATGGTTTAAAAAATGAAGTCTGGATGTGAAATCAATATTTTCGTTGTATAAATATGACTCAGACATCAATGATGAGCTACTTTCTATTGAAACGCAAAGCAATTTCCTTTTGAACCTGCACCCTTTCTTTGCTGTTGTTCGATGAATTCCTTTCTGCAAAATAGATGAGTATTGTCAAAACAGAGCAATCTGCCGCCAAGAGAAAAACAAGCTGTTTTTTCTTTCTTACTCAAGTTCTTGTCTAAACCTATGTAGCATATACATGCATACGTGTACCAAACAGCCGTGCATGCCCACAGAAACACACACACACAACCACCCACGCACACCCTTGGAAGAAGACACTCACACCTCGCCCCCGTAGAGTACATGTCAGTCCATCTGGGATCATTAACACTATGTTAATGAATATAGGGCTGGGGCATGTGAGGAAATGAGACGGAGAGCTGGATAGAGTTGGATGAGGAAGACCGAGGGTGGGAGGACGGAAGAGGATACTGGTATTCTCTCCCCACAAAAGCACTGTCTGAGGTATTTTGTGGGGTAAAAGACGGATAAAAGCGACGGAGGGACGGAAGCAACGGCACAGGAGGTGAAACCGAAGTAACAGATCATAAAATGAAAGGAAAAAAAGGAGACGATTGCAAGCAACGCAGTGTGAAAACAAAACAGGAGAATGTATAGTAATCGGAGAGAGCCCGTGCATGGGATGTTCAGGCCTGGGGCAAATGAGATCTTTATGGAAATAACCGAGCAGATGAACAGAAGGAAAGGGAAGGAAAGAAAGACAGCAGAGACGACAGATGATCCAAGAGAACAGGCAGGGAGATAGACTAGTAGATACAGAGTAACAAATGATGGCAGAGGCAATGTGAGCCGAATGGCATGGTTAAATATTTCACCGGGGCTTGTTTGTGCCTTTGTGTGCTGCTGTGTGTGATTGTTTGTGTGTACGTGGGCATGTGTGTGAGTCCCTCGCTGACTGAAAGGAGGACAGAGAGAGCGAACAAGTGGAGTGTGCCTGTTGACTGGGAGAGTTAATGATTCCTGTGGTCTGAATAAGCTGACAGTGTGGGTCCAGGAGGGAGGGAGATGGTTCATTTACCCCCTGCTGACACACACATGCAACATTGTTTAAGTTTGTGTTAGTCCTCAGCCTGTTTTTGGTTCCCTATGCACTGCACGTGCAAAAAAAAGCCTGGCCTCCATGGCAGCTTTCCGGAAGATGTTCTGTGAGGTTAAGGCAGCTTATTATGATTTAGTCAGGGATAAGAATGAGTATTTTCCCTGTTACTCTGCCAAATCCAGAGGCAGAAGAGTGCCTGTGTGAGTTTGAATGGATTACCACCTGTATGCAGATGAATGGGTGTTAATGGAGCCAAGAGACATGCCTTTGTGTCACCAGAAAAGGAGCAGCTTGTAGAAGTGTGCCACTGAGAACCAGAGGGACACGGCCCTGTAGGAGGTGGGGGTAAAAGGACAGAGGGCAGTAGGGTGTCAAGCTGTCTAAGTGTGGATGAAACAATGCCAAGGGTTAACAAGCCTAAGCCACAAGTAATGACAGAGGATGAATGAACAAAAAACAGCTATTTGAAATACAATCGAGGATCAGCTAAAATCAATATGGAGCACATTAAGGTGACGTGGCCACATTAAGCTCATTTTTGTTTCATCCTTTGTGTCAAATATGAATTCTCGTCATGGCTTTTTGCCTTTGCCAGGTGTTAACAAAAGGGCATAGAATATACAAACTCAAAAAGTTGTGATAAAAACGAGAGCACAACACCTAAAACACTGAAATATTAATCACATTATTTAAAAAAGAAAATAACAAAAAAATAAAACATTGTAACGTTTCTCATAGCATGACAGAAAAAAGGAGCTTAACAGTGACCTGCTAATGTCTATAGAAAAAAACACTTCAGAAAACATCAGTTCAATGTTGCATTTTGAATGAATTTCCAACTGGTGCTTTCAATTTTGCTGGTGTGTTTTCTTTTTTTTTCCAGTACTGCCATACTTTACACCTCTGAGCCGCAGCCTTGATTTAGGGAGGAGAGGCACCAATGTGTTAGCAACGGTGGTTGGAAACTGAGGGCACGGCATGTGATGACGTGTTAGAGTCACGCCAAAAAAACACCATAGACACGTGATCATTAGAACAACGTCTCACCTGCTAATGCAACAATGGATGCAGCATCAGGGATCAGAGCTCTCCTACATCTTTGAACTCCGATTAAAAACCTGCAGGGCAGTGTCTGTGCAGATGTATTCACACTCAAATTCAAACAGCCATCAAGCCTTTCGCCCAACCGCGTTTGTGTGGTCCATGTTTTGTTTTAGTTTTGCTTTAGTTCGGCTTACGCCCACTGCTTCCATTCTTTTCTTTCAGTAAAACTCCTCTGTCACCGTTCTCTTCAGAGTTTCACTCCACCTTGTTTTGATTGATTCTCTCCTTTCTATTAAGCCCTCTTTCTTCATATGCCTCCATGGCGTGTGTCTAAAGAAACCCCTCCAAATCTTGACACAGAGGTCCACAGACAGCTCTGATCCCTGCCTGAGGCTGACTGGATGCAAGGTGAGAAAAGCTCAGGGAAGCTGAGGGAAACTTTTTCTTTTTTTTCAGCGTTCTTATACAAACCCCTTTTTAGTCCTCTGACACGTCTGGTTTTATTTTCTAGATGTCTTCACTGCTGTGGGTTTCCCTTAATTGAACGTAATTACTGTTTAATTGTTTCATAGGGTTGATGTAAAAATAAAATTCCTCCACCAGGAACAGGCAGAACCGCTGCTTCTCTCTTCGTTCATTAAGAAAGTTGTGTAATCGTGGTGTTTCCACACCATGCCACATAACTTGCGGCAGATACTGTGACACCTGGAGACGAGCCTCCTGGCAGTAAACAAGCCGGTTTCCAATAACTCACTAGTTTGTGTGGCTGACAGGTCTTCCCCCGACTTCCTTTAATCTACTTTTAGAACAGTCGAGTTTTTCCATCTTCTCAAACACTTACTGAGCCATCTAGTTTCTCTGCCCAGAAACCCAGATCTTCCCGGTCCGTGAGCGACTGTATGGGCTGTGGGAGGATCGACTCTCACTCCTGAGTCTCATCTGTGGCCTCTCCTGGCAACAGCAGTGTCAAACAGCCTGCAGAGGCGTACTTGTTTGTGTAAATCAATGGTATGTATGTCACTCGTGTTTCTTGGTGAGGCAGGAGATCCCGGCCATGTGACTGCTGGCTGGATGAGCAGGGAGGAGGTGTGTTTGGAGGTTGTGAATTTTCTAAATTCGGGTCTCAGTCTTGTTACCGGGTGGCCATGTGTGAGATGCGGGTACTGTGTGGAGATCCCGAGTATGAGCAGCGGAAGTCTGTTGGCAGTCGGAGACACTCAGAGGCCACTCCAAGTGTCTGAGTGACAACTAGGACCCTGGCTGGTTTTTGTAGTAGCTAGGACGGTGTTTTTACATTTCTGTCATTCCAAAGAGGAGAAGGGGTTTCTAATCTCAACAGACCTTTGAGGAAGACACTGATATATGTGGTTTTGCATAAAAAATTCTCACCGGGAAATTAGAAATACTTCAGTGTATTGTCTAATGCCCTTTTCCTTCTGTATTGCCTCTTCTTTTTGGGAGATGGGTGGAAAAACTCAAGAGATACCATTATCCCCCCTTCTGCTTGCAGCATGTGCAGTTGTGTGTGTGTGTGTATGTGTGGAGTCTGAGTGCTACTACCTGTTTGCTTGCTCATCCAAGCCATGGGACAGTCAGGCTGTCTACACTTGGAACACACACACTCGGAGCCCCCCTCCCGTTTCCCTAAGCTGGTCCCGACATGCATCCACCCGTGCCTGAGGGGAACCCTCTCCCGCTGAGGCCACAATCCCGCAGACACTCCGAGGTCTGGACTTTATCCTCTCCATCTGTGAGCTTGTTTTCTGAAGTTACCTGTGTGGTGACAGAGCAAAGTGGAGACGACAAGATTAGACTCAGTGATAAGATGGTAATAATTCTTTACTATCTGACAAGTGTAATCACTTTACCAGTGTGCCAGAACAACAACATAACACACGAAAATAGTGTACATTCCTGCCAGGAAAAGGTTTGCAAATGGCAGAAAGACAAGCCGGGGAGTAGACAAAATGTCTTTAATAAAATTAAACATTTAAAAAGAAAAAAAAAAAAAGAATACCAGTTAAACACAGTGCAATACATTGCAACATAAAGTGCATCACAAAGATATGACACACAAACTACAGCAACTTAAAGAAGTGTTTCAACATAGCAAACAAGTGCTCACGCAAAACATAATCCCAAAATAAAGATCTAAACAAATCAGTGTCAGCAGGAGGTAACTTCTTGGGCTGGTTCAATTTCTTCTTAAATGAAATGCAGTTAGAACACAAACAATAACACTTTTATATGGCTGGAGATTTGTAAAGTTATTTTTTAAATTATTATCCACTACAGTACTTCATTTAAGATCTACAGCTTCAGACATGGTTAGTTAATGCATTGTTGCTGTTAAGGAGAGTAACTACGGGTAATCATCACATGTTTTGACAGAAGTCATCATTAGCCATGATGTTATGCAGACTGGAGATATTTCATACTTTGTGTCTGTTTTAACTGTTTTTTTCACTGTTGGTGCATTCTGTTCTAGTTGACTGTTCTTAGAAAACCTGCTTCTCAAAAAGTAGTCTGATATTACAACTTCACCAACATACTATTCTCATTGTAAAGATGGTTCTATTTTCCTATGTTAGAAAAACTCGCTTTAGCAGTGTAAATGTTTTATCATTATTGTTGTCAGAATGATCTCCATTGGAGTTGTTTTCACGCTCCTGATGTCTGAACAGCCGGAGGGCGCGTTTCCAGGAGCCTGGGTTTAGATTGGTTGGCAGTGCCTCTGGGAGGAGCCATTGAAAGAGCAAAAAGACAAGTTGCGCTCATTGTGGAGCAGTCAACAACAGTGACAGTAGCTGATCAGACCCAAAATATCTGCAGAGATTTTTTAAGTGTCGGGACAAGTCATCGATTGCTTTCAGTGCGCTCATTTGCGGTCATTGAAATCTAAGGAAGTGGTTTTCAAACTACCTCGCAGAAGATCTCGCTGAGGTTCAGGTGAAGAAGAGAAACTATGGATGCGGTATGCCTCCTGTGTTTGGCGCTGACCGTGGGTGCGTGGTTTGCCTCCGCGGAGAGACACAGCGTCTACTGGAACGGCTCGAACCCAGAGTAAGTGTTATTACCTGTGCGCAATGCCAAACATGTGCCCGGCACACTTTTTTATCTACTCTGAAACGTGAGTTTATGTGGCTGTTTTTTCTCCCGGTATCTCCTTTCGGAAAAGTGTGCGGTTGTGGCTTCTAACTTGGAAAGTCTCCTCCTGTGGTGCGCATTGCTTGTCCTCAGGTATCTGCACCCGTGGCTTGTTGTTTCCATTCATGAGACGGTGAATGCCCCATGTGGCGTTAAACGTAGCCGTTGTGCGATGCCCCCCTTTTTAATCCGGACAGATTTGACATATTGGAGCACAGCGCAGGATGTAAAAGCGGATGATTGCGAGCGGATGCCCGACAGATGGAGAGATTCACCACTATATTTAACCGCAACGTAGACTCAGACATTCTCTGATAGTAGAAAATAGACCGACGAGTATGAACTTGGCCAGCGCTGTCTCCAGTTTTTGCACCTGTGTACTTCTGTGTGTGTGTGTGCGTGTGCGTGTTTGTCTACGCGTGTGTTATGCGAGAAGAGCGTGTTTTCCTACATAAATGAATAACTGGAGTGGATCGCTCATGAAGTCACATCGAGACTCTGTAAAAGTCTTTCTGCTGAGGCGTGGAGGTGATGCATCCCGGATAAAGTGCACGGGGCACCGCAGTGCTGATTATTTAGTTCTGAGGTCAGAAATGTAATGCTATCCGACCACTCAGTGGGATCGATGGAGTTTGACACAGGCCTATCGCAGCGCGATTTATTGAGCTTTTAGCGCTGAGCGAATGATCCCATCGCGCATTCACTTAAAATCGAGCTGAAACAGAAGGTTGTTCCTTTTTTTCTTCTGCCGCACAGTGAGTCCGATTAGAAACAACAACTGAGAAGCAGCAAGGACAAAATCCATTATGGACTTTTAGTCTTGTCTTCATTGCATTAGTGGCTGTCTAATTGCCCTTTAACAATGACAATAGGCTGAGAGTTAAAATAAACAAAAAAGCCCCTCTACGAGGAAAATACTTTCCCCTCATAATTGGATAGGAAGTCTAATGGAAAATCCTAACGTCATGAGCAGTGCTTGTGTCATTCATTAGTCCGTGCATGACTCACCACCCAGGTTAGACCCACCTGAGTTTTACACCTGAGTCACCAGACAGAAGAGGGGGTAACCCCGCTCAGGTGAGATATGAGGGGGGGGGGGTAACTTCACAGAGGGAAAAAGTTTAAATCAGCTCCCTATGCTTAGGTTTGCCATAAAGAGAGAAATTCCAGCCCTGAGATTTTGATAGAAATAAAGCAGCTAGAAAAAGAGGAGGGGGTTTAGTTGAAAGAGAGAATGGCTGGTTTAAAACAAAGTAAGATCCTTTCTGCTGTCTCTAATCCGACCCCGGACTATTTCTGATGTCAGATGGGAGTTGCGTAACTAAAAGAAAAATAATAAAATAACACTAATCCCTTCTGCTGCAAGGCTAAGCGCAGACTGACACAGATAGACAAACGGCAACTTGACACATCATCAGTTTTCAACAAGCAAACTTAGGTGTTCAGCTATTCCAAAGTTTAGAGAATACTTTCACTTTTTTTTTTTTAAACCAATCTGACTGACTTCCACACACCACTTGATGACATGCATTTCACTCGTCCTGTCTCTCCCTATATATCTCTTGTCCTCTGCTTCTCAGCTTGAGTAAGGCCCAGAACCATCCCCAAGTGATCAATCAGTCACCTCTTCACCCAACTGTAAACTCTGACAGAGGCGGGCCATGGATAATTGATACTAATTGATTCTTGCTGTGATTTGGAGCCGCAGCGATTTGTCTTGTAGAAGAAGGACAGTAGCCAGATGGCGGCAGTCTGTTCACTCCTGTTAGGGGGGACAAAGCTGAGAGGCATTAGCTGTAGCTTACAGTAGGCTGTGTCTTTATGCACAACCGGCTACGCTTGTCTGTCCCTTTTCCTCTGCTTGCCAGCGCGCCTCGATGAAGAAGGCTGGATCCAGTGTTTCAGGTATTGCACGGGTTTGATACCCTGACTGTGTTCCAGCCGTGCCCCGGTAACTGACAGGTGGAGTCTGGTCCAGTCTTGTTTCCGAAAACTACATGTCTGTGCTTGTGTCAACTTTATTAGCATGTATGAGGGAGAGGTTGAACTTGTGCTGCCCTGAACTGGATTTTAATTGGCAGCAGCCGTATTTTTGTTGTGGACTCGCCGCACATGACTGTGTCTCAGCGTGTGTGTGCGTGTGTGTGTGTGTGTTTCTCAATGTCGGAGTAGAACAGGGAGTGGCTGTTACCGTAGCCAGCCTGACCGAACCATGATAAATGTGTGACTCACACTTACACACACTGGGGGTCTAGGGGGAGGACCGTGTTAATATTAGCTACAGCCAGCATTCCGCCATACTGTTACTATACTCAACTCTGTCAGCTGTGCTTATGAGTGTGTGTGACTCCCTTTATACCTGTCTGGTCCTCTCTGTGTCTTTCCACTCTAAAAGTTGGGGCTCCTCCTGAACTGGCTGCTTCCCATCAGCCTCTTGGGATGAACTTCCTCCTCTGTGGCTATTATCACTTAACCTCGCCTTATCTCTGTTATAAAGCTGGGTTCAGATATCTCCAATCAGGGCTTCAGTGTAATGTAATATTCTCTTTACCTCAGCCTGTGTCTGGTTTCTGCCTCTCCGGGCCTGCCTCCACACGCTTCTGCAAGGATGAGTTGGAGGGGAAGGTGGTCAGTTTGACCCCCGCCTTCAGCTCCATACATTTTGTTCCCTCTCTTTGTTTTTACTCATTACTTCCCTTCTCCCTCCAATCTAGCTGTTGACCTCTAATCTCAGCAGAATGAGAACACACACACACACACACACACACAGAGGCGGCTTGTAATCTAACCACCTGACCCACAGACACAAAACCATCATCTCGCTGGGCTTGCAGTATATGGGTGTATGGTTCTGTGATCCTGTGATGTAACCGCTGATCTGTCAGCAGCTGTATAATCTCCTTGATGGAGTCCATCATACGTCAGAACAATCAATTGCAAGCAGCATTTCCATTTGGCTTACCCATTCATTACCGGAGGGATTTACGAGGATCCACTGCTGATATAACCATGCCCTCATCAAATGCACTTATGAATGTATGTGCGCATCTTCACACACATCAATATGGAACTTTGCCTCAGAATATTAGTTACAGTACAAAACCATGGGGACTGTACTGTACCTCTGCGGAGTGGACATCACCAACACCCCTGCACAGTATCCATGCACCTCTTGTTTTCTCTGGACTCTTCCTTTCGCCTCCTTATCTGTGGTCCAGACTTCCTCTCCCTCCCCTCTCTCCACCAACTCCCCCTCTTTCTCACAGACCTTCCTCTGTTTCTGCCTTAGTAGTTTTCCACCAGAGGAGAACAGAGCACCCCTCAGCCACGGCTCTGCTAACATCAGAGAGGCCTGCTTCCACCCACTGTTATCGCACAAAGTGTGGGCAAGCATGTGTACATGTCTGTATGAGTGTGTGCGTACTCTGCTCACACCAGGCATTTCAGGCATTCCTTGGTATTGCTGGACACCCTAAGGTCCCCCTCGCCCCTTAAAGGCAGAAAGCAGAAAAAAAGAGACTTCTTACATTTGACGGTGTTTAATTTAGCATCTATTATCTAAACATTTCTTGTATATTATAAACACAAATCTATACTTTCTGTAAATTCCTCGCACAATCTCAGTTTGCCAGGCAAACAGATTAACTCTCCGTGACCAACTGTCAGCATATTAAACCAAGCTTGATACCATTTGGCCTTTCTCTATTCATCACAGATAGAATGGGAGGCTACAAAACAAGGAGACGGGTGAATAGCTTCTCAGGGACGATGAGGAGAAGGGGGTGCCGAGGCCTGGGTGCAGGGAGAGGGAAAGCTAAGGTGGAGAAAGGGATCTGTGTTGAGAAATTAGCCCGGATGAAGAGCTTTGGTTTATTATGTCAGTGTTAAGAGACAGGACAAAACAGGAGATAGAGTCGGGGGATGGGCTGGTTGTGGAAGAAAGAAAGAGAAGCAGACAGAGGGAGGAGAGAGTGGACAATGATTGATGAAGGGAGGGGAGAAATTTGGAATTGAATAAGTGAGAAACACTATTGTTGACAATTGTCAAGGTTATCATCCAGCAGGAGCTGAATGGGTGCCCTGGTTATGTCACGGATGAATATACAAACATAAGCTCAACTGCAAACACTTGAAATGGCAAAGTTTTGGAGTCCCAACAGTATTTGGAGAATCTTGACTCAGTGCATACTGGAATACGATTTCTCTCTTTTTAAATCAGACTGGAGGCCAATATAGACACACTTTTAATTTTGTATTCTATTGGCTCAATATAGCAGCTTACTATGAGCAACTGAACCCATTAAAAGTTCTGACAGCCCCCCAGCCTGTGTGGAAGGAGGTGTGAATGTGTCATACCACAGCAAATTAATCGGGTATTAAGTGTACACCTCATACTAAAAAGTGTGTGAGGGTGGGGTAAGAAATTTGATGAGTGTGGCCTGTGAGAACCATCCAAACCGCAGCCCCCCCTGAAGAGACATTCCACAGAGTGTGCACTTACTACTGATTACCTGCACAGCAAATGGAGGAGGACGACGACCGGGAGGGGTGGGGGACGCATCTGTTTGGTGTTTCAGTGGTGCTGACTCGTCCCCTGAATATGTTGTGTTTGTGAAGCATATATCATCGGTGCTGACTCGGGACGGTAGCGTCTGCGAGCAGTTGCAACTCTGAACTCTGACCCTTTGACCCAGCTGGCAGTTTGAAACTCTCCCCGGAGAGACGGTGAAAGGCAGAAGACAGACGTTCCTGTGTTAGTTGTTTGACCAAAACCAGTGTAAAGGGAGCTGGAGGGAGGGAGGGGGGGCGAACGGAGGGAAGGGTTTGGAGAAGAGGAAAAGGAAAAAGGAAACAGTAATGGCAGGGAAGGGAGAAGAAGAGCTGAACGAGGACATTGGGAAGACTTCAAAGGCTCTGCAAGGAAATGCAAGCGTTGAAAAAGTCGCCTGCTGTAATAACCATCAATGCGGAGCTATTTACTATCTCATACCCTCATGCAACACACCGATGCAAAAAACTATAGCAGCTCTGCAGTGAGAAGTGTCCTGCAGAGGGGAACAAAGAGCTCAACCTTCGCTGTTTACCCAGACCTCAGTCAGATGTAAGACAAACACACAAGAGACTCCACTACGCACTGACAAACAGATGTGTTCATGAGCCCGGGGCATGAGACGCCCTCGATAAGTGTCTTCAGAGATTCTCATATGAGCGCACACACAGAGACAGACAACACGGGAGGAGGGTTCTGTTGGGAAAGTGGGTTTGCAGCCGCGTGCACACCTGGCCCTCTGTCACACAGCTACCATGTTCATGTGACTCTCGCTCTCCCGAGAGATGCCAGTGGGTGCAGAGCGCAGATGTAGGGAGTTACGAGAGCGGAGATCTTTGATGAGTGGGGACGTAAAGCGTGAGGAGGGCGGAGGAAGTGGACTGGAAGTGATGGGGTCCATGTTCCCTGACTGGTCATGTAATAATGGTAGAATCACATTATAAAATCATTCACCTTCAAACTGATTTTAACAACTGAGTTGATGGTGTTAAACCATTAAAAGCACACCCAGCCATATGGATACACACATTAGACACATGCACATTAGCCAGGGCAGTGAAAGCTCCATGGGGGTTTTGGTAGAGGGGTTGAAGGGGCTCTGTAGCCTTCAGGCATTCTGTCTTTTGGGAGGCAAAGGGTATAATTACACCCTATTCATTCCTCCTCCCCTCCTTTCCTACAGAACACATTGGCCCCAGACCCCTAACAGCTTTTAATTAGCCAGGCCAATGGAGGAGAGGAGGAGGAGGGGACACGAGGAGGTGAAGAGAAGGATAAAAGGAAAGCTTTTTTTAAAAAGCCGAGATATGAATGAAATTAGCAACAGAATCGTTCTGTTTTGTTGGCTTTTGACGAACCAGACCGCTAACAAGGGCGCAGTGTGGGAAGAAGGTGTATCTGATCCAATTTAAAACTATCCCTCGTTTCAGAGAGAGCCACTCGAGACCTCCAACTATTTTGTTTCCTCCAACCTGGCTATTAGTGGGTTGTCTGAAGAAAGCGTAAAGATAGAAGGGAGGAGATTGGGGATTATTTGGCCAATTAGGCTCTACATACGTGTTTACTCCTTTCATTGAAAGACTTCTTTAGGCAGACATGAACACACCGTTGTATTTACACACACCTGCACAGAAGTGTGCACACTTACAAAGACCCTCTGCTTAGGGAAAGCCATGATTACAATAAGAAGGTAGTGATCAGCCTGTTAGCCCCGGATAACAAGCGTTGAGCTGTGCTCCGCGTACAATGCATGTTTTGACAGGTCTGTTAGAGCTAACCAATACATTATGGGCAAAGACTTTTGCAGAGAAAGAGGAGGAAGGAAGGAGGGGTTAGAAGCCCTCATTTGGAGCCACTGAGTCTGTGACTTAGCCAGGGGGTCCTAACAGGAGCCACAACAACAGGACTGAGAGGTGGAGGGGGGCAGAGCCAGCACGTCTCGAGCTTTGATGAAGGAGTTGGGGGTGGGGGGGGCACACAGACGTTACAGCACACATAAACAGTGGCAGACACACAGGAACTTTTTTCGTGTCACTTTGTTTCTCTACAACACAGAGAAGAAGCCACTCAGTCCAAGACCTGACTGGATTTGCGGATTACAGCCCGTAGCCCCTGAGGATGTAATAGGAGTAACTCCCAAATAAAAATCTTTCTTCACCTTCTGGCTTTCGGCGGATGTCGCAGTAAGAACAACACGTCGGCCAGCTGCATATCACATGCACGGCCTCAGTCACGTCATGTTGTCTGTGAAAAAAAAACAAAATTTGAGAGACTAAATATGTGAGGGTGAAAGTTAACACAGGTTCATTAATTTTTTTATACATAAACTAGTTTGCCCTTTGCCCCAGTAAACCTGCCCCTAACCTGGGAGCAGCTACTCATTAACAGATTGCAGTAGGTATAGTTAAGTCAAAACTTAACAGTCTGTCTGATTTGGGCTTTTGTGTTCTATCATAATGGCAAAACCTCAAATCACCATCCACCTGTACTTTATTAGAGGGTTGGGAGGATAGGATGTGAGGTAAGAGGAGACGGGAAGGCTTGAAAACAGTCGTAAAAACTAAATAAGGGGACAGATGAAAAGAGGAAACTCAGCTTCACCCCCTCTCTCTGTCTTGAGATCAGCCCAGATGGATAAACATCCAAGTGAAGAAAGTAACGTGACAACAACTGGAAAACAGTTTAAAAAGACTTGACATAAACACTCCCTGGGTTGTGAAGATAGACTAGTGATTCTATCTGTTCTGACTTTAGCGGAGAGATGAGCTGTCATTTCCAATCTCATCTGTTTGTTAGCACTTGAAGGGTGAGACTGTCCTGAAGGGATAAGAGAAAGAAAGGCGTGTGAGTGGGGTGGCGGTAGGGCTTTACACGAGTCTGGGTGTGCTCACTCGATGAAAAAGAACCTGAACAAGTCCAGCCTGATCTGGCTCTTTTCTAAATCTGCCTCACGGATGAGTTTGCACAGGCAAGCTGCAACACAAACAAATCCCTCTTTTTCATTTCACCTGTGATTTAAAGCGTGGCGTTGGAGTGAGTCTGTTCTGGTGGCGCATGTCTGTCTCAAACATCCAAGAGCCAAAGACATGACAGACACCCTGGGTATCCACACAGTTCGAAGAAAATGTTTCCTTGGCAGAAGAGGACATTTGTCATTAACCTGCTCTTTCCCTCTGTCTCCCTTCAGTTTCGTGTGGGACGATTATACCGTGGAGGTGCGCATCAATGACTATCTGGACATCATCTGCCCCCACTACACCCATGGAGAGGTGGCATCCCATGCAGCCGAGCGCTATGTGCTGTACATGGTGGAGAAGGAGGACTACGAAGTGTGCAAACCTCACTCCTTTGACCAGCTCCGCTGGGAGTGCTCACGGCCCTTCGCTCCCCACGCTCCCGAAAAATTCTCCGAAAAGTTCCAGCGCTTCACTCCGTTCACTCTGGGCAAGGAGTTCAGGCAGGGGGAGAGCTACTATTATATCTGTAAGTCTAAAATGTAACTCTTGCTTTGTTTTTTCTAAGCCAACCTGCCAACCTGCCCTTTTGAGGTGTTTCTTCTATTAAAATGCTCCCATCTTTTCACCCTCAACAGCCAAGCCAATGCATCACCATGGCAAGGATTGTCTGAAGCTGAGGGTGGATGTAGTCGGGCATAAAGGCTCTGGAAAGTCCTTCCTCGACAAATCCAAAGTGGAGGAGAAAGGCAAAGGCTTAGATGGTGGAAAAGTGAAGTTTGCCGCTGCTGGAGGAGTTCACAACCCCACTAACCGGCTCCCAGCAGGTGAGGATTTCAGAAGAAAAAAAGAAAGGCAGACACACAAAAAATAGTCACCGGGGTGCCATGTCTAAGTCAGGCTCAGCTGGGTTTGTTTACCATTCCTGAGTGATGAAACCCTGTGCTGATTTTTCTCTCTCGTCTCCTCTCTCAGATGACCCTGCTGTGATGGAGCCAAATGTCCAGAGGAGCATTGGCAGCTCCGCAGCACAGCTGGTGTCGCTGTCACTCTCCTTTACCATGATCCCAGTCTTATTAGCCCTGATGCTGCACTAAGGCCCTGCCGCCGCACACCAAAAACAGAGACTATTCTAACCCGACGCTGGTTGTCGGGACATGAACACTCCAATTTCTTTTTTTTTTTTCCTTTTTTTTTTACAGAGATTTTTTTATACAAGCGTGGACAGTGTGTGTTTGACTTGTTTGTGTAAAAGTGGAGCGTTGATCGCTCTAGAGAAGAGGACCTTTTCTTACTTTATTTTGAGGATGGAAATTCTCAATTTTGACCATTCAAGATGCACAATTTTTTTTCCTGTCATAATGAACAACACTATGAGAAAGAGGATAAAAAAATTAAGATGAAATTGACAGCAACATTATGTTGCCCTCATTGTCATGTTCATATCATTGGTACTGCTGTGCATTGTTTTACCAACCCGTCACTCATTTTCTTCCTCTACATGTAGAGAAATTATTATAATTTTTTCCTTTTTTTGTGTACTGTTGTCGACATCGTACAAAGTGGTATAGATAATGTAAAATATTTGTCATTGTTGTGTAGCACTCGGCTCCTGGTTTTAACTCCTCTTGTTAGATGTCTTTTTTCAGTTTAGTCATACAGCATTTAGAAGACACTTATCCCATTCAAACCAGTGATTTTCATTCACTTACACTCAATTTTATCTGATTAGTTCAACCATAGTAAGGTGCTCTCACTACTGAATCAATGGTTTGTTTTATTCTTTCCACTAATGTTTTGGAGAAAATAATGGCTTGCTGAAGTTCTTCGTCCATCAGTCTTATGTTCTGACAAGATTATGAGACACCAATCGGCTGAACGAATCAGACAAAAGTCTCTGACTAGCTGGAGTTTGGGGAGCTGAGCTTCATTAAGTACTGCGTCTCACTCACTAATTTGACAGTGTTTATGGTATCATGGTACACTGGTTAATGTTTGCAGATGTCATCCTGTTTGCACTTCATCAAACCTCAAACTGAAGGGGCTTCCCAGAATTCATGTCTGTTTGTGTTAAACAAGCTTACTTTGTTTTGTTTGTGTTCATTTGTAAATGTGTACATAATGAAAACTATAATGAGCTGTTTTAAGATGTGAACAATCTTTCGTGAAATAAAAAAAATTGATGTAATAAAAAAAAGCCCGATCTGTCTGGTTTTTATCAGCACTGGGGAAATTTTTATATTGCCAAAACATATCTCAGATGTTGAGAACCTACTGAGATCATAAAGATTTTGATGGGTGACACAATATTTTGGCAAAGCCATATGTCTCCCGCCCGATGAAGTTTCTCTGTGTCCTTCCAAGTTTCCACCCTTAGGTTTTCCCAAACCTAGTTTTCTCATCCCTTTTTCTCTGCCCTCCCTTTCATCCCCAGTGTACAACATGACCTGGCTTAAATTTCACAGTCTTAAAACCAAACACAGGAACGGAAAGGTCAAATAAGAAGGAACAAGAGAGTTCAGTGGGAGAGGGGCCCACAAGCAATCTGACAACTGGGTGTGAAGGTGTCACTCTCGCATCCTTACTCTCTCACCCCCCCCTCACCTTTTTTAAACTTCTCTCCACACCTTCTTCTGATATAAAAACTGAACGGCCGCCTACACAGCGGCATGCTGGAGTGAGGCACTTCAGGAGCATTCGTACTTGCAAACTCAGAGCTGACTGAAAACTGCCAAAAGTCACCATTACTTGTAAAACCACGCAGCATACACTAAAAATCTGAACATGAAACAGAACTATTTGTTTTTCCGTAATAACGTCATGGCTTAAATTCACTGCAGACGATCGCACAGCCTCTAATAAACTATGTAATGCAGTAACATAAGTTCAGTTTGACCTCCCATTCAGACCAAACATGGTAATATCTGACATACCATGGGCTCCATTGATGTTCCAGTTCAGTGTTATGCCAGGGTTATGTCCACTAAAGCGATTCATACAAAATATAATGAGTTACCAGACTTTGAGGACAACTGAAGTCATTAACTGTGTACATTTTGTAGACCAAAGGTACATTCTAAAAAATCCCTTAAATCTCTGTGAACATACAATTTTGTGGGATTTCAGATAAGTCGTTGACTTTTATGAGCATGTATAATAAAAATCCCCTAAAAAACCTGGCAGAAGATTTGTGGTTTTATGTTAGTATTTAAATTCTTACAGGCCTCTGCTTAAAGTACCTCTGGTCGAAGGGCAAGGAGTGCAGAAGTGTGAGAGTTATAAAAGTGTAAATCATTGCATTGGATGAGATTGAATCAAGTCAACTTTAGGTGTATGTGTATTTTACGCCTGGAAATTATAATCTATAATGGAAAAAATATGAAGAACTACACGTATCTGAGTAAAGAGATCCATGCAGTGTCACTGCCAAAATCTGTAACACTGAAATAATCAAAGTTCAAAAGGTTTTTTGAAAGGAGAGCTTGACTCTGACACCTGGACACCTGGACACACAGCAGGGAGAAGCCAGCTGACCTGATGCAAGATGGTGGGGAGAAGGTCAGTGATCACTTTTGAGGTCATTTGACTTGGATTTATCTTTAATTCTGTCACCCACAAACCTCACATCTGCTAACTTTTGCACTCCGACCAGAAATATACACTGTCTATTGATTACAAAATCTATTTGAAATGTTGAATGATCAAACCACTTGCCAATGTTCTTTTCTTTGCTTGCAAGAATTGAGAGGATTTATACATGCACAAACTGTGCTGGTACAATGATTTTTAAAAGTATTTATCTGAATGTTTGAATATAATGTATCTGCATATTTTTCTTTTCTTTTTTTAAACATTTTTATTATTTTTGAAATTATTTTTATTTGTAAGAACCTACTAAAAGCTGCAAACAAAATTCGGATTTGTGAAAATTCCGTTAAACACTCCATCAGGTGTTAAACACGTTATACAACATCCCTGTTGATCTGTTGCACATGAACATTTTTCCCAGTAATGATAGAATTATTTATAACTTTTTATAAGCTGAACTGCACTAAAATAAAGCTGCGGGAGACCTCTGTTATCAGGTGCTCCCTGTCCAACTTCGACACAGAGTACATTTTCTGTATTGTACAAAGAGTCTAACAGAAAAAAGCAATTCACCTAGAAAAAGCTACGACTAACGAGGTCTATAATGTGCAGCTGTAACATGTTACCCTTCTATTTTCTGTTGTGTTGAAGTATATTACATTTGAGTAATACTATATGTGTTAAAATCCCTTTATCGTGTTATAAAACAACTCTTAGTCATCCACCCTATCATCATTTGCTTGTCCTCATTCTTATTTTCCATTCTTTAATGTTTTTTTACTTTGTTAGATTCCTTTTTTGTATTTTTATATTCAAAACCACACATTTATGAATACGGTTAATGAAATATCATTAAAAAAATGAACTCCTACCTCCTCACTTATTTAACTGTCTGCCTTTTTGAAAGCTTCCACATACTCGCGCATCTTACCTGAAAGAAAAAACATGCTGTACGTAATGACGTCACCGCTACGTATACTATCGTATCAGCGTACTATTGGGCAAGCCCGCCCCTACTGTATGACCCCTTAGCCAATCAGAGTGTAGAAATTCTGTGCACACTGATTGCAAATACGGAAATACAGTGACAGCATCTTTGAGTTGTTTTGCGTCGTGTTTTTTCTCACTTTAACGAACCTTTGACTCAAAACATACACAAAAAACAGCAAATATATTATCAATTTGTGTTTTTCATTCACCCTATGGATTTGTTGCAGCTTTTATCATGGGCCTGCATCGTGTTCACAATCGGGATGTTCTCGACTGGACTGTAAGTTCGGTTTTTCAGTTTCTTGCATTTCGGTGGTTGTCGGTATTATGATCTAACTCTTTGATTAGTAAATATTAGTACGATTGGGGGATGGGTTGAAGATCTTCTCCATTGGTTTTATCGTCCGGTCATACTCCAGATCAGTGATCATAACTTTCTTGTAAAAATTACTTTATCCCTTAGAGAGATTTTCTTTTAATTTATTTGTCTTTTATCATTTTTCAGGACCGACCTAAAGAAGATGCGAGAATCCAAAAGTGCCGAAAACATCCAGTTTCTCCCTTTTCTCACCACATGTCTAAAGTGACTTTTCTGATTTTATTCACACCTCTTTCTTTCAGTCATTACTCTAATTGTTTGGCTCTGGTTGGTGCCTCTAACGCCCATCCTGTTTCCATAGTAACCTGGGCTGGTTGTCATATGGGATGCTGAAGAAGGATCAGACAATTGTCTTGGTCAACATCATCGGAGCTCTCCTCCAGGTCCTCTACATTATCATGTACTTCCACTACACAAAAGAAAAGGTAAACACCGGTCAGTGTAAACAGTCTTTGCTGTAGCTGGGTTCAATTTAACTTCCTGTTTCCTGATTGTTCCAGAGGCTGGTGATGGTCCAAACGGCCACTGCAGGAGCTGTGTTGGCCTGCGGCTGGCTATACTTCACTACCTTTCTAACTGAGGGAGACGCCCGGCTCAGCCAGCTGGGTCTGACCTGCAGCGTGGTCACCGTCAGCATGTACATGTCGCCCCTCGCTGACTTGGTACAGCATTATGCACACAACACACAGACAGCATATAGGAACACAACCCCAATTTTCTGTACTCTATTTCAAAATACAAATCAGAATAAGTTGGTAAAGAATGGGAAGAAAAATGAATTATTTACACACTTTGGCTTTTATTTAAACTCAGAAAACACGAGTTATTTTTCCCATATTTCATAATCCAGCATTTTAGGTTTGAAGCATCCTGAAAGAAATTTGAGAGGGTGTGCAGTTAAGGGCTTGTAAAAGTTATCACACAAGTTATGTCAAAAGGTGGTTGTAATTTAAAGAAATATCTCCAGTGTGTTAATGAAAGTTTGGGAAATATCAGCTTTTAGAAGACAATGTTCCTCCTAAAATATTGTTTAAAAGGGTGTGCATATTTTTCCCTTATTGCTAAAAAAAAATCTAGTTAAAAATGAAAGCTAACAAAAAGGAATAGCAGTTTTGAATAGGTACAAGTGCAAAGGGACGTTTGGCCAAGAACCCGCGTAATCTTTAAACCCTCAGATGAATCTACACCAACACACTTCATTTAGCAATAGCTGGTTATGTAACCACATGGACCAGCGATTCAAGTTAGGGACTTTGCCGAGTTCTGCACATCAAGGTTCCATTCAGCAGACAACCCTAACAGAAAATTTAACTGTGCAAGAAACAATCAAATCGACTCCTTTTGGAACCACTGAGTTCTAAGGTGGCGGAGACATCTGGGGTGGATCATTAAATGGTGGGAATTTGTGCTCCAAGCCGTCAGTATTCCAGAAGAAAGGGATAGATTTGTTCTTCTTTCCAAAGTCAATGGTAATGGTTGTGGTGTGGGTTGCAGTGCTCATTTACACTTCTGTGAAGGCAGCATTATTGCTGAAATGCTCATTTTTGAGAAATATTTGCTGCCTTCAGAAAAAGCAGATAGAGAGGGGAAAGGGGTCATGAACTGACTTATCTACAGTCCCCAGTAGAGACTGTTGTGACATGATTACGAAGAGAATGGGGCAAAATAACATCTAAAACATTTATTATCTGTGATTCTTTTTTTTTTAAAGAAAAAAAGTGTGCATCAGACTCTCTGAGCCAAGGTTAAGTCTGTTGGGTTTTCTATTTAATACCAACTTTTTACAGATTCATCCTGTTGCGTCTCTAGTTTTTACTAGAAATGGCAAGCCGTTCATACAAAAAAAAACTTAATACAGTCGTGACAGAAATCCTTTGAGGTCAGATTAATTTGTGCAGAAAGAATTCTCAGAAGGCATCAGTGCCTTAAGCAGTGAGGTCAAACACAGCTTTTCTGCTGTTGGGTCAGCTTAAAGAGATATTGGTTTGCATGTTCACTCTTCTCAGATTAGGCTGAGCCTCATCTTGGGGACACTGTGTCCCAGACGCACAGCCGTTGCTCATATTCAAGTGTTAAATGTTCTGCAGATAAATGATGGTAATTTTAAGTCAGTTGTTTTCTTTTCTTTAATTCATTCTAGAATAAGCGCCACTCTGACCCAGCCAAAGCTGATATTAACTGAAACGATTTGTTGATATAGATGTAATAAGGTGATATCCAGAACAGGTGAAAGATGCTCAGTTAGTTCAGAAAATAACTTTTCTTCCTTTTCATCAATGGTGTGTGCCTGAACCTCAACGGACAAAGACTGTAAATATGTTGCACAAATGATTTTTTGGGGCCCAATTCGGGTAGTTCATGTGTGTTTTTTGATGGCAGCTCATTGCTCAGGTCTCATGTATTCTTTTTGAATCTCTAACCTCAGCTGGGTACCTCATACAAATGTGCTTCAAAGAAACCTTTCTATTGTAATGTAACGTTACCTATTACTTATACATTGACTACTTAGCTGAGCCTCATAAGAGGTATAGAATAGGTTTTTCCTAAGATGCTTTTTATGCCCATTTTTATTGAGACTTTTGCTCAAAAAGGCAATTAACTCATCACTGTAATGATATCAGTCACTAATGATATCTAAAACTAGTATTGATGCTTAAAAGGAAACGTGCAAAGGATCGCCGTTTATTATTCTAACGACAATGACCATGAAGAACAAGTGAGTGTTTTGTTGGATTAAAGCACACTGTGCTGAGGTTGCTCTATTTGTGCGGATAATTCTGACAAGTGTTAAAGTTGCCTGAGGAACAAAGATGTGGACAGAGGCCACTAAGAAATGCGAATGTTGTTGCATTTAACAGGCACCTTAAAAATAAGGTCCCTGTCAATCTGAGAGGTAGTGGTTCTCTCCATTAATGCCTGTTTTTTTTAAAGCTTTGATTCAAATGTGTCACAAGTCAAATGAAGTTACAGGATTATATTCAGTGTGTTTAGCAGCTTGGCTTCTATTGGAAAGCCAGGCAGCAGCAGTTCATCTCGGGTTATTCACATCAACTCAGGGGCCATTTGAGCCAGTGGGGTTAAATCTCCTTTTCCTTTTTGTCGCTTCATGTCATCTTATGGTTCTGTCTTCTATCCTGTTTGTCTCCTTCCCTCCATCTGCCTCGCTGCTCTCAATGACCCCCAGTCAGTTTCCTGCCTTTCTTTCCCTCATCTGTCTTCCTGTTATTCTGAATCCTTGTCTGTTTGTACCCAGTGCCCCTGTTTGTGACATTTTGTTTTGTTCTTACATCTTGAACAAGCTAACAATGCACGGAGTTGTAAACCTAAGTCTTTTCTTTAGATTGCACATTTTCAAAGAGGGCTTTTTAAACTTTGGACCATTGGAAATAAATGTAGATGCAGGAATAACCGCTGAAAAAAGCATCCAGCTATTAACATACCAAGAAACCATTCTGAATTTTTATATAAGAAAAAACCTTCCATTTAAAATGTTGATGCCTAATCCAGATCCCCGTTTAATGTATGTGTTCTGCTCTGTTCCAAGTGCTAACTCCCCTCATATTGTATATAAATCTACAATATAATCAAATACATGGAAAGAACCAATAATTATTTTTATTTTTTCCTATGTGAAAATATTTTTAGTTTGATACTTTGGACATGTTTCCCCAAAAAATTGGGGCAGGGACAGTAAAAGGTTGGAGTAGTGAAGTGCTGAATGTATGAACAAATGAGAACATAGATAAGTCGAGTTGATAGATGTAAATAAAAACATTGATGAGTCTCTCGCGGCATGGCACAAAGCCATTATGAGCAGCAGCAGCATTTTAGCTTTAATGCAGACACTGTTCTGTCATGAAAATCGCTGCATGCGCTCAGAAACATCCGCCACCCACTGGTAGTGAACGTATTCAGTCACTTGCTAAAGCAAGTCTCAAACTGTAGGATAAAGAGCAAAACTGTCCTGAGGTGTGATCCATCAAAATCCGTGTTGTTTTTTAGAATTATGGATGCTTTATCAAGCATGCCAAAGAGGCGAGGGACCACCAGCTGTTATCAGTGCACAGTTAAAATAAAAATAAGCCAATGTGATGTATGGGGTGCTGTTAAGGCACCATTAATGCTTAACAACACACTGTTCAGCTTTAGGGGCAGCATATCTATCTATCTATCTATCTATCTATCTATCTATCTATCTATCTATCTATCTATCTATCTATCTATCTATCTATCTATGATAGAATAACTTTGTTTAGAGAAAGAGATAAATTCTCTCAATTCATTCTGGCTTCCACATCTCCCTTGCTTTTAGAAAGTGGCATTATCATCGTAATAAAGACTGGGTTGACAACGCATCAAACCAAAGTGTTTTAACAGTCCATAACAGAGTCCTGCAGAGACCCTGGCAGCAATGGAAGGGTGCGGGTCTAATCTGGGACCAGCGTGAGGATAACTTCCACTGTGGTGTGGAGAGTGGCAAAGAGGATTTCTGAAGCTGTCTAAACTTGCACTAAACACTGAGAGGGCTTAAGAGAGTAAAGTGCTTTGTTTCACAAAAAAAAACAATGGAAGTGCTCTCTGAGGTCTCATATCATACACTTTGAATAATGCTTTTTTTTTTTACCTCTACCCCTCCAGGTCCAGATAGTGCGCAGTGGTAACGTGCAATGCTTGTCCTTCCCCCTGACGGTAGCCACCTTCTTCACTTCCACCTCCTGGGTTCTCTACGGCCTTCAGCTGAATGACTACTACGTTATGGTGAGACTGAAAATCCCAGAGGAGCGGAACAGAAGCAGCTTTCCACATCGATGGGGTGTTATGATAACTGACTCGTGTGTCTGTGTGCTTGTTTCAGGTCCCAAACACACCAGGAATCTTTACCAGCCTGGTTCGATTTTATCTGTTTTGGAAATTTGCCCCCGTCGATCCAAGCTTGCCTCCTTATAAGCCTTTGCAGATATGAGGATAAAAGTGCAAAAAACTGAAAGCAAAGTGAAATCTGCCGGCACCTCTGGTCACCACTCGTCTTGTCTTTGACGTGGAAACAGACAAGAGTTAAATATCGACAAACAAACTGAACAACACCACTTACAAAAGTGGTGACAAGGACAAAAATGATGTGTAAAAAAAACAAAAAGAGAGTGCAAATGTTATTTTTCTCCAGCTGTGTTTTGTCTCCTCTGTGTGTCCCTAAGTGCCTTGTGTTGGGTGATGTTTGCCATTAGATTTCAGTGATATGAACAGGAAACGATCTGTTCACTGTCCAGACAGCTGGGTTTAGACTCATTCCATAATTGCCAAAGATTTTTACGAAAGTGTAACTTGTCAGCTGCCTATGGTGATAGCGATTTATACCTGTTCTGAGTTGGTACTCTTTGTGCCTTTGTGTTACCACATATACTAAATATGTGTCATATTAGGGGCAATTATCATTGTTCAGGACTTTGGATCTGAACCTCTTTTTATTCAAGATGAACAAGAAAAAAGAAGATATTTGCTTATTTTGTCAGTCTATTTTTATAACATGTATATGAAATTGAATGAAATACAAGACGGAACAACATAAGTTTTTTTAGGCCGGGTGATGTTTGTTTCTCTGTTGTCTGTGTCTTAAAATCAAATGTAAGACCAACGTTGGATGTTCCATTTATAAAAGTGCCATTTAAATAAATGAAATATTTACCATAATTATTAGGGATTTTCATGAAGATATTGTTTGTCATGCAAACACGGTAGAGGAGGGCTTTTTTTTTCATCGCTTGTTGAGAAAGTTGAACTTGACCTTTGAAGTCGGAGCGTTTGTGCTACAGCGTGGAGGTTTTGTTTTGGTTGCAGTAATGAGCTTACAAGTAGATGTGTGGAAATAAGTGTGTATGTGTGTAACTAGGGGGCTTGTACAAGAGAGACAAAAGCCCGTTTGATGGTGCAGCAGCACAAGCGAACCTGTTTGTGCGAGTGTGTTGATACAGAAAGGGCAGCGGTGGGAAAGGCCACGCCAGAGGTTCTCATCCCGTGTGTGTGTGTGTGTGTTATGCTGCCGTCCCTTCCTGAGCTCAAAGAGCCTGCCCCTGACACATTGATAACACAGGGCTGTGCTCGAACTGAGCGATTTGTCAAATCTGAGCAAAGAGCAGAGGTGACGGACACATAAGCTTTAGTTGTATGAGCAAAAAAAAAGTAAACGAGATAAAAAAGCATGCATGTTGTACATGTGGGAAACTTTCAAAATATAGGAAAGCAATGAGAGCTTTCAAATCATTTTTTAATATTTTCTTGGGCTTCTGTTAAACAGCATCTTTGCCCCCCAGAAGATGAACGTGATCTTTACATTTTTGTCTGTGCTGCGAACTGAGAAATTCCTCCCGTGTTACCAGTTTAGCTGCCCAGTCGCAGGGTGAAACACAGCGTTTCAAGACGAAAAGGCTAAATATTCTGAAAGTTTCTCACACTTGCACTTGCGAGCTCTACATTTAGAGAATGGTGGTGGAGGAAGCCTCTGGATGGATCCACATCCAGGGAGAGCTGGTTTGGCGCATCCTGAGCGGCTGCACTACAGCCCCGTCTCTTTGTTGCTTTGTTTTGCTTTGACAAAGCGGTAAAAGTTGCTCACCAAATCTGTTCATTTGGGGTTAGAAAAAGAGCATGGACTGGCTTCAAAACAATCTGTTACAACCGTGCACCTACCCCACAAGAGCCATATAAAAGTTTGGAATAAAAACACAAAGGAGCCTTTGGAAATGTATCATACTGCATTGGACACAGAGCTTTGTACATAAGGTATATCTTATAGTGTGCATCCAGACATGCAAAAGTCCATCTCATACAACAGGAAGAGATTATCACTGTCTTTTTGCCTGGGCATACATTGTTAGCTTTTAGCCTCAGGTTTAGTCACAAACTTTTCATCTCTAGCTTTTTCTCTGTGTTTTTCTTTAGGAAACAGATGAGCTGGGCAGTCAGATCTTACCTGAATAATAAGACAAAACAGCAATCATTTTTGCCCATAACCTCCTGAGACCCGAGCTTTTATTTGGCATGCATTTTAGCTTTTTTTTTAAAGATATATGAGATACATATTTAATTAAATGTTTTTACAATTTTGTTCTGACAGTCCCATTGACTCATTTACAGTTTTTCTATTACACAATAAGAACATGATTGGATGGAAATGTATAAAACCATTTTACTTTAGATTTCAAACAGTGTCTGATAGCATCTGCTATGAGGTCAAGAGGTCAAAGCTGAAAGAAAAAAAGAAGTATCATGGTAAAGAGAGACAAAAATGCAACGTCCTCTTATGAGGACACAGGGTCTCAGTCCGTTGCAAAATGTATATCTTAAAACAGCCTGGTGCATATATCAGGAGGGTTATTTCCACATGATCAAATCCGGCCCTTTTCAGAATAGTTTAGACACAGAGTTACTACCATCTTGTTCGGAATTTGTCAACCTTGTAATCAAGTCAGATGTATTGCTCCATGGCAAAGTCTTTATTATTAGCATTTATTATTTTTACCCATTACAATATCTCGGTTTTGTAACACTGTGGGTGGAAATCATGTTCATCTATGTTTTTGTGACAGGCAGGCTTTGTCACACACAACTATTATCTAACCTGCAGGAAATCAATTCCATTGAGTATCCACTTGGGCTTAACCAATGATGAAATTGGGCTCTATAATGCCCAGCCTCTTTGCATATGCTCTATGAATATGGGCTATCCAACCCTCAATTTCTAAAAGAGTTTTTCTAAACATGTGATGTCTACTTTTGCATAACTTTGATATATACAGTCATAATTGCATTTTAACATCCTGCAGACTTAAAAGCATGCAAAGCCACAATTTTGCATGACTGCTTGCCATCAAATTATTATTTAATCTTCTTGCCATTATAAAGGCTTAACAAGATGCTTGGTGAGAGTCATAGGATGAAACCAAACCTCAGAGAAAATATAGCCGCCTCACTTTACATAATCATTCATTCATTCATTTCCCATTCCACCGTTATCCAATTCAGAATCACAAGGGGCCCAAAGTCATTCTTAGCTGCCATGAGATAAAAGGTTTAAAGATTATACAATGACAAATATATGAGATTAAATCTAAGATTTTAGGTGTGATTCTTCCATGAAATGATAGCTCGCAAACCCTTACTGACTCAAAAAAATCTTTGGGCATATGAAGCCTTTTGGTGAATTCCAAGTACTCCAAGCTGATGTATGCTGATGAACTCATATGTTATTTGAGATATATTCAATATTTTTAACAGTAGCTGTTATTGTAGATATAGATTAACTAAGAATTTGATGACTCTTATACACAATCTTTAAAAAAATACTATTTTTTTTACAGTTATTTGAGATTTTTACAACATTTGGAGAATTGTAGTGAGGCTTGTGTAAATATTACAGAGTCATAAGAGTAAAAGGTTTAATCTTCTAGGTTCCATGAAGGCATTCAACTCCAACTTTTCCATATTGATTTTTTTTAAAAAGGAAACAAAGAGCATTAAGATTTACGCACATTTACATGCACTTACAACAATCACGTTTACATGTAAAGAAGATATTGTAATCTGTCTCACATTAGTAGCAACTCATTTTTAATTGTGATAATTTAATCATCTTTTGAAAATGTGCTTTTCAACAGAAAAACAAATTTGGGAGAGGATTGTTCAGACAGAATGAGTCAGGGTTGAGCAGTAAGTAGGGTATGGTGCGCAGAAATGACTCATTTAAAAGGAAAAACATGGGGGTGTAGCTGTAGATAAAAAGTTGTAAATGATGAGTTCTGGATAAGACGAGGGAGAGATTGTTGTTGTTCATCCCTCTGCTGAAGAGAGACAGACAACACTGAGGTTGAAGGGACAATGCATGGAGTCAGACACTCCCTTCATTAGCGGCTGGGACTTTACTGTACGGAGACAACCAGCCGAGTGTTGGACAGGAAATCAAAGCAATCAAAGGCCGTACGCTGAGCAGTGCACGTCTTTAAAGCCCAGTGGCAGCATGAGATCTGCGTTTTGTAATTGAGTGTGCACGTGTGTGTGTGTCAGTGCGCGTAGGTGCACTGTTGAGGGGGGTGAGCCGCTGAACAATGAGCGCAGCTCACAAACAGGATGCCTCTGTTTCCTGAGGCTGAGACTGTCTCCTTAAACAACACTCTTCAGCTGACTGTTGTACTTGTGCCCACATCCTTTTAAATACAGGCACACATGTGTTAAATGTACAGTATGTCGGGTGACTTATACTGTCAACCCCCACCCCCCCAAAAAAATATTTCCATCCTTAAGGGGAAATTTTTGATGTATGAATTTAGTTTCCACTGAAATTACACACAACAAAGCCTGAGCTAAGAGGCAGACTGCATCCAGACACTGTGCAAACTCAGCAGATAAACACGCACGGCACACCGGGAGGCAGTCAGCAGCCTGTCCACATTCTGCCGTCAGAAAAAGCACACCTGTCCCAGCTGCTGTTTTGTAGAGAATAAGGGATAATAAGGAATGCGTTTCCCTCCGTTTCCCTGCAACCCACAACCCTCCCAGCACCTTATTTTGTCCACAACCCTCAACTTGTTTTTCTCTTGCTGTTCCCAGGACCAGATATTGTTATGCCCAGTCTTATAACATATTTCCCCCTTTCTCTTTTCCCAAGTCATCTCATCTCAAACGCAACGACCAAAAACACTGTTACAAAAAGAGAATCGCTCTCTGTTAGGTTTTTCCACTTGTGCATCCTCTAAGTCTTTGTCTTTCACCTCAAAGTCATCTGTAATATCTGTTGAATCATACAATTTCCAATTCTGTTCCTCCATATTTAATTTCTTTAACTGGAATGACCTTACACTCTTTTTTTTAAACTGTCCCCACTGACTGAAAAGTTTACCATAAACAGATTCTTTGCAGTGAAAAGCGGGTTTGCCATTCTAAATTGTTGACCACTTCAATTTTCTTTTGATTTTACACGCAGAGGAGATATGGGCTCAAGAACCAAATTAGACTTCATAACCGTTTTAACATGCGTCGGGTTTCGCTGATAAAAGTCATTCATAAAAGTCACACAGTTAGCATTCATTTTATTGGCACATGTGTTGGCCAGCATTCCATGTTAACCAAAGCAGCTGGCTCTGTTGGTATTTATGATGAAACCTTTTTAACTTGTAACAAGTGGCTTTCTGCTCCAGTTCAAACAGCTTTGCCCCCTGTTTTCATTTCATAATCAGCATTTCTCTCCTAAAGTGTGCAGGCTGCACAGCTGAGGGGCTCACACAGCTAAATCCAAGCACAACGGGCTGCACACAAAGCCTGCTTCTTTTTTCTTACACACGCACACAGCCATTTACAAAAATGTGACTCCTCAGCTCTTTTACTTTCAGCAGCTGCCGCTGGAGGCCCTTTGCTCTGCAGCCCAATGCTGCCGAGGAAGACGGTTAACAGGCAGAACCTCCAGTGTGTCTTAAGGGGTTGCTGGGGCTTCAGAGTGTCCTGTCAGTCTTCCTGAATGTTTTGCCTCCTCCTTCCTCCCCTTCCTGCCTCTGCCGCCCCTTCACAACTGAGCAGTGAGTGGAGTGAAATGTGGACAGCTAGTCATTAAGCTGTCAGAGGAGAGCCCATGGAGCAAAACTCTCCAAAGTCAGAATGTACACGCTTCTCTTTTGATACAAATCAACAACCACGAACCCTTTGCTTTGACCAGCTGCACAGACGGTGTGACACCAGTGGATGAAAACAACAGCAGCTTTACACAATATGTGTCAAACACAATATTATTTGTATAACTGGTCTCTTCTAACTGAATAAAATGGTAAAAGTGCATGGAAAATGGAGTCGTACAGCAAAGAAAAACACTGTGAAGAGCACCGTTAAGTGAATGAATGTCAAGCTAATGTTTTTCCAGTCTAAAAATGACACACACTAAGACATAAATACCCACACAACCTTAGGAGCACGGGTCGTGTCTGAGCACGCCTTCTCACTGTTGGCATCCATCCAGAGCACACACATGTGATGGGTTGGTGTGTGAGTGTGTGTGTGTGTGTGCACGTCGTGGTGGTGTTGGACATGTTTTTAAATGAAAACTTTGCCAGACAGAGCTGAAGTGCCTGTGGGATCCAATGCAGCTACAAACAAAACTGGCTTTGAGAGCAGTGGCTAAAAGCCATTTGGTTCAATGGTTTTGCACACTTTCCCTTTTTGGAAAACGAGCACACCAGTTGGAACTTGTAAAGTTGCACAGACGCTTTTGGTGGAGCGTCTGTGTGTTCGCAGGGCTTACACCTCCCGGGCTGATCACAGGTGCTGAGGACAGACAGAGCACACAGCTGTTTTTAGGGACTTGGACCCTGATTTTATTGGCTGTGGCTTCTTGCAATGAATATAGTTTGATTAAAGATCTCCACATTTCATTTTGAGATGAACTGTTTGTGAATGGCAAAAGCATTTTAATACATGTCTTTCAGTCTAGTCTGAATATGACACAGTTTTTTGTTAATTCTGTTACAGTGGTATTGCTACTGGATGGTAAGAATTTAGAAATGACAACTTGATGTGTCTTGATATAAATTAAACATTCAGAGCAGAAATGTTTTTCACTCCAGTTACAATTCTGATCTTTATCATCGGCAGTATGAATCTGATGTTTCTAAAGAAAAAAACGTACCTTACAGGTAAACTGGGAAATAACAATTTCAGGGAATTTCCAGTGAATCAATTACATGTGAGCGTAAACAAAAGAAACAAGACTGCCTTAACTTTTTTTGTGTGACGTGTCACTTGCTAAAGGAAATTATGAGCTGTTTCTATTAAATGAAGCGCTGGAGCCAAGCAGCCAACCCAAACTATAGAACAGTTTAGTACAAGGCTTAAGGAGAGAAAGGTGTACATTTTATAGTCTGCTTTTCCTCTTTCTGTCACAACATATAACCTTCAGTTGTGTGCCAGGACACAGCTGAAAAAAGAGCAGATGATTTTAATGTTTTGCCAAATAATACAGTTGATTGATATTGATTCATGTGGCTTGTGGCCAAGAAATAAGTGGAAAAAAGATTTGAAAGAGAACCAAGAAGAAGTGAGAAGAGGAATATTTTTCCTGCCATCCTTTATTAAAAAACACAGATTTTTATGCTGAAAGCTCCACTTGTTTTGAAGTGTCAAACCTGTCTATGCGGGTTTCTGACCAAACAAGTTGACTCTGTTTGCACCTGTTGCTTTATTCACTCTCCAGAAGGCAGAAAAAACAAGGGGAATCCACAGAGAAAAAACAATGTTGCCATCTAGTGGTGTATATATGTTGTTTTTTTTAACACTGCAAGCCCTGGCTTGAGAAAAGCTACATGTCTAGTCTAAAAGCAGTCTCCTTTCGTGTCTATAAACTATTTTGCTGTTATGTAATATACACTTGTTTTTGTTCCCCTTGTAGAACATACCTTTATGTCACTTTGTCTGGCTAATAACTGCCTGTTAGAACAGCTATCCTATCCAACAAGTTCGACTTGCTCACGTCATCCTGTCTGATTCAGAGCGTGTAAAATACAGATGTTGACCTCTCTGCTGACCTCTTTCCGTTGACAGTATCAGGTGTTTTAAGGTAGATCTTTCAAAATAGGCGGATTAGATTTCATCCCAGTAGCAATTATCTGTTAATGCAGCCCTGGTACACTTGCCGTTCAGGTTTTTCCATGACATCCAAACAAAGAAGGCTTGTTTTTACAATCGCTGTAAGAACACCCGTCTGCTGTTTACAGGCAGTGTTCATGTGACAGTTTTATGAAGCAGACAGCACCCTTACAAGCAGATGCATCAGCCAAAACATGTTTTTTAATCTGGCGTAACAGCTGATGTTGACAACAACATAGGTTTACAGCTGAGAGGCTCACCTGAGGTGACTGGTACAAATGCCACTGCCTTATTTATGTGAGATGCTTGTTGTGAAAGTTGGCGTGAATTTTACATTTTTCATTATCCTTTTTTAAAATCCTTTTCTCTTTTTAAGCACTGATACAATAACTCCTTTGTTTACATCACTTTAAAAAACAAATAATAAATACAATATCTGGCAACCAGAAATCTTAAAAAGTTATCAATATCATTCTGAACAAAAACTGTTTTGTCCCCAAGCTTTGATGCTCAAAAGCCACAAATAAATGTCAAAAGGTCAAGGTTTGACACAGAGTGACCCCGTGCAGCAGTTTAGAGTTTTTCATTTATTGATTTATCTTTTTTCTCATGACATGATGGAAACATTCAGCCAGCAAGACAAAGTCAAATTTTAGGTATGAAATGCTACAATTTGAGGTCATTCGAGTGCTTTGCTGGCACACAAGTGGAGGGAAGCCATTCAAGACAGACACACATGGACAGATCGCTGAGCAGGCTTAGGGACTAAATGTCTTATCAAAGACAAACAGACACAAACTGTTTAAAAAAGAACCAATAAAAAAGCTATGTTAAGCTTGGAAACAGACATTTGAATTTTACATTTGAATTTGTGTTTAGTGTAAAATGTCCACAACAAATTATTCAAAGAATGAAATGAGACCAAAACAACAGTCAAGCATTCCCAAAGAGATACAGAGTAACTGCAGTGGTGGATATTTCATATACGGAGACAGAATGGCAGAACAGACACATAAAGTAAAAAATGTTAAAATGAAATGCAAAAACTAAAATACTTGCAGATGACACCTAAACCTTCAGCCAATGACCATTAGAGCTGACCATTAAAAGGAGATCTAAACAAGAATTGCAGCAGAAAGCAAACAAAACAGAAGGAAAAGTTTCAAAATGAAAATCACAATCACAAAAACATCTATAACATGCACATGATCCATACATCCAGTTGTGTCTGCGCAGTTTGTGGATGTTCATATCTTTCAGTGTGAGTGTCTGCCCTCATTGGGGTGATTGGAGGTAATTTGATACATATAAACCAAGATGCCTTTTTTCCCCATAATCTGTCCATGAAGACACATATAAATGTCACAGAAACCACATAACCATTCACATACCACATCAAACACATAGCTAGAGCTCGCATCCACTCATCAAAATACAGCCTGAGACAAAAATGTGAAAATATAACCATATAGTCTCTTGTGTGCGAATAAAGTTTTTCCAGACTCTTGGATTCCTTAAACAGCATATTGAATAACTTTTTAAAATAAACACATAAACTAAGCACTGTTAATTGCCACAAAAAAAAGGTATTAACACCCAAAAATTAAAAATCAGCTATAACTTATATGACTCCTTCAGCCAGCCATCAATACTCATGTGCTATTCAATACTTCAAATCATACGAGCAACGCTTGTGTTACTACTGAAATGCAATTAAATGTCTGTAAGTCAGTAAAAATAATATAATCGTTCGTTCAGAATTCTAACAGATCCGGGTTGTGATGTGAACGAAAAGAGAGGCAACTGTGAGCTCGTCTCTGCAGCCATGCAAAACCCTTTTAAAAACACAGACCCTAACAAAACCCATATGTTATTACTTGTCACTTTGACAGAGGCTGCAAAACGTTCCCATTAACAAACAAAAATACGGACATTCTCCATTTCAGGGATCTATTTACATCAATACTTCTTAAGCTACATACAAAATGAAGATAGAAAAATTAGACATACAGTACGTCTGGGGTGTTTTTCTCAAATGCATATAGGTATGTTATGAATGCTTGTTACACTCGCATGCAACGTTTTATTGTCCTGTCATTCTGAGGGAAAATAGGAGAAAATCCTGACCTGCTATGATGGGGTTTTACTTCATACCCCGTCAACAAAATTCTGCATAGTCTAAAATCCCATCAGTCATTGTGTTCACACGAGCATTTAAAGGCTGAGAAGAAAGGTAAATAGATAAGCCAAATGGTAATTTTATGCTTCAGGCCAAGTGCAAATACAGAAGAACATCAGCTGTTTATATTTAGATTCCAAAAAAAAGACATTACTGTATTTTAACAGTGACCCAATGTTATATCAATGTTTGGCAAGATCAAATGAATAATCACTCTAAATATGGAAAGAAATGATGAGCTTTCTCCATAAATAGCTTATTTGCTCCGATTAGTTGCTCGCGTTTGGATGGTAACCCTCCTCGGTGGGGGCTCCTCGATGCTCCGATTGGCCACAAGATCTTGTAGCTGTAGCGCTCCACCACCAATGAAGCAAAAGGCCGGACACACCGGAGCAGAGCAATCCACATGTCCCTCCCACAGGACACGTAAGGAGTGAGCATCGTAGAAGGTGACGCGCCCTCTGTCGCAGTCCAGGCACACTCCCAGCCGCGGCGGCAGAGGAGCGGTGTGGGAGTGGAGCTTGTTGCTGTGGCTGCTGCTCTGGGAGTGCAGCCCTCCCTGACTCTGGCTGTCCCCCTGGCTCTTGGTGTGACCGTGTCTTTGAGGGAGCAGGATCTTACCCATGCCCACGGTGAGGAAGCAGAGCGGGGGCGAGTCCTGGCAGTCCTCTGCCTCACTGTCGTGTCCACTGTCCGGGTCACAGCTAGGAAAGGGGCAGAGGGCAAGATAACATCAGACTGTACTGGACAAAAAGATTTGAGAAAAAGGAAAAATAATCTGTTTTCAAAGACCTTGAATAGAGTGTGATCTAATGAAGTGAACACACGTTTAATGCTGGGGTTCTACCTCAGTTATAATGTCAATTACCTTTACTTTTTCATCCATTTTGAGCTGTACACCACAATCAAGAAGACCTCACTTTTACAAGTGAAAAGCTGGGGGAATGTTCATGGTGTTTGAATAAAATCTCAAAAAAAGTTAAGGGTTCTGATGGAAAAAACAAGTACGTATATTTAAATATATCAATAAAAACAGCTGGCCATTTAATTGGAACGCTAATCTTGTCCCAGTACACATGCAGAAGTTTTTTTTTAAGAGGTTCATGTGATTCTGCTCTTCGAAGTCTGTGCGTGGGACAAAGATATGAATTTTATGACTAAGATTTAGTTACCGAGGGCTCGCCATGTCCTGGGGGATGTGGAACCACTCTTGTAGTTTTGTTTCCTGCCCAACCCCAACCTGTAAATGAGTTTCAAACATACCAAACCAAAAAGCTTTGGTCAGTAAAAGCTATTTCCACAAATATAAACCACTGTTAATTCAGAGCAAAGACATCCTCTCACCTTCACCAAGTAAGATCCGGGCTCCACAGAGCATGCCCAGTAGTGTCTGCCTTGAGTGACGGCCAAGTCCGCCACCAGCAGGTCAGAGGTCAAGTTACAGGAGGTGAGGGCACGGTCGGCTGCTTGCAGGAGGGACAGCCCCGGCACACTGCGGGCGTAGGTCTGGCCTTTACCCAGCGCCAAACGGTCTGCATGCAAACCCCAGCGAGAATCCAAGGAGAAACTCAGGACTGGGAGAACAGGGAGAGAGGGTAAACCAGTAAGAAAAGGAAGGATTTAAAATAGAGAGAAGAAAAGGAATACTGTCAGAAGAAAACAGGGGGTTAGATCTTGATGTTTGACTAGAGAGAGACAATTAGCCTTACTGAAAAAGGAGCTGGGAGAAGGGAGAAATACACCATTTATGAGGAGAAAATGTAAAAAAAAAGGTTTAAATCAAGGGAAAAACTGAAACAAATGTTTTTACAACAGGAAACAAAGACACGCATTGTGTAAGAAGTCTCAAGCTAAAGTAAATGTTTCTGAAGGGTTGATTATGCAGAATAATTTCAATGCACAAATAACAAAGAATTTTTGAAAAGGCAAGAAGACAGACCTGTGGCAAGAAAGAGAGAAGCAGAGATGTAATGACTGGGATGACACTGAAATGAAGAGCAAAAAAGGAAGGCTTTGTGCAGAAGCTAAACGTAAGGATGAAAAATATCATGGGATGGAGAGAAAAGAAAAATCGAGATTAGTTAGTCAATTCAACCGCCTCCCCCTTTTTTTTAGTGAGCAAAGTGTAGACATTTTGAAAGTGATCAGGTGATCATGACCTACCCGGTGCAGGTGGGGTGTGGAGGTAAACCTCTTCGCTGTACTCTCCAAACCCTGCTTTGTTGCAGCCTCTCACCCTGAGCACGTACACGCTGTCCATCTGCAACCGGTCAATCACAGCGCTGGTCCCTTTCACTTCATTCAGTCTCTGCCATGGCGTGGAGGAGCTGGGGGATCCGGTGCCCCCCCACGCGGCGCCCACGCCTCCGGCCCGTCGCTGGTATTCCACGGAGAAGTGCCAGGCCGGAGCCGAGTCCTGAGGGAGGCGCCAGCATAAGAACAGCTGGTCGTACGCCAGGGTCTTTTGCGTGTCAATAACTGGAGCCAAGGGTGCTGTGGAGCAGGACAAATAGCAAAAACAGGCACGTGTAGACTGCACCACAACAATACCGCCACTTTCACATGGCTCTTAAGCAGGGGGTTTGGACCTCACCTTGTATGAACTGCAAGCTGTTGAGAAGCCTAACCTCTTTGGATGCATCGAGGTGAAAGTGTCTGAAGGAGGGATCAGCAGCAAGAGAGAAACACTGTAGATTTTCAATGGCCTTAATCAGCCTGCCAGAGACAGAAAGAGACTAAATCAAGAGAATGATCGAGCAGGAAAAAAATCCATGAATGAGGGAAAGGTAAAAAATGATGATACGCCATGTTTATACACCTCCTTACTTTCGAGTTCAGGGTTGAGCTAAAAAGGATGTCTTACCTGTGGTGTGTCACCCTCGCAGCCTGGACAAAGCAGGGGGCATCTGTCTCTTTGAGCAGCTCCTGGCTGTACACCATCAAACCTGCCTGCTCCAGCAGGTTTTGCTTCTGGAAGACCTGATTGGACAGTGCCTCCAGTCTCCTGCCTCTGGATCCTTCTAGCACCAAGGCTAGAGTTCCCTGACGCTCAGCGACAGCCGCTCCAAGCTCTCGGATGCAGTGGGTCAGCTGCTGCAGAGCCACTGCACCGTTAGCCTGCCAGAAGACCGAGGGGGCGCCGAAAAGTGAGAAGGATCCACATTGACCGGAGAAACCTTTGCTACAGATACAGATTTTGGAGTGTACTTTCATGCTCAGAGTAGAAAATCTTTTCTTCTCAAAACCTAAGCCAACTTTAACAGAAGTGGTAAGAATTCCAAAAGGAGGACAAATCCCTTACACAGTCCAGCAGAAACTGAAAAGAAGTGATTTGATCAACATTTATGGCTAGATGAGAAAGAAAAAAACCTGTAATGTTGTAAACTGAGAATGAGACTCACTCTTTGGGGACCGTTCTGTAAAAGTTCTAGACATTTACTGAAGACGTGGAAACAAGAATTGCATTTTTATCATGTCTGCAGACGTCTGCCTTGTTTGTTTGTGCTCAGTTTTGTCCTGTTTTATCTATTTATTATGTATTGTTGGCCTTTGGTGCCTTTTACCAGCTTGCATTCAAGTATGGACATCTGTCTACCGGTCAACTTAATTGTGGGTATCCATGGGGTAACAAAATGGGAACTATGCTCCGCATCATTAATTTACTTTAATCGAACTGAATCTATTGATCCAGATCCAGATTAAATGGGGAGCAACACTCCAGAATGTGCTAAATCCTCCTGGTTGTTTTATTCTATCAGACAGTTTAGCCTTGTTGCAGCCTGGAACACTTTGTCTGATCTGGCATACTTCAACTTGACCTCAGCTATTTCTGTTAATTGCCATTTTGTAATTACATTACAGACTGCAGAAGCAGACACCGGCAACAGGTCACCAATCTGCTTCTAGCAGGGGGTGTCCAAAGTCATCCCTAAAGTTGCCTTTCAGGTTTTAGAAGTCTCCCTACTTTAACACACCTGATTCACCTGATCTATGTGCATTAGCAGGTGTGGTCGGAGCTTTTGAATAGTTCCATTTAATCAGAATCAGGTGTGGTGAATCAAGGAAACTTTTTTTTGTTTTGCATAGAGGTTAAATGTTGTAACAGATGTTAAAACGGTGTATTGTACATTGCCCAAAACATGGAAAGTCACAGTTATAACAAATCAAATAGGGCCTATAAGGTAAAAAAATATTTAAATAAAAGAAAAAAGCTTGGGTGGTGGGTAAATTTCAGCACGTAATTACTTTGTTTTGTTATAAATAATAAAGTAAAATCTTTGTGTAAGCCAAACGGAAAAAAACAGGAAAAAAACTGTGTTCATAGATTGTGTTACAGATTTTGTGCACCTCCATCTGTTTAATGGCAGCTTCCAGTTGAGTGATCTGACTCTGGATGGTCTCCTGGTTGGCCAAAATGAAGTTGACTTCCTTGGTAATCTTGTCCTGTGAAGACATACATGAGGTTAAGGTTGCTGCCGCTGTGATTTTAACACACTTGAACCAGAATACCTGCGCGCTCACCTTGAGGGCCTGGTAGGCCTGTGCTATAGGCAAAACTTTGTGTCCGTGGTGAACGCGTCGGAGTTTACAAAGGGGGCACAGCAACCTCTGGCAGTTACGGCAATACCACTGCATTCTCTCCAGCTCGTGTTCAGTGCATGTGAGGACCTACAGCACAAACCGGGATGTAAGCACAACCCAAAAGCTGCTGCTGTATACATTGTGCATAAAAATTAAATGAAAAAACACACACAAACCTTCGGCCTAAAGTTGTTTGTGGGTAGAATGTGTTCGTGCTGAGCTCGCGGGGTTCCCCACGGATGGTAGAGTTTGAAACACTCATTGCAGAAGTTAGACTTGCAGTCAGCACAGCCCTTAGTGGCCTCCAGAGACTGAGGGGGTTTACAGAAACCACACATAATGGCCACGCTGCCAAGGCTTATTGTGTGCCTGTACCTAAAGGGCAGACATGAACACAAGCAGATAAGGGCAGGCAGTTCTGCAGCAAGCAGAAAAGAGCACAGACAAAAAGTGCCTATTGAAGAGAGGAAAGATGGAGTTTGTGTGAGAATGTCCTGCTCTCTTTTCAGCAGTTAGGTGTCCAACTCTTTTAGCCGCCTGGCCTGGATACATCACCAGCTGCTGCGCAGTGAAACATGCAGCATAACACTTTCTGATCAGGACAACTTCATCTGGGTACGTCAAACAGCTGCGTATTCCCATTAACATCGAACCAAGCTCATGTGCTCTAAAAAGCAGCTCCTCTCAATGTGTTCTTCTACGTTTGAAGTTGGTTCAGAAAATTGATTATACAAACCTTGCTCACATAACAAAATAGATAAAACTGACTGTATTCTTTCTGTTGTGTGCTGCAGTTTTCAAGCTTTCCTGCACCCTCCTCTCAGGCTTAGCCTTTGATCAGGAGTAAAGAGGAGATTCATTATTGAAACTCCTTCCAGCTAATGATTTCCTGTCTCATTTCTAAAGCAGCACTAACTTAACTCTTTACTCACTGCTTTCCACTGAGTTCAGTTTTTTTTTTTAAAATCATGATCGTCATTATTTTGACTCTGATCATTTGGTGATGCCTGCGACCCCATTAGGGAATAAGCGGTTACGAAAATGGATGGATGGATTAGCTGATGCTGTGCTGATGAAATGACGTTGCCACAGAATGAAGTAACCATCAGTCAAGTTTCAGACAGAAAACATTGACTTCTTGTATCCTGTTTGCTAAAGCGTAAACATTAAAATTATGATAAACCTCTCCACGATGCGTTCCAGAGTGAGGTTACGGAAGCAGTCTGTGAGGCCTTTCTCCCCGAGCTCCACGTCCTGCTGACAGGAGGGGCAGGGGAACAGCATAGGGGGAGGGGCTGCATCTTTCCGCCTGCGCCCCGGGTATGTCCCACACACTGAGAGAAACATACAGGAGAGTAAAAGGGATACGGACAGAGAGAGAGAGAAAAAACATATTAAGTTATTTATTGGAGAGAGGAGCTCCTTGAAGATCTGTTAAAAGGTCATTTCACAATGAAGAAATGATATTCACTTACGAACACTTTTTTTAAACATATCAGTTTGGCTTTTTTTATTTCTGTTTTTTATGCACACTCGAATAAGTCATGAGCTGTAAACTTTAGGTGTACAGCAAACATTGATGTGTCAGCTAAGAGGGTAGTTATATCATACTGCGTCATTATTTCAGTTTTTTTCTTGTTATCTTTACACGAAAACATCACTCTTTAGCCTCTCCAATCCTGAAGTTACTCATCCCTCCCTTCACACACGAGCAAAGCACCCTGCTAGGCCTTTTAATGTCCCCGATAACATGCGCCAACTGTACACATGGACGCACAAAAAAGCCATTTCATTCACCTGTCCTGAGGACACGTTCTAGACGATCCGGCGTCCTGGGCACAGGTCTGCGTGCCTGTCGTGGTGAGCGGGTATTGGGGGTGGAGGCTGGTGAGTTGGGCTCCGGGGGGAGATCTGGAGGAGGATAGCCTCTTTGTACCAAGATCTCAGCTGCACACAGCAAACACACGCTGTGCTGGCACGGCAGTAGGACGGGCTGCTTCACCATTTCATCACACACTGGGCAATGCAGCTCCTGTTCCATGCTCTTCATGTTGGACTAGAGAAAAGAGGAGAGGGGAGGATTGGTTCGAGAAGAGAACCGAGAGAGGAGTCAGACTGAATAAGGGCTGACTCACTAAAATAGATAGGGATTCTGGACATCGTGCAGTGCCTGTCAACTTAGAAGAAAGAGAATGTGTAGGAGTAAACAGGGTGAAGGAGTGATGAAAACTGCTTATACAGCCTGATGCCTGATGCAGAGCATAAGAAAGGTCAAATAAGAGGGGAAAAAAGTATTGCGGTGGACTTGTGGAACGTGTCTTCCAGAATTTCTGACAGGTCTAATTTCTGATAAAAACAGCAAGAACAATTATGAGAGACTGAAATCTTTTTCCATTGGATTTCATTCTTTTCTTTGTCACTTAGTGGTTTTTTACTTCAGTTTTACTGGTCGTGGCACCCTCTTTCCATTGCCTCTGCTACAGAAGGCAGCATCCCGTTTCTATGACAACGTGCATCATCCCTGCCTTCTCATCGTGTGAGGCCTGAAGCTCTGTGCCATCTTCCAGCATATTTAGCCAGCCAAAAATCATGAAACCCTTAATTAAGCTGAACCTACTTCAGGGGGAAATGGGATATCCATTATGTGTATTTTCTATGTCGAACAAGTGGACACTTGCCTCAGAACAGACGTGTCTGTGATTTTGTAGACGACTACACGTTTTTTTAAAAGAGAAATGGCTTACATTGTACAGTACCTGCGCAGTTAGTAACTAGTCATCCCATATGCACAGCCGGATACAAAGGTTGTTACGGTTAATCGTTCAAATCACAGCACGTATGGTGAAAATGGTCAAAAACAAACCAGAAACAGCGTCACACTTACACTGATGCGAACCAGCGCGTCCATAATAGAGGTAAAGGTCTGTAAGTCCGCTTCTGCCATCCTTCCCCGCTGTGTCTGCAATAGTGGGACCTGTTTTCTGAAGAAAGCCTTGGCAGGTATTAGCAGATACCTCGGTGAAACAAAACCCAGGCCTTCACTGTCTGAGCGTAAAGATAAATGTGCTGTGCTTGTGATGTGCTGCTGCACACGCGCTGATGCTGTTTCTGTACCGAGGACCGATTAGACCGGTTGGGGGAAAACTGGATAGGAGGGGGTGGGGGTTTAGGAACTGCCTGGCTCAATTTATTAACCACAACCGCATTGCTCATGTCAAAATGTATACTATAGTAGTAGTAATAGTATTATTATGCTTTCCATTTCATTCCACGCATACATTTGTTTCTTATTCCAACGCATTGTCCCTACGCAGTACATTATCATCTTGCAGAATTTTAAATAAGTGATATTTTCATGCGTATCGCTGCAGTAGAGGACTGTTATGTTTTGTAGCGTGACGTGGGTTTCGTCGGAACCACAAGCCAAATTGTTTGTGACCCAGTTTTACTATTTCCATTAGATGGCAGTGTTGTGTAATTAACATACAAAAGAGCTCCAATGGTCGATGAGTTCAGCCAGGAACCTTTAAACGCAATGTTTTCGTCCGGACAGTGATATCAACCGTACCAACGTGGTGGTTGTTGTAGCAACCGTTAGTAACGTCGGAGCTGACTGGAATTAATTTAACGTAAATGAGTTAAGATTGATTTTTTTTACGATATTTGAAGCACATGTGTACGTAACCTAGGTTAAAGAAAACAGCTTCTGTTTTTTTAAACAACGTAGATTTAGCCGCGAGGTTCGCTGACTTGCTAATATATATCATCACGACACGTAAACTCGGCACAAAAATGTGTTAGCCACTCCAAAGTTGGAAAAACAACGTTTGTACATATCCAATTGTGCCTCCTTATCGTTAGTTAGTTTAAGACGTGTCAGCTAAAGTATGTCAGCCGTTAGCAGTCTTGTCCCAGCACGGTTTCTCACCATCACTGCTCATCTGGTCATCGTGATTACTATATTTTGGTCGAGGGTAAGTAAACATTAAAAGAACAGGCCACGAATGTTTTTAAGCAAAAAAACTAATCTTATTTATAGTATGTTTTTTAATACGAGGTGCATAAGAAGTATTTGGAAGTTTTATTTTAGAAGTAACATTACCGGTGGAAAATACGCATCTTACAAGAATTCAAATTAGGATTTGTATGCAGTTGTTTCTGTCTTATATCATTTTCATATTTGATTTGACTCAACAATGCCGTTTTCCTCCTTATAATATGTTAGTCATCTTTAACCTCCAAACACAGCACTACAAAGTTATGTTTGCACAAGAGATGTAATCCATCAGCAGTTTTAAGATATGCAGGAGATTATTACTTGTAAATGTCAAAGTGCACCTTTTGTTTAACCACTACTGTTACATTTTGCTTGGAAATGTTGTCATGTAAATTTTGCTTTTCAGGAAAACAATGTGAAAGCAAGTTTACCTTTGGATTTCACTCAAGAGGAGTATGAGACTGAAGACAGAAAGTAAGGAAATGTTAAAGTTATGTCGGACACACACTTGCATACACACTCCTCTAACAAGTGTCCCTTTTTCAGGTTGGTGGTGGCATTGGCTGTCACTCTGGGTTTGTTTGCTATAGAATTGGCTGGATTCTTTTCAGGAGTGTCCATGTTCAACTGCAGCCAAGGTATCCTGTGTATCCTTTGATGTAACAGTGTTGGTCCATCATTGAAGATTGTCATGGATACACTCAGTAGATATAGTCATGGCTAAAGGTGTGTCCCGTTAATTGCTTTTGTCTCAAACTGACAGATTTAACGGATATTTATTTTTGAAACCTTCTCCCCCACTTTCCTTTCTAAACTGCTGACATAAATTAAACTGCAAAAATGGACTGTAAGCATCAGCATTCGGCTGCAAGAAATTCATTTAAAATCAAACATCTTTTTAAAATCAAACTATGAAAAATATATAGCCATATTAATGAGTCACTTGGGGTCATCATTTATTGTTCCATGACTGAAATCTTGCTTGTATTTGACACTCCTCCAACAATAGCAACAGGAGTCCATGCCAGTGCCTCTGTGGCTCTGCTTTTCTTTCTCTTTGAGCAATGGGAGTGTGTCATCTACTGGTGGATTCTTGCCATATGCAGGTACGTGTGTATATGCTCGATACTCTGTATATAAACACGATGTAATTTCCTGGAAAAGTTTTTTTTTTCCCTGACTGATCATAACCCCAGCATTGACCGTCCACTGCAGCGCGTCTGTGTCCTTGTCTTTCTTTGTGTTTGAAAAGTGGGAATGTTGGACATACTGGGTAATATTTTCCACCTGCAGGTTGGTGTGTGTGTGTGGATAATATCTTTATGGATTTCTAGCTTTCAGATTAAAGGTATAACAGTGAATATGGCTCTGCTCAAGTGGTTAAGCCAACATGGTTGTCCTTGTCTGCCTCTCCCTCTAGTGTCCTACCTGCCTTTGTGGAGGTTCTTCTGTTTATAGCAGTTTTCGGACTGAAGAAGAAGCCATTATAGCAGCTCGGACAAGATGTGACCTGGGTCAGTGCACATATGGATGTCAATCATTGTATCAGCGGATATCGTCTGTGAGCCATAAATAATGAGTCCACTAATAAGTGGACAAAAAGGTTTTATCGCTATACAACATGTTAAGCCATGGAACCGGCAAATGTCGATGGAGTACACCAGCAACTTTACCCATTTCCTTAGAATATTTTTGTCATACATTTTTAAAAATAAAATTGTTGTAATAAAACTATTTGTTTTGTGTCATTCACTGTGTTGTTGGGGTCTTTTGTTTTCGGGTTAAGAATTCTCAAGTCTTTTTTTAAACTTTATCAAGATATCTGTTTCAGAATCTGAAGGAATCAATGACATTATACCCTTTTTTGGAGGGACTTTGAAATAACTTATTTTGTTTCTTTTGTATCAGGGAATAAGCGGTATTGATAATGGATGGATGGATAGATGGATGTTTCTTTTGTCCCCAGTATATGTACAGATAATATTAATTTTACCCGGATGATGTACCTTGATAATTAATCCAACTATCGGTTGTCTAATTAATGAAACTTTAAGATTGATTCAAGAAGTTGGATTTCTGGTTGTAAAACGGAATGTTTAATAAACAACCATTCGGAATAGACATATATATATATGTTTGTGTGTGTGTAAAATGTACATTTGCAAGAATGGAACTTTAATCTGAATATAATCACGTGGTGAGTTCACGGGTCCGCCCGCTGGTTCCCCCTGACATTCAGACCGGTGAGACTTTAGTTCCCAGAGCCAGTGCAACATTCTGGCTGTGCTAAAACAACTCTATCCGTGTTTCAGCTCAAGGAGTGTCATTTAGAATCAAGTAATGGGTATGTATACAGTAAATGCCGTAATATTCTGATACGTTCGCTTAATATTTTTGCAGATACGCAAATGTTTGGAAATGTAGAAGTGGGGTCCTGTTTTTAAGCTAGCTAATGTCTAGACGTGAGCTGTGTTACTATATAAGATGCATAGTTTGCTGCTTTGTGTCCTTTTTAGCCACGAACATTTATCAAGAGACCAAATTATGTAAGCCTTGGTTTTTTTCTGTTAGTGCAGCGAATTTGGTTTGCACAGGTTTGTGCGTACTAGCATGTTCAGCTTGAAGCTAACTGCTAAGACGGAAACGTTTATGTGCGTACACTGACGTGGCGTAAAGGCTAGCGCTATATTTTAAACAAAAAAAAAACTTTGAAAATGCTATAACCTAATCGTTTATGTCACGCGAAATTACTAAAGTAAATGTGACTATTTGATGAAGTGCAAAGGGACACGTCTTGTTTGTCGGTAATCTCACCCGTTATTGATGATGCATATTCAGACTACAGTAGTTTCCTACTTGGCCATATTTGAACATGGTTTTGGAGATTTTATTACTGCTCTTAACCAACCTCTTTTTTTTGTTGATTTATAGCTGTGAACACAGGCACTTCGCTGGTGCTTTCCAGTCTGCTCTCAGTGCTGGTTTTTGCTGGGATGCAGATGTTCAGCAAACAGCTGGGATCTACTGAGTGGCTCACCATCCTGGGAGGATTTCTGGGCTCAGTCCTTTTCATTTGCTCCCTTACTGTATCCTTTTGTGTATCAAACAAAGTTATAGGTTCTTGATACAGTCTATTTTTCTTATTCAGCTAAATTCCAGAATATGATTTTCTTACGAGTTCTCAGAGCAATCTTTGTGTAAATTGACATACAGTAAAGCACAAATACCACTGTGGAACATTGCACCTTAACTATCTTTAGGCATTCAATAATCTGGAAAACCTGGTTTTTGGCAAAGGATTTCAAGCAAAAATATTCCCTGAAAGTAAGTGTTGACACCATTGATGTTTTTTCAGATATATGTATAAGTGTAATATTGGTTAAGTTATTAGCAAGCTGACAGCTTTGCCTATCCTATCTGGATTTCAAACCTGAATTTATCCTTTGTTAGCCACATTTTCCGAATAATTCCATTCACTTAATTGTCTTTTAAAAAAACAGATTCAAATTCCTACTAATAATAATAGGCAACCAGTCTTCTGAACTTTCTTAATTTCTGTCATTCCCCAGTCCTATTGTGCCTGTTCCTGTCACTGTTTGCCTCTGGTCTGGTGCACCGTGTCTGTGTCACCACCTGGTAAGAGCTCTTTGCAATAACTGCAGTAGAGGAATAGTACACAGTCCATTGTTTCTTCCAAATGTATTAATTCAAGACATTTGGCTTTGCCTTATCTCTCTATCCAGCTTGATCTTCTCTCTCTTCTCCCTGTACTACATCAACAAAATATCTGCTGCCCTCTACCAAGCAGCTGTTCCTGTTGTAACACCAGCCAAGGCTGCCAGTAAGAGCAAAAGGAAGAACTGACGCAGCCCCACTTGCATCCTGTTAACCAGTCCATATGTTGAAGGTGCTGATAGTCACTGGAAAGCAGCTGTTTCATATGTCTCACACAAGTTCTTAAATCCATGTTCTAAGTTTGATTTGTGGTACTTTTTTAGAAAATTACCCAGGAATTACTCATTTATGGCTACTTTTTAAAATCTAAATACTGAAGAAGGCCTAAAAGTCAACACCTGGATGGTTCTTTACATTCCACTTTTCTCCTGTTTCTCAGCACTGGTCACTGCAAAGAGATTAAAAAAAGCTTTCTGTAAATTCCTCAGCACTTCAAACAGCGTTTTGTTTCATTCATTTTGTAATTAAACTTTTGGAAAGATTTTGAGTGTGTTCTGTGAAATTGGATCGTTTTAGAAAATTCTCTCAAACTCAAAGGAGCCGTGCCGCTGTGAGCTGCAGCATGGTGTGCGCTGGGGTTATAGCAGCTGCTCAACCTCACTAAGGGAGCAGGAAAAAAACAGAACTGTGGGATTTCCTTCCTTTTTTTATGTTTTTTTTCTGGAAATGTCTTGGGGGTGGCTTTACACAGTCATTATACCCATGAGTATTACAAGGATTCTCTCTTGCGCGACAAATAAACTCAGCACCAATATGAGTGGACCGTTTACTTATGTTGATATTTATTCCCAGTAAGGTCTGCCAACGTGGCTGGCAGCTTCTGTTCGGTACAGCCAGTGTCAACAGTGTTTTGTTTAAATCTGCGAACAGATGAACCGTATAAAGGGTAAACAAGTGGAAGACTGCGTGTCGACACGACAGCCTGACTATTACAAAGCTCAGGACTTTCAGCCATCCGCCGGTCTCGCTGCAGGAGGTAATTGTTCCTTTTAGGTGACCATTAATATGACTGCAACTCTGGTGTGTTACAGTCATATTTTTCTTGGATGGATTGTTTCTGTTTTGGGAGTATTGTTCTTCCGAAAAACTTAAATCTGTTGCTGTGAAATGGGTGTGGGACGGGATGGTGCTCTGTTCCGTTGTTTCCCCTCTGTGCCCCTCTGCATCCCTCCCCTCATGGGCGTTTCCAGGATGACTATAAATCCCTGAATAAACGTTCAGCGAGTCCCAGCACTCTGAACTCAAGCCTTCTTTCCCTTCCTCATCTTAATCGGGTAAGTTTTCTTCTGATTACTTTTTTTAATGTTTCTTTTTAAAATTTTGTATTTGTAGTAGTTTGAGGCTTGTTGACTTAAGACGGATGACTGTACCTCTCTCATGTCAGGGTTTCTATGTATTATCGTTCCTCTAAGAGATTTGCTTCTTCTCTTCCAATGTCTGCATTCTACTTTTTTTGGAAGATTTGACTAGAGTTTTAATGGAGAGACAGAAAAAACGAGGTGAAAATGTTTATTCATATGCCAAACGGTGATGTCCTACCAAAAGAATTTGCTATGTGTGCCAATAAAACCAACACCCACTTCCTTACTTAAACTGAGAAAACTTTCGCCAGCCATGCCATTATGATCTTAGTCAAAGTAAATACAGTTAGTGTTTCAGTCTACAAAATGTCCTTAACTTAAAAGTAGAATATAAGTCAAGTTTTTGTTTTTTGTGGCTTAAACACATGAAGCCGCCTTCTTTAAACTGCTGCAGAGCATCTGTTTTGCTGCTTATCTTTGTGGCAAATACTTTCCACTAAAGTGAAGCTGTTATCAGATCAGTACTGAGAGCTGTTCAGAAGTATGGCACTGATTTCCTGCCCTTTCCACCGTCAGAGCTCATTTTCCCAGCCATGACTGAACTGGAAAAGTCCATGGAGTCCATGATCACGGTGTTTCACCGCTACGCCAAAGAGGGCGGCAACAAAAACACCTTAAACAAGAAGGAGCTGAAAAAGTTAATTGAGAGTGAACTGCCCAACTTCTTAAAGGTAAGACTCTGGTGTCTGCTGTCAGAACTCTTCGGAACTCAGTGTCTCATGAACTCTTCCCGCGATAATTCTCTTTCAGGGCCAGAAAAACTCGGACACTCTGGACAGGATCATGAAAGATCTGGACCAAAACAAAGATGATGAGTTGGACTTTGAAGAATTTGTACCCTTTGTCGCCGGCCTCTCAATTGCTTGTGAAAAGTTTCACTCCGTGGTCCCTGAAAAGAAGGGCAAAAAGTGAAGGGTCAAAGCAGAAGCATGTGTTTGCAGGTGTAAAGAATGTCGCACACTTATGTGCCAGATTCATATTAAAAACCTTTAACATGACTCCCTTCTTCTGGACTGACCCTGTGCTCAGGTTTGCTTGAAAATCGGTTCAAATTTGACATCTTCTCTTAAGTCGCATTAAGTGTTTTTAATGTGTGGGGGAACTAAGTTAGTGGACACATGCAATCATTTTAGTCAAAAGAATTTTTGCCAAGGCCTGGAAAATAGTGTTGACAATCACACATCTGATACACATCGTTTCAACCATAAACCCTGACTGAATCTTCAGCTGAGGCAGCTGTTTTCAAACTGCAGCTCAATCTATTCATAAAGGAATGCACAACCAGATGTGAGCACACACAGGTTTGAACTATGGTGCTACTAGGTTCTGTTTTCATACAGGATTCTCTAAAAGCTTTTTTGTTGAAAGGGTCATCATACTGCCAAAGTGGGTGTTCTTCTGTTATTTATCAGAAGCGTTTAATGTTTAAGTCATCAATGGAATTTAAGGAAGAGAAACCAAGCAGTAAGAAGTGTTTAGGAGCAGCCAGGGGACATGGTAACATTTACAGTGGCTTTGTTTTTCTGAAGTTTCCTGAACGTCGCCTGCACTTCAAAACTGAATGGATTTTGACCATATTTGTAAATGGAGAAAGGCAGAACTAGTTCAGACGGGCGACTCATGCTGTTTCGCTGCCTCCCACATGATCCGTCTCACCATGCCAAATATCGAACACACCCCATCTTGGCGGTCCCATCCTTCCACAGGCAGGACGTTGCATTTTTCAGGACAAATCTGGGGCTTTCCTCATCTCCCCTCTCCACTATCACCGCATCATTTCATCAGCACTATTAAGCGTGTCCCCAACCATCCAAAAAAAGTCCCACAGAGACAGCGTTGATATCTGCATAAACATTCGTGGTTAAAAAGTTTTAATCCCTCTTCTGTAGAATATCTTCAATAAAATTACACAATCTCCCCTTAAAAAAACCTTTCTTATTGACATATTGAGAAGATTATCGGTAATATTTCCTCGATAGAACGGGGTCACCCTTTTTGGAAAACTGTGACATCTGTAAGTGTAATTCGGTTCTCCTCTCAATCCCTCTAATTGTGCTGGTGTTGAAAGATGACAAACTGTAAAAGAACCTTTCATGACCCCGTGTGGCCGAAAGTAGAAGTCCTCACTGTTTGTTCACTTTCCTTTTTTTAATTCAGAAACTAAAGCCATGGCTTGCTATTTTTAGTTCTGAAAAAGTGACCAAAAAAATTAAGCAGATGTTCCAATCTTTCAACATTTTCAAAGCTTTTTACAAACCATGCCTTGAGAGAGATTTTTCAGCCATTCGCAGATCATTTACTATCCAGAACGTGATTACTGGTCTGCTTAATGGAGATAGTCGCAAAGTAAAAATTTAAAAAATATCCTTTGGGAACCCAAATATATAGAGACCAGATTCAATGCACATTTAATGGATCACATTTTTAGAAAAGAGATAAGATCAAGGAAATAGAACAAAAAACAGGTCTCTCTTATAAAATGACCACTTGTTTATTTATTTATTTATTTTTTGTTTAGATCTTAACAAGTGCTGTTACCAATGACAAAGAAAAGTATTTCGTAAGTGATTGCGTGTGAAAGCAGTCACACCGTACCCTGCATTCCAGTCTAATGATCACAAAGATACAGAACTGGTTTTTCATGGTAGGGACTGAAGCAACTCATTTCCTCCACTGGATGTCATAAGATCCCATAAACCCAGTTAGGCACTTCATTCCTCTCTTTTGTCTTATTTTCACCCTTAGACAGTCAAAGGTGTTTGTTGGTGTTGTCGAAAATTTAAATAAGAAGTTGTTTCTTGCACAGGATTAGCATTCCCTTCTGTTCAGGTGAACTTAAATAAAGCACCCAGTAGGGTTAGTATTTTCTGTTATTTCTACAAGAAGATTTGAGTGTTTTTCTTGGCTTACTTTTTGCAGCTAAATGGACAAAGGGCACAGGTGAAATTCATAAATACCTGTAACCTGTAACAACAGAAATGTGGAAAAAGCTGCCCCACATAGCCATTTATACATTTTTTCTCAATGCCTGAGGCCATTAAAACTGTTAGTTTTTTTTTTTTTTTTGGTTACATTTCCAAAATGACTCACAATGTGCAGAAGTGCATATTTCACAGCCTGTGTTTTAGGTTCTGTTCCATGATGTTAAAAAAGGACCGAAAAATGGTGGGTCCCATAACAAGGTGACTTAGCCTTTTATAGATGAAAATGGATTGTTCAAAGACATCAAAAGTGGGACATTTTCTTATTTTCCACCCTTCTACACTATTAAAGTCTTAGCTCCGGATGATACTCTTTATTTTGTTCTGCCCATAAAAAAAACATGTGCTTGCTAATGAAGACTGCTGACCACTGGAGGGGCAGAGCCGGCTCTCCAGCAGGGCAACTGTAACGCATACCCTGACCAACAGGGCGTGGAAAGATCAACTTTTTGTACCACCACATGATACTTAGTCCTTAGTACTTCTTTTCCCTCTCCTGCAAAGGAAATCTGATCGTTCTCAATAAGTGAAAGTAATATGGCCCGACTGAAGAGAATGATCTGACCCACAGAGGGAACTTGACGGGGGTTGGACAGAAAAGAAAAACCCTTCCATTCTGCTGCCTTGGAACAGACGAGTGGAAAATGGAGAACCAGTTGGCCTAGTTCAGCAAAATTAAATTAAATTACTTGAGTCAGAATAAAAAATGCTCGAGCATGCAGTGAGGGCACTTAAACTGGGATGTCAATAACTTCAAAAACAGACTTCGTGCATGTTTTTGAGTTTAGCTTTATTAGGACAGTGAAGCTTATGGGTGGAGAACAAATAAACAAAACCTTTAGAGCAGTTTCCAGTGCAATCCTTGATAAAGTGACAATTAGGAGCGAAACGTGCATCAAATAATGTGTTTGTTTTCATTTCAACGCTCCTGAAATCTCAAACCTAAGTTGAGAAAAGATTAATTGAAACATTCAGGTTTCGTGTTTATATCCATGAAACTGTGGTAGTGGCTTGAGGGAACATTTTTCTCACATGACACACTCCGTGTCAAGTAGCTGAAAATATTTTCTATTTGGCAGCAAACTCAAAAGTAAATTTAGTTCTGAATCAAGTGAATGTCAGGAGTATTTTGCAGTTGGGCAGAACAAAGGCACATGCACACATTCTGCACAGAAACAAAACCCTCCCAGCTTTCTTTTGTTCTGACAAAAGTGCTCCAGACCAGATGACATGAAAGAAAAAAGATGGACAAAGACTTTTTTTCCCCCTACCAACCAGTCTACACATAAACACAACAACTGCAACCGCTCTGTCCTTACACAAACAAGTCAAATGTTCTAAACTTACAGCCTTGCTCCTCTCACTCGCAAAGCTTGTATGGGTGGAGTCAGGCGCATTTCAAGGGTATGAATCACAGCTGGTTGGTGTGTTTGTGTGTTGTACGGATGCCCCAGAATGTGGGTCAAACCCAGTAGGTCTGCTCTTTAAGAGCCCGCCTCCCCCGCAGTCTGACAGCAGTCCTCACTGGGCCTGAGCTGGAGATACAAACAGGAATCTCTCCTCACCTGCTCATCGGGAATTCTCAGGTGAGTGTTCACGGAAAGCAACATGACTTACCAGTTAGTTTTGTGGAAAGAATGAAAATGTAAGCCTGTAATCGAGATGCTGATCATTTGAAAGAAGCCTGAAAGATGCAGTGGAGGTAAAGATAATATTTGCAACATTTCTTTCTCTGCCATTTGATTTAAGTCAACTCAGTTCAAGCAACAATTTTTCCCAAAACATTTTTTTTCCCATTAGCTAGTTCAAGTGCATAACCATTAAATCTGTAACATTTGTCCTTGTAATATATTTTGCCAGATCTTATTTGAATCTTTGTCCTGTTTCTCCACACTCCATAACCAGGTTTTTGTCCAGCTGCAAAAATGGCACGTCTGGATCAGGTCATCACAAACATTGTGGACATCTTCATGGAATATGCTGACGATGGAGGCAAGAAACGTCAGTTAAACAAAGATGAGCTCAAGAAAATGCTTGAGCAAGAAATACAAAGCCCTGAGTTGAAGGTATTTACATCAAATGTAACGTGTTAATAAAAGAAACGACTGCTGGTATGCTTAACATTACAGTCACCGTGTGTTTGGCGCTGTTCTTTAACTGTGACGATCTGATCTCCAGAGCAACATCAATGCAGACGACATTGAAGAGGCCATGGAGATGCTGGACAAAAATCACGACGGTGAGGTGAACTTCCGCGAGTTTTGTCGGTGTATCTCCGTCCTTGCTAAATGCTACTACCACAAGAAGACAGGCAAGGGAGGGAAGAGAGGCAAGGCCAAAGAACAGGGGGCAGAAGAAGAAGGATGAGGGGGATAAAACATGCTATGAAGTATATGTTTGTGCAAGAAATGTCTCTGTTATTTTAATAAAGTGTGCTCAAAATAAATAAAATGTGTGTGGCTGTTGGCTTTCTCGTCTGTTTATGGATGTCTCTGGTACCGCTTGGTGTGTGGTGTCATGTCAAGAAACATGCAAGGGCTCATCACACATTCAGCAGACATTGCTGCTGCCTAAACATGCACTCTACAGGTCAGAGCGATTATCTCTGCCTCACTAAAGCCCCAAAATACTTTCTCCTGGCTGATGAAAAGTTTTTAAAACACTGGAAACATACCCTCAAAAGATACCTAATCAAGATGATTTCAATCTATGTTTCCCCCCCTGTGTAATCCTCATTGCATACAGATGATACTATGTGAAAATAGAAAGGGCTAAGAGGACAGAAAAACAGAGGACACAGAAGAAAACGCCCCCAAAGTACAAATCCGTCAGCCATTGGGCCTGTTTGAACACAACACAACTACAGAATGGAATCATTGGCGTCTGACATTAACATTTCTAAAGTCAAAAGAACTTGTTTGGCTTAGAATATAGCGCCTCGTATTTTTACGCAGGGCAATTAGTTTAGCGAGACAGAACTGTTGTGACAGTTTCTGTAGTTCAGGCATCTAAGGACGAATTTCTGTGAGCTAGGAGGGAAGTTTATGCCCAGCATTTGCTATTTATTTGTAGGACCAAAAGTAATCGAGAGGCACTTCTGAGCTAGAAAAGTGCCACAATTCTTCCTGAATTCTCTATTACAGAAGAACAAAACACGGGAACTGGCGTTTTATGCGTGTTTTCAGGAGATAAAATCTTACCTTAAAAATCAAAGGAGAAGAGAGGAAAAAAAAGAGGAGGAAGGGCTAGATGTTAGGAACTGATACCACGTAGTTTGAAAGAGGAATTAAAAAAAGGCCCAAAATTAGCTGATTCATTCTGACCACAGAGCTCCTCTAATCCTGAGGTGTGGTGTTTAGTCTGGTACTCCAGGAGAGGTCTCAGTGTAGCACAGAGAAAAGCTACCCAACATGGAAACACCCATTTATGAGGGACGCAGAAGAGCAGTCTACCATTATCATTATTATTATTATTATTATTATTATTATTATAGGAGCAATGCATCTGTAGTTGGCATGGTGAAGGGGGAAATTATTTAATGTATTTCCTACTCGTACTGTCTTTGTCTCCAACGCTCTATATGTCACCTAAAATTTGTCAACTTTTCGTTTACCTTTTTTATTTGTTACCATCTGAGCCACATTTATGGAAAAAAGTGAGTACTTGAATAGCAGTTAACAAATAAACTTGAATTAAAATAACAGGGCGCTGAGAAAACATTTTTGGTTTTGAAGTTTTTGAGGTCGGCTCGTGTGATGGGTTTTCTGAGAAGTTAGTAACTGGCATGCAACAGGAAGCTGTGACGGCACCTGGAAAAGTACAGAAATGTGCAGCCTTGTAAATATTTGCATGAGTCACACCCAGAAGGAGGACATATCCAGTGAGGCGGTGCACAGAGCAACGCAGAGAAGGTGCCGCAGGCCATTTCACCCTCACAATTGCACAATTGCCCCTTTGAAAGAGGTATGTGAAATAAAAAGGTGTTTTGTAAATTAAAGTTTAACAGTGACCTCGAAATCTGATCGTGAAAAAAAAGTTCAGCAAGATAACTTTTCCAGAACTTTCTCAGTTTTCAGATACCTAAAGATTCTAATTTATCATAGGAAAAGTCCCAAATTCTTGCATTTTTTCTGAAATCTGCCACCTGAGCAGAAGATGAATAAATAAATGAATGAATCCACACTATCAAATGCCAAATGTTGGGAAAACTGAAATGTCCTATCCTCAAGTGGCCCGTAAAGCTTGCTCAGTTGAGAAATATGTGCCTGCCCATGTGCCTTATGTAAGACGGGGACTTTAATAGGCTATGATTCACGTGTTACAGACGGGTGACAGAAATGTGCCTAAAGTTTATTTCCCAGATCTGAGGGAGATGCAAGAGGATTCAATGAGTTACGATAGGTCACATCAAGTTTTTAGATGGAAGACAGGATTCATTTCTTCAGAGTTTGACTGATGTCGGGAGAAATCTGGTTGTCAACACACAGCTGGAAAGCTTCCATTTACAGCCAGAATATCTGCACATCTGGAAATTTGGGTTCTTTTTAATTAAGAAATTGATTTGGTTGCAGCTGAAGCTATTTCACTAAAGAAATTAAAAAAGAACACGCAAAGAGACTGAGTTAAAGTTAAACACGGAGAGGATGGTGCCAAAGAAATGATTACTGTTTCCCAACAATAGAAGTTGGAAAACTTCTATTTCAAGCATGTCTGAACAAATTGATCAATTTCACAAGGTTTAAAAAACAAAACAAAGCTAGTCAGTGATATATTCATTCTGATTAGGAATCACTACTATGTTTGGAGGCTGGTGTTTGCAAACCATTAAAGGGAATCTTAACAGAAGAAAGATACTGAATCCAAATATGCAAAGATGCAACAGAGTTTGAAAACTGTCGTCTAAAAAAAGCAAATCCAAAAGAATTCAGGGGAATATCAATATCTAATAATATATCTGACAATAGCTAAGAAGTCGCTTTCTGACGTGTCAGTAAGTTGTAATGGATGAATGAATGCTTTCATTTACTGGGACAGAGTTAAATATGAACACATCTAGCACATTATCAGAACTCTTTTGGACAATGTCGGAGTACTTTTACATGCACACTATATTTAAATGTTGTAGGTGTGGTGTCAAAAGATTGTTAAACATTTCATGCAAATGTTGAAAAAGATGAGTCATTCAACATTTGTAATTCTCAGAAAGTCATTGTAAAAAGCCAGCACCAGCAGCTGGTCTTGTAGGTGTGGTTTTGTGTGAACAGCATCAATGTGACTGACCAAAGGGTCCTATTTGCATGCATTTGTTTGCAATTCACATTGAACACTTCATGCAATGGAGCAGATGGAGTCATCCTGAGTAATCCTGAGGCCAACAGTAAAATTGTGTGTGAGTTTCAGCAATCATCTTTACACATCTAAATGCAGCATATTAGGGTTGTCACGACACTAAAATTTTCAACTCGATACCGATACTCAGGAAAATACTCGATACTCGATACCATTTTCGATACCACAAGGATTAAAAAAAGACCCCAAAATTTAAATGAATTTTGACAGGTTAGTGTCTTTCATTTCAAACTGACCTGTTACTGATGATATCGTGACTGGTGGCCTGAATTAATAACCCTAACCCTAACCCAAACCCTCCAGCATTCATAATTGTGAGAAATAAATATTTTTTGGTTAAACTTGTTTGGACTTATTGTACAAACCTATATAATATACACAATTTAACATAATAATATGTATAGAGTTTAATTAAGTGTTTGAAAGATTAATTTCACATTTTTTAAATGAATCTCTATATTGCCATGAAGCAATTAGGATTTTCTTGCCTGGAATCTTCCTTTTGTTAATGTAACTATAATGGCCGACTTCAATGTGGGCGGAGTCGGACATTTACTTGATTAATGGTAGCACGTTATTATTAGCCATTAGCCGAAGCTAGCAGTTCAAGGCTAACAACTTGTTAATGACCATAAACAACGTAAAAAAATACATAAATAAATCAGAGAAAAAGGGCGACGGCAGGTCAGTGTCGCGGGCGGGCGCGCGCGCGCGCGCTCGCGCGGTGGTATCGATACTTTTGAAAATGAGTATCGTATCCGGATACAACATTTTAGTATCGATACTTTTTGGAGTATCGATACTTTTGACAACCCTACAGCATATATAAAATGCCAATTTATTGTTCAACTATGAAGCTAAGATTAAGATTGAGCTTTTCATTTGCGAAACACTTGTTAACCACTGCCACCGATCCACTGCGATGCTTGAAGAGCCTTTTTCATGCCGCAAGACAGCTGCCATGGCCAGATTGGACAGGTTTTTCCTGTTTCCCTGAGTACTATTTTACTTGTCAGTGTAGAAATTGTGCAATGAGATGTTAACCGTTCCACCCTTTGTTTTTTTGTGGTTGGAAGTGCCTCTCAACTAGAAGTCATGCCATAAGAGGTGCGGCTCAGGGTACAAACTGCAGATTTGTGATGGACGGGGTTTCATGTTATCTGAAGAGCAGGCCCATGTCTAAGCTGCACAATGTGTCGTGACATAGCACAAAGTGCCACGAACCAAAGACATTTCAGAAAAAAGAAGGTTAACTTTCATTTGCAGATACAAGCTAACACACACAAGACAAAGGTGGCGCATTTCTCAGAAAATAGTCAGGAACTTATTATTTTCATTGGATCTGCCATATGTTTTTCTTGCCAACTGACAAATAGACCACACCTTTGACTTGACCTTAACAAGGGAATTTAGTAAGATTAAGATTTTGTGCCTTGCCCTAAACCACAAACGGATGCAATGAAAGACAATAAATTTTTACAGTATGTAGTTTGTAATTGGTACTTCATTCATAAGCAAGTGTAATCAGAAATCAGAAATTACTTCAGTGGCCAAAGTAGAGTACACAGGAATTTGACTTGGTATCCCAGTGCAACAGGACAGTTTAAATAACATATTTGAAAAAACGGCAAAGAAAAGGTACATATGATATGTTCGGGTGTTTTTAGGTGTTGATTGTAGAAGTGGCTGGAGGATGGACATGTCTTTATTTAAGAGGGCGGTGGCCTCAGGGGAAAAAACTGTACAGGTGCCTGGTGGTTCTGGTCCTGATGGATCTGAATGTTCGACCTGATGGGAGGGTTGTGAATAGGGAGTGAGCTGGGTGAGATGGGCCCCCCACTATCTTCCTAGCCCTTTCCTAGGATTTTCTATTGTGCGGAACACATAACAGATAAGGCTCCTGTTGTGTTTTTGTATATTAGTAGAAATTTCAGGAAATTTAGATAACTATATTTTAGTATCTCCACAGTTTCTGTTGTGTGTGTGAGTATGTATGAATAAGAAGTCAGACTTTTGACTTGTCAGCACAAGTGAATTGGACTGGCTTCAGCTGTTTATCATGCTGCACAGGATCCAGAAGCTGGGACTGATGCATACAGAACTTTCTGAACGATTGTAAATGCAATGGAAGGACAGCATTCACATGGTAGACACAATCACCCAAGGTTTACTTGGGCCTTTTAGGATGTCTGCAGTTCTTTTCCATGATCCCTGACTTGTTTCTCAACAGACTGCACCTTCAAACCTCACAAAATGCACAAAAGCATTGTTTCACAAAACAAACTCAACAACAAAAACCCTTTAGAAAACGACACAGATGAACTGGTGAAACTGGTAAGCAGGGAGTTGTCTTTACATTCCAAAGGTAAACATGGCAGTTTGTTTCTTTACATGAGTGATTTAATTATTGTTTTCCTCCTTCCATAAAGAGAGGCTGCCTCAAACTGACATGACTCTCATCTGAAACCGGCCGGTGCCACGGACCTACTCTCGCTTCATCTCGCGGACGTGAAAAGGTGACTACGCACGATGAGCAAGTGGCAAAAGAGAATCAGCTTTGCACTAAGACATTTACTGTTTAGTCTTCACTGACTGGAAACAAATGATGAAAAATGTATTAGTATTCATTCTCTGTTATCCATTGCCTTCAAACAAATCTCTTTCTTCAGCTAGAAGCATGGCTCGAATGGAACAAGCCATTCAGAATGTTGTGGATTTGTTTTCGGAGTATGCTGACGGTGACGGCAAGTTAAACAGGGAGGAACTAGAGAAACTGGTAGAGAAAGAAATTCAGAACCCAGAGCTCAAAGTAAGAGACACATAAACAACATTAACTGGAATGGCATGTTACCCACACTTTGAATATGCTTTTAACTGAAAGTACCTGTTCTCCAGGCTAAACTCTCTGCAGGTGACCTCGATGAGGCCATGGGGAGGATGGATAGGAACCGCGATGGTGAGATCGACTTCAAAGAGTTTATGAAGTGTCTGTCTTTCGTGGCCCTCCGCTGCTACTGCAAGAAGATGGGCAAGGGCCATTAAGTAAAGAAACCTGGAAAAATCAAAGTATGAAGCTGTCAAAAACTTCTGAGGTGTAAAATCACGAGAGTATAATAAAAAAAATTGTAGTTAAATCAGATGTCAGTTGATTTATTTCTGTAAACGTGTCAATCATATTCCCAGTATTGTACCCCTCTGCCTCATGAGTTGAGTGTTTGCAGATATGTCACTTCCCAAGTAAATTTTTGTTAATAACATAAACTTATAGATTAAAGATGTTCCACTAGTCATTAAAAAAGCAAAAAACAAATATTAACTCTCTGACAGACCTACTGGAAAATGTGAACCGGCACGAACTAATCGTCAAATCGTGCTTGTACTTGTAGTGATCTGCAAGCAAGAATTTGAATCTGTTTAAATATGCCTCTGGGTATTTGAAAAGAGGCCAGTATTTGTTTTTCTTTACTAGCTTTGTCAGGACGCAAACAGCCAAGCTGGGAGGCAACAGGTTTCTGAGCAGAAACGGTGACGAACCACAATGAATAGGAACAAAACAGAGTCCTAAAAGCCCTAGCTTAAAAGCTGTAAAGATGTAAATCTTCATTTTGTGCTGTAGGAAAGTTTCTTCTTGATTTAAAAATAAAAATGTTTTAGTTTTTTGCAGAAGCTAAACTATTTCATGCTTTGAAAATCTGAACTACATTTTTTTTTTGTCTGATCAAACCATCCAGTTTGGCTGTCAGAGGCAAAAAGGGCAGTTTGTTGCTTTACCAAAAATTCTAATTTGCCTTCTCCTGGCAACAGCTTACAAGCATGTGGAGCTGGATGTCCAATTCTGCCTACTAGAACCCAACTGCATTAATTTTAAACAAATTTCACATTGAATGAAACAGGAATCTCGGGACCTTAAAGGCTCTTTTAAACAACAGCCATAGTTCCAAGTTCCATATTTTTAACTCTGGTAAAATTCCTCTAAAAAACAATAAAAACTTACCAAACAAGAATTCTTGTAGATCCAATTTTGATTAATATGAGGCACAGCAGTGGCTGCTGAATTCTGGTTGGTTCTACTTTCTCAAAATACTTTTTTTCTTTCCTCAAATTCAGCCGTGAGATTTTAGTCGAATGGTCGTTTTAAGCTTCAAGTTTTTAATGTTGTGGTTGTTTTCATGCGTGCAGCAGGCATAACAAACTAAGAACCCAGAGTTTTTTTCCAGCAGAAACGTATCGACATCTGAAGGTGTCAATGACCAACATGCAACTGAACATGCACTTCATTCTTCCATCAGCACTGTTATGGCTTGTGATATTGTATTAATGTGGACTCAAACCTTCTTGCTGTGAGGAGACCATGGGCTGACAGTTATCCTGCACAGATTTTCAGTTCGAAATGCACACACTTCATGGCAAACAAAACCTTATCCACATCAGTTAATGATGATTAAAAAGCAAGCAGAGTTTTTCATACTTTTCATACACATAAGCGCTAACATCTGCTATTTTTAAAGTGACCGTTTATATTCTGAAAAATACAACTTTTACTTTAAAGTATTAGAATTTTGGAAAAACAGGTGTTCTTCTGCTCAACTTAACTTGTTTTAATAGGAAGTCAATAAAATTACTCGTGGATTCTCCAGTCCTTGTTGCACCACTGTGTAGCTTCCAAGACCAAGTCTGAACAGAGTTGTGCACAAAATATTCTTTGGCACGATATTCTTTTTTTTTTTATTGACAGTATTGTGTAACCATCAATGCAGATCGTATACATGCACTAACTTGTTATAGAAAACTACATGAATCTCTTTGAAAGAAAAAGGAATGCCATTACAAATTATTGTCCCTCGTAAATTGCTCCTGTTCTTAATTGAGATTAGGTTCACTATCAAATATGTGGACATTTGTAAGCACAAATTATACTTCTTTATACATCGAAGCAAGCTATCCTAACACAAATTCACAGAAACAGGCTGAAATAATAACCTAAATATCAGTAACAGGATAATGCTCTTTGGCTGGGATATAGTACATTAATTTCTATCAAAACAATGTTTGCCATGTAAATGTACATACATACTATACTGTATATGTACTGTAGATACGTATACAGAAAAACGAGTACTTTAACCGATGCAGTCTTCCTGGAATTAAAAACCAGTTGTGTGTGTGTAGACAAAGGAACAAAGCAGAGGACACAAAGTAAACCAGTCAGAGGGCGGGATTTTTTTTTTTTAAGGCAGGGCAAACTATTTTATAAGGACAGAGTCTCAGCCCTCCTCTCATATCCTTCTCTTCATTCTCCTCTGAGCTCAACAAGTTTCAGACTACTTTGGTGAGTACACAAATGCTTTGAAATTCTTATTTAAACAACAAATTTTTAGACAAATACTGTCCATCTAGTGTCGACGGACAACATGCATCAAGTTGCAATAAGTTTTATCTGTGTGTGCAGCTTAAAATAGATCATTACAATTCGGAAAACTGCTAATGATTCCTTTGGAGTTTTTCTTAAATGTACTGTTTAATTACAAGTACACAGTTGTTGTGGTAAAACAGGAAGAAAAAAAATGAAGGAGTAAAGAATGCCTAAATGAATGTGTGATGATTGTTTGTGAAAGTATATAGCATGACAAAATTGCAAAAATCAACTCGTAAAATTAAAGATAACCCACCCTGTGGAATTATTATAGGCAGCTGCCGAAGGCTGTAAAAAACGCAGCCTGGCCCATCCCAAAAACAATTTCCTGTTTGCTGTACTACCCAGATTAAGCATGACTCATGGTCGAAATGAATAGCTGCTAGAACTGTTTCAGAATGTCTCAGTTCTGAAATGCACTGGGGCGTTTTTAAAATGATCAATAGTTTGGTGTAATAAAGAGACATTGACAGGACAGCAATTATGTCTCAGTAATGTGCTTAAGACTTGCCTTGAATATAACAACATTAATATGCAGAAAAGGAAACTACAAATGAGAAATTCACAGCAGGCAACAAACTGTAAGACCTTCTCTCGTTTCAGAAATCATGTCTATGCTAGCGGCAATCGCAACTCTCAAGAAAGCTTTTGATAATTATGCTGGAAAAGAAGGAGACAATAAAACTTTGACCAAGAAAGAATTGGCTACCCTTCTGAAAAACGAGCTTAAGATGGAAGAGGTAAGTATTAAACACGTAATCTCATTCGAACACAAAACAGTAAATGTATCCGATTTATTCAAAGTCCTCGTCTCTTTTTTCTGCTTAGGGTGGCAATAAAGATCAAATCGACACATTTTTCAAGACCCTGGATGCGGACGGTGATGGTGTAATTGATTTCAACGAGTATGTCTGTTTCGTTGCAACCCTCGCAATGTTTTATTAATGATGCGTAGACTGCTCTTGCCTCTTGTAATCTTTAATCTGTCCGCAGTTGTACCCATGCATTAAATGTAAAGTGATAACTTTCTTTACTACATGGCTGGCATGTCACAAATAAAAAAAAGTCATGTTTTGAAGCAATGTTTGTTTATTATGATCTAAACACAAGGCAGAAATTCTTGATACAACAATGGCCTCAACAGGTTAAACGTTCAGTCATACCACTTTTAGAAGAACAGTACTGTCATGAATAATAACACGTTTTGTATCGGACACTTCACTAATTCTTCAGAAATGTGCAAATAAAAAAAATACTGTTCTTACACAGTGAATTTAAAAATCAACATATCGACCGCACATGCAAAGGTTTGGAGCGAGGGGAAGCCTGAGTACATGTGGAAAATGCTCAAGTAAACACAAGTTACAACATTTACAGCTGAATTTTGAGGGAAAAGTGGAGTCCTGTTACTGTGAGGCCTCTCCCTGACTAGCTCATAGCCTCTTTAACTCCTACAACCTTAAGATATTCAGAAGCATTAAGTAATCCCAGTGGTATTTTGTACATTTGAACTAAAAAGGATATGCAGCATTAACCTGAAGGTGATTCATGTGCATTTCACAGTAATTACATGACAACTGGGGCCTTCAGAACAAAAGCAACACCTGTACTTCATCATCATTGAAGCCCTCCTGAAGTACTTTTCAAATGGTCCATTGAAATATGATCTTCCTATTCAAATAACAGGTTTTGGAAAGTTCATCTGCCATAAAAAAATAAATAGCTAGCCTCCCATTATTGTGTTAGTGTTTGCATGTTTAATGAGAAGGACGGGGCTTAATAATACACTATTCTCCATGCACAGCTTTATATCTACAAGCAATTCTCCAAAAAATGGAACATGATTTAACAAAAGTTCAACATTTTTCTTACACATTCAAACTGTCTTCAACAGATGATTTGGTTTGCTACTAGAATGAAGGTTTGACAACACTGATTTCTGTGATGTGTCATTTTGAGCAACTGAATCGGTTGTCACATTTACTATATTTCAGCGGCAGTGAAATCTTTAGCAGTAATTAAGTCATAAAACATTAAAATCCAAATGATCTGTCTGTCGTGCATCTATTTTTTTTTTTTAGTTTAGTCTGAAGGTCACTTGAAAATCTCCATATATATATAGCTTCGGATTTAATGGATGACATACTCCTGAAATAAGCATATGAAGTACATGAGCTGAGGGCAGTTCATCAAGGAAGTTTTTTTTTCACATATTGCATCGTTTTCTTATGTTACCCGTTAGCAGTCTACATATATGGCAAAACATACCCTAAAGTCTGGTTTAAAAATCGAACAGCAAATGATATTTCTGGCTAATAGGCGACAGAGGACTCAGAATATATCCACATGGAATGCGGCCTGGCTTCCTGGGTAAATCTCGTGACTCATCGGAAATTCTCGTTTTCTTTCGGCGTATCGCAGTCGGTTAGCTTCTCAGTCTGATAGCTTGCTACAACAGCTAATGTTTCTGTGGTGTTTAATGTTAGCGGAACAGGGGCTGATGAAACTAATCTTATAGAAAGATGGCGGACGTGGAGGGACAGGGAATTTGTTCCTCTGTCCCGCCGTTACCTCAACCTTCTTCCCGCATTGGCTCCGGTAGCGGTAACGGTACACCAGATACCGGCGGCTGCTGCCCAACAGTGACCACCGTTACCTCGGGCCCTCGGCTGGTCCGAATAGTGAAGTCCGACTCGGGCTACGGTTTCAATGTTCGCGGACAAGTTAGTGAAGGAGGTCAACTACGGAGCATTAACGGGGAACTGTACGCTCCACTGCAGCATGTTAGCGCCGTCCTGCCGGGGGGAGCCGCCGACAGAGCCGGCATCTCGAAGGGGGACAGGATCCTGGAGGTGTAAGTGGCTGCCGTTGTCGCTGAACTCAGCGCAGATTTGAATCAGGTAGTGTTTGGATCAGTTCCCATTGATCACAACTGTGTCAAATGGGGAGGAAAGCCATATTTAGCGTTATCTCCGGTACCAGTGAAAGGCACCAACACGTGTGGCTCTGAATGGTTGTCCTGCATGGCAGAACACACGTCCGTCTGGATGAAAGGAGTGCCTGTATGTGAGAGAATGATCTTGAAATCATTACAAATTCCCCTCACACCGAAATCAGTTCCTCTCATCCACAGTCAGACGGTTATTTTCACTTCAATTAAATCTCACTTTACCATTCTTTGTAGTTTTTTTTTTTTTTTACCGACCTTAAATTGACCAGCAGAGTAATTGGATTTGTGTTAAGAACTCCAAACAGATTGAATGTTTTGTGCATTTAGGACATAGGTGTTTGTCTTCACGGGCATGTTGTTAGTATGCATGGGGAATGCTTGCTGATGTTAGACTCTGTTGCTATGGAGAAGAGCACACATCATCAGTTTGTCTGCTTGGAGCAAGGTGATGCAGAAAGGGGGGGGGGGGGCTTTTATTTCACTTGTGATTGGCTTTTCCCTCTGAAATTCAGTGTTTGATTGGCTTGTTTTTGCACACTGCTTTGTTCAAGGAAGGCCTGCAGTAACCTGGCAGTTGGTTGACCCCGTTATTTCTGTGTGCCAGCATGTGAAGGTACATCTGTTTTTGTATGATAGGGGCAGTTTGGTAGCCTTGCTGTTCGATCTCTGTGATTTATGTTGACCAATATCAACATCTAATCAGCTATTGATTATTCGCTCGCATGCAAAGGCCTCCCATGGAATAATCAGTCCCAAATATATCTAAAATCTTAGTATTTCTATACTTTTCTGTAAATACTCCCAACTAGGTGCAGGGCAGAGCAATTCCCTGCTATTCTTTATGTAATCAATACCTCTATGCTTATATCTAAGAAGTTGCTGTTTTTTGTATTGAAAGGCAGAAAAAAATCTATGCAGGAAAGTTCTTCACTCTTCACAATAAAAGGTTAGATACAGTATCATCTTAAATCCAATAATTTTCAGCACATATATTCTGTAAGGTGAAATCAATAAACAAAACTGAAATAAAGTGAAAAAAAATGTAATTCTTTAAAATCTTTTGAGAGTTTTTTTTTTTTACAAGCAAGTAAATCCTTTATTAGGTTTGTTTTTGATGGTTTGCTGGAAGCGAATGTCATTATTCACTTAAAATATTTTTTCGTAAATTAGGATGGGCAGGAAAAAGGGAGATGCGATGTGAGATGGGGGAAATTTATCACACAACCTGTTCATCACAATCTTAAGTGCTGACAGTGCCAGTGCGAAAACCACAGATGTATATTATGTCATCGTAAAGCTGCAGGATGGAAGAAGCTGCCGCTCTGCATTTCGTGTGGCCGCACACTTGTTTTTTCCCCCAGTCTACAGCAGCAAGATGTTTGCTCTTGTGTCTCTCCTTTTATTATTTGCCTACTTCTACCTACACACTCATCATTTGACATCAGGTCTAGTTTCGGCTTGGCAGTGATGTACACAGGGCCTTAAAGAGCCTCTCTGGACTTGATCATCTGTTTGTGACTCCCCAGTGTTGGTAAGAGCCACCGAGTTTTCAGCTTGGCAATATAAGACATATCTGCATACATAATGGTTGAGCTCTTGGTGAAGTTATAAGTGAAGTAAAATCTTGTCTTGAATGATCAAGCCAGTTTCTTCTTTTTCTGGAGTTTTTGTACCTGTTCGTCACCCCAGTTCCTATAAAAAAAAACTTGTATCTTAACCTTAATTTGATTTCATCATAGTGAAAATGTTTTTTTTATGATAAACACATTCACATCTTGGTGTATGTTTATGATGCATTTGCAATTTGTGAAAGATGAAACCATTACATTTAAAGACCACAGGCCCTCCTGGGCTAACTATTTTATGCCACACAAATTGGACCTGTGATCTCCGTGAAAGCGCTGAGAAGATTGTTTTACTCATGTCTATAACATTTTAGGCCATTATGCACTTATGGAAGAGTTCAAATGGGATTTTGACCATCTCATGCACTGCACATTTCCAAGCTATGCTTTAAGCAACACAGATCGTTTGCACTGCAGTGAAATACACTTCACTTAATAATTCAAGGGTTGTCTTTCAAGCATTGTTCAAATAGCGGCCATAGCGTGGGAAGTGGTTTGAAAAAGTGTGAGAAATTGCTAAATTTGATGGCAAGGGATTTTTAGAGGAGTCTTGAAGGCTTTTCTGAATAGAGGTAATTACAGGTGAGGTTGTCTCCACTTTGTCATTAGCAATGCCATGCCTCAGGCACATGACTGCCAATGTGCACTCACCCAGATCTGCTCATGTTCAGCTGTGCTTGTGACATATGCAGAGGGTTTATTACCTAAGGGGAGGATGTGAAAGTCAGAGGGATCTTGGAGAAGAAGAACAAGAAGAAGTAAAAAGGTGTGCACAAAGTAAAGCTGTCAGAGTGATCTTGGAGAAGAACAACAAGAACAAGAAGAAGAAAAAGAGTGTGCACAAAGTAAAGCTGTTTTCCGCTCATTTTGACTTGACAGATGTGTAAAGAGACGACGATCTGGAAAAAAATTAAAAGGAAACCGGCCAGACAAAGTGCTTTCGTCAGCAAAACTTTTCTAAAGCCACTGACATTGGCAATACAAAGCAGTTTTTATTTGTATAGCACATTTCATAAAGAACAACTCAAAATCCTTTACAAAGTCAATACATGAATCATTTCAATGTGTGATTCAGAAAAATGATTTTTTTTTAAAAGATGAAAACAGGGAAGTAAATTTTGACTAAGGGAACGCACAGGCAAATAGTAGAGTTTTAATTTTTACTTCAAATGAGCCCAGAGTTGGGGCACATTTGATATCAAGAAGACATTTATTCCATCTTTATTCAGCATAGTAAATCCATTTTTTTCCCTGTTTGGTCCTAACTCAAGGTTCTACTATCTTACTGCTACCTAAAGATCTCAGAGCTGTACTTGGTTTATATTCTGCAAGAAGATCAGTAATGTATTCTGTCCCCATATAATGAAGTGATTAGTAAACTAGCCAGTTGTGCCATTGTGTTGAATCCATACAGCGGCCACTTAATGCTGTAGTCAATGTTTTCATGTATTTGTCTTCAATATTTCTAGCTTCATTAACAAAAGAAATTCATGCATGGTCAGTCGATACAGAAAAGTACCACCCTAACATGATCATCTCTGTCCTAATTCAACAGCAACGGGGTGAACGTAGAGGGAGCCACTCACAAGCAGGTGGTGGACCTGATCCGGGCCGGAGAAAGGGAGCTGGTGCTGGCTGTGCTGTCCATCCCGCCACAGGAGGCCGACTGCCTGGACCCTGGTGACGATGGATCTGCCCAGTCCTGCTACGACTATTCTGACAAGCAGGCCGTGCCCATCTCTATTCCCAGCTACACACACACCGAGCTGATTAATGAGAAGTTTGTGGTGGGTGCATCACATTGAGAGGGAGAGGACAGATTTGGAAGGATAACAACACATTTTTCAACTTTTATTTACAAAAGTGGTGATATATAATGTTGCGTTTAGAAGTTCTTTGCGTTTGGTCTTCTAGATATACAATGTGTACATGGCGGGAAGACAGCTGTGCTCAAAGCGTTACCGGGAGTTCGTGATCCTACACCAAAACCTTAAGAGGGAATTTTCTAATTTCACGTTCCCTAAGCTACCTGGAAAATGGCCTTTTTCCCTGTCGGAGCAGCAGCTGGATGCAAGACGCAGAGGCCTGGAGGAGTACCTGGAGAAAGGTGAAATAGAAAGAGAAAAGAAAGGGGAGAAAACGGGTTTCTCTACAAAGATTTGGGCACAGGCCAAAAAAGTGTGTTTTATTTGGTTTTATACTTACAAAGGGCACATGAGACTAAAACGTGTTGCCTTATCCCGGTAGAGATACTCTTGGCCTGATAGCCTATTGTTTCTGCAGTGTGCTCTGTGCGGGTCATTGGAGAAAGCGACATCATGCAGGAGTTCCTCTCAGAATCAGATGAGGTGAAAAAAAAAATTTTTTTTAAACACTAAACCTAAAAACTAACACCCTTGTGTGCATATATTTAGTTTCTGCTCGTGACTCGCTCTCTTTCTTATGGAAAAAGAACTATAACGGCGTGTCTGATGTGGAGTTGAGAATAGCCATACCCGATAAAACTACTCTCACTGTCCGTGTTCGCAAAAACTCCACCACAGACCAAGTATATCAGGTAAGCACTTACACACACCTCTGTAACAAGTCTCCACATCTTGTTCTTGTTTATTTTATTCATGCTCTCATTCTGTTTGATCTGCTTGTTTCAGGCTGTGGTCGTGAAACTGGGGATGGACAGTGTCACAGCCAGCTACTTTGCACTGTTTGAGGTCATAAATCACACCTTTGGTGCGTACAGAAATGTAACGGAACAGTCGCTGTATGTTTATTTACAAATGCTCATCTGTTCACTGCTCAGATGATGGTGCATCACCAATTTGTCTAAAAAAAAAAAGTGCAGCGTGTGTGTGTGATACATTTGTATTCCCCTCAGATGGTTGTTTCTGTATTTTTTTAAGTTTATCGAAAAAGAATTGCAAACTTGACTTGCTTTGAATGAGGATAAAACCAGCACAGAGGCACCCAGAAGAAAACCTCACTTGCCTCTGTCAGGCTTTGAATTTATACACCGCAGTTTCTCAAAATGAAAATAAAATTGCTGGAATTATTCACGTGATAAAGCCGAACCTGTAATTTTACTGTTTTGTTTTAAAAATTCCAGCTCATTTTGGACATAACCGACAGCAATATTTCTTTAAAACTGCCATCTTCTACGAGCCTGAGTTTATTTAAGATGAACAGACGGGCAACTTTTCTATGGCCTGAAATGAATATTTGAAATTATTTTCAGAAATCATAGGAACGGTGTTGTCCCTACCTAAGACCAGAGGACACTTACACACTGTAATCAGTGTACACATCAAAAGATTTTAGTGTGTACTTGGCATGAGTAGCTTTTATGTCTATGAGGGTATCATTAAAAATTAACAATAAGTTTTCATAGGCTGCCATCAAGATGGAGTCTTGTTCCTGAACCAGCCCGCCTGCAAACCTGCTATCCACTGAAAGTAATTATTCCATGAAGAAATAAAGAAAAAATAGAAAGATATGACACTTCTGCTCTAGCTATTACACTATTTAAGCTCCCAACTCTGTGAAACACAAAGGCAAGCTCCTGTGTCAAACATGCCAAAAAAGATTTAGACAGAACAATTCATTAAGTCCTTTTTTGGATTCATTTTGCACAACATGCTGACTTTTTGGGACAGGGTTTGAATCAGATTTAAACCCTGATTTTTAAAATAGGAGCAAAACTTGCATCATAATAACCATAGTATTAAACTTTAAACAATTATTGTAATGTTGATGACTGTTTGTATGTTTCGGTCAAGTTTGTCTGGTGTCAGTCAAATTGTATTTCTAAATAATTATTCTCATAGATCTGAAACATTTCACTCCATACCAAGATGTAGGTAGAATAACTTTTCATATGTGAGTTTGAATTATGTGTTATCTTTCCTGTCTGAAGGTTAATAGATTTGTTGGATGATGTTGGCTTGTGATGTTGCACAGATACAACAGTCTGGTCTCAAGTAATTTCTTGTTTGTTTCTCTCCCTTTTTCTTTGTTCTTCTTCTTTTCTTGTGGTGGTGTTCAGTGCGGAAGCTCGCCCCCAACGAGTTCCCCCACAAACTGTATGTCCAGAACTATACCTCAGCCATCCCAGGAACCTGCCTCACCCTGCGCAAGTGGCTCTTCACTGCACAGGAGGAGCATTTGCTCAGTGACAACCAGCTCGCTGTCAGCTACTTCTTTCACCAGGCGAGTGCCTTTCATGGTTCACTTTTTTTCTGATTGGTGTTTGTCTAAGTGTGTTTTTGTCTTAAAGAGCATCCCCGTTCAAACCCCTTTTACAGGCCGTCGATGATGTAAAGAAAGGCTTCATCAAAGTCGAGCAGAAGTCATATCAGCTGCAAAAGCTGGCAGAGCAGAAGAAGATGCCTATGGTCAGTCTCACACGGCAGCTGTGCAGCAGCATCCTGTTTTATATCTAGAGTTTAATTCCTTTGAGGTATAAGTAGAAAAGCTTCAGACGATCAAATTGGAAAATGTGCAGAGGACAATGTGGCAGTCTGACACTCAACATGTGGCTTTACTTGCAGGGTCAGAAAAACAGATCCATGGCCACAGAGAAGAATTAAACAAAAATTTTCACCAAAATGTACACTACATTAAAACCCAGTGACTGAGGACGTTTCTGTAGAACACGATATTCAGAATTTCCATTGTAGTCGTAGTCAAAGTCCTGACAGTTCAGTGAGCTGGATAGCATCATCTCTGTAACACAGTGAAAGTAATGATATTGATATGCTTCTTTTCCCCCTATTTTTCACTCAGTACCTCAGTTTGTTGAGGGCTTGTGAGGGCTATAATGAAATCATATTCCCTCACTGTTCCTGTGACTCTCGACGTAAAGGCCATGTGATCACAGCCATCTGTATAAACCACTTCAAGCTTCATGCCTGCACAGAGGAAGGCACGCTCGAGGCAAGTCCGACGGCTTGTTAGCAAGTGCTGCGTGTGCATTAAGAGGGGTGTTTTCACAGCCTGAATGTTGCTGCAGAACCAGGTGATCGCATTCGACTGGGGGGAGATGCAGAGATGGGACACGGATGAAGAGGGCATGGCCTTCTGCTTTGAATATGCACGAGGAGAAAAAAAGCCGCGCTGGGTCAAGATATACACACCTTATGTAAGTCCCAGAAGCATATGTGAGTTCACATTGGGATAGTAAGGTGGAGACTTGAATCAAGGTAAAAACAAAGCTCCTGCAGTCATAAGAGCAATGGTGTCCCGTCAGGAGTTTAAAAAGATGGCTAAGTTTTAGTAGGTTTCTGCCATTCATTTAAAATAAGCTATTTACCTTGGTAACATCATTCAAAACGTGTCTCTCTCTGTTTACTGTTTAGTTTAACTACATGCATGAGTGCTTTGAGAGAATCTTCTGTGAGCTGAAGTGGAAGAAGGAGGTGAAGAAAATCTCCTACCTTACATGCTGACTGCCTTAGTTACATGCATTGAGTGTGTTCCATTTCCTAATGTCTGTGTTTGCAGCTGGAAGAGGAGGCTAACGACAAGGACAATAAGAACTGCAGTAAAGATGGTATGTGTGGCAAGGTAAGGCCTTGCCTGCCTCTGTCCAATGCATCCCCAACTGCTCGGTTGGATTCCCCCTTCTTTCTGGTGTCTAAACCTCTGTGTCTTGGCTCTGATTTCTGTTTTTTCTGCGGCAGAATATTTTCCAGCTGCTGAGGCACAGAAGGGATGGGGCCACGTAGGAAGGGAGATCACCACCTCTTAAGAACAGCAGCTCAGATCAGTTTTGGCCACGACTTCGCCACAGACCCAGGAGCGCTCCGCACCCCACAACACGGACATCATTTCAACTCCATTAACTACAACACGTGAAGCTCCTCCCCACACGCAAACCAACGAGCATCTGCTAACGAACACAAAAAAACTCAAGGGCATTAAAAGCCACATGAGTCATGAACCAGAACTCTTGAACACAGCCCATCGTAACCCTGCGTTAAGCAGAGCATCGAGCATCTACAGACTCAGACCTCTCCTTGGCAGAGACTCAAAGCAGAATGCGATGAGAAGGTTTTGAACCTGTTTTTGGTCGTCCTACTTGGAGGATCAAACTGAACTGAATTATGGGCACATTAGAAAGTGGCAGTGGGTTACTGTCAGTGCTCACTAAGGGGAGCACAGATAATTGCAATCAGCAAGGCTTTGGACTGCTCACAGGAAGACGCACAGTTTGTCTTTTTACAGGCTAGAGCAGAGGAGTCTCGTGTGTTTGTGGATGCATGCGATCCCTGCACCTGCAGGCGGGGACAAACCAGAGCGTTTCCCACAGCTAAATCATGCCAAACCCTTACCTCTTCAGTTTGGCACTACATTCACAAAAAGAAAAACAATTAACATGCTGAGAGATGGTAAAGAATAAGCTTCTTTTTTTTTTTTGGTGCACTCAGAAGGATCATGGCTACAGACCACTTTAGCAAACGGTACAAACGACGTCCAAATTTGAAAATGTATAACCAAAAAAGTGTTAGATAAGCTTAATACTGTAATAAACTGGTTGGAGAAGAGTCCAAAGCCATGCATTTAGCGTATTAGTACTTAGTATTAAGTGGACACACCATGCTAATGTTTTCTGTCCCTTATTGAGCACAAGCTGCCAACCCAGCATAGTGTGTTCCATATGTGGTGCTCACAGTAGACAGCAGGGGTCCTTCTCTTCCTGTCTGCTCTTTGGATGGGAGAGATTGCTTTGTCTCGGGGACCTCCCACGGGATTTATAATAGGCTTGTAATTCAAAGGGCCTTTCCATGAAGCAGTATTTATTTCTTTAAAAGAGCTCAGGCACGGTGCATTAAAGGGGGGGATGGGTTGAAGATTGCTGGCCATCTTCTTTATGTAATATGATAAATATGAAAATGACGGTTCTCAGTCAGCGGCTGAGAACTTCCGGGCCTCCCAGCAGCTGATTACACAACTTCACTGTGAAAGCACAAATTATTTCCAAATGAGCCCAGCTGGTGTTCTGAATGAGAATAATTGTGAAGCAAAGTTAGGTAGAATGTGAAAACCTTCCTTTAATGAAATCAGCCAGAATGATGGAGAGACTATAATGAACTATAAGGTGAAACAAAGACATTTTACCTAAAACATTATGATGTCATGAGGACGTAATAATCAGTCAAATGCCCAGAATCAGCTTGTAGCCAGTATTCAGTTGCACACCTTTTTTTTGTGTTGGATTCTTATCGATGGCTATGTCGGAGTTTGTTATGGTGGCGCTGTTCACAAACACTCTTTTAGTCGATTGATAAGCTCAAAGAGACTTTGTTGCTGGGTACAAGAAGTTCAGCTGAATCTGTTGAATGTGAATTCGGCCAAACATATTCCTTCAGATTCTTGTCTGTTTACTAAACCGAGCCCAACATAATTGATTGCCCGGCGCCTTGAAGTGTTCGCCCCCTACAGCTCAGCTCCGCATCCCTCTCTTACTTGTTCTGGCTACAGTGAAGTGCCATGTTCATGATCTATTTAGTTGAAATACAGAATTACATCCAGCTAACCAGGTCTGGCTTTAACGGAGTCACAATGAGAGGATGGAGATTGACCACCTGCAAATCCCTCAACATGCTGAAATGTCAAATTTGAAGAAGATGCATCGCTAACTGTAATAAAATGTAACATATTCTTTTAAATAAACTGATTTATTGAGGCAGAGGTCGTTGTTTTTTGTGAGTGTGAGACAAATGCAGCTGCTTGGAGCCACAAGCTGTCTGAAATTACATGCACCCCCCCCCCCCCGCCACCATCAGCAAATAATGGAGTTTTTTTTGTACTCGTTTTGCACACCCAAATTTGTTTTGTATCTTTTTCTTTCCGCATTGCCACCCACCAACCTCTTCTTCCCCCAATTCCAGGATCTTGTAATGAGATCTGGGACAGAGTGACCCAACAGGCGGTGAAGAGGCTGGTCCAAATCGATCTGCACCGGGTGTCTACACCCAGAAATGAATAGCTACAGATTGTTGGTGGGGTTGAATACCATCTGAATTTTGTAAAGCTACCATCTCTGTGTCAGAGGATGTTTCGTACGGGACAATGTGAAAGTTATCAGACTTAAATACTGGCTGTTCTCTCACTGCTCTGCCACCACATCATACATAAAACTTTGGGATTTTTCAATCAGAACAGATTCAAGAAAAAGGGTTATCAATCGGTTGATCACAGAATGTGGATGTCCCTGCCCTTTCACCACATATAGGGAAAAACTGAATGCTGAGTGGGCTGTAATAATGCAGCCACAACATTACAATGTAGTTTGTTGTAAAATTATTCAAGCCCCCCATTTCAACACAGTAGGTCAGTAAATCACTTTTAGTGGCGACTGTATGCGACTGTATTTTTACACTCTCAACTACACCAAATTGTATCAGCTTTTAGCCCCTCATAGTGTGCTGAGGTGCAAAACACAATAACAAAAAAAAGACATAGCAACATTTCATAGAATACCGCAAACCCAGTTAACACAACTACATTTTGGATAAAGGAAAACATGACCAAATATGAAAATTCAGACAAGAAAAAGAAAAATTATATTATTCTGAGAATAAACAAAAGTCCTCAAAACAAATGACAGAAAATGTGAAAATAAAATAGTAAACGATCAGAAACACAACCAAAAAACAAAATTTCCAAAGAGAGGGGCACAAACATTTCCCAAAAGATGGCATTTCAGTCTAGTGTTACATTTGAGCTTCAGGCTAACCATACTGTCTGATCTTCTATTCTGTCTCACCACCTGTCTTGCTTTTGTCACACGGACGCCAACACAGATCTGGGAGCGCTGCACAGGGGCGATAAAGGAGCAGCTCGTGCTGATGGGAGCTGAAGCGACAGGGACCGCCAGCATCAGTGGTTTGTGTGGTTACTGCATTGGGTCTGCAGCAGAGTGCTGATTTTACCACTGGCTGTGAGCGCGGGCTCCTGTCTGCACCACTCTGTGAATGTGTGCTCAGCCTTGTGTGACAACTGCAGCCATGGATCGCAGCGGCCCCCCCTGACACCACACGGATTCTCTGTGTCCCGCCCCTGTTAACGCTCCTCTTTCTCCTCTTTTAAGCGAGCGGCTCTGCGTAATCTGTCGACACAGAGCAGGTGGATGACTGAGTCGGAGGAGGAGAGCGTGGAAGATTTATCACCTCTGCTGTATTGCCTGTCTCAGCCGCTGCACCAGTCTCACGGACAAAAGGAGATCAGTAGGCCACTGGCATGGACGGTGTATTTTTCTAATAGCCGGCTACCCGAACAGCACACTATGCTTACACGGAAAAAGTTTAAAGTCAAACTAATAGCCTCTGGGCTACAGATGTGAATGCACCTGTGCCAAGACATCAATTAGCCAAATTCAATCATCATAAAATGTGTGCATTATTCTATGGTCAATCATTTTGAATGGGAGCTTTTGCCAAGATCCTCCACATAAATTCTGACATGGACATCTTCTTCCCGTTCTGAATATATGTCCAGTCACCCCTGAATGCTGGTCTAAGTGCAGTTTAGCAGCCGCAGCAGCCAAGAGGAGAAAGGGGAGAGGGAGGAGGGGAGATTCATTCCTCCACCCCTCCCCCTCCTTCTCTCCCTTTCTCATTAATGAGCAATCAGTTAAAAACTTTATTGGTCGGCAGGTGCTCTCTCAGCACATTTTTACTTCCCTCCTCTGTGTCTCTCAACCAGACCCTGCTTTCTCTGTTCTGTCTTTTGTCCTCATCTTCTCTTCTTCCTCTTGATCTCTTTTTCCTTTTTCTACCTTTTCGCCGCGCATCATTACCTCTCTCTCCGGTTTTCTCTTTGATGCATGTTTTTCTGCTTCGCTTCTCCAGTCTATTGTTTCCGCATCCTTTTTTTTTTTTTTACTTTTCACCATGGGGAGGAAGCCTTTTCACAGAATGTTTGATATTTCCCCATTAAGAAAATAGAAACTGGAGTGTAACTTTCTAATGTTGATTCCTCAGTATGCCACCTTCCAAATTCAAGTGCCCAACATTTCCACTGAAAATGATTTCCTTTGAGGGTCCGTTTAAACGTTGGTGAATGTGTGTTTATTGACTGATGAGATGTGTGTTTGGTGAAAGTCAATTTATTCTTTCATTTCACACATGGCAGTTTGATCATAATTGACAACTGTATAGAAATATGGGAGAGGGCATTCATTTAAGTGCCAATATGCTTTCATGGTTAATCACTGGGATATGGTAGGAAAAGACATAAGAGCATTTTTTCTTTTAAAAAATCACATCAAAGCCTGACTAGCTTTACAGATGATGCAGCAGACCGGTGATATCCCTTCGGCAGCCTGTTAAATATTCCTCAGGGAATGCCTGTGTGCTTTCTGCTAGTATTAAGCTCCAAATATGAAGATAGCCTTACGGCGCACAGAGTTTTCATGTGTGAAATTTCTGGCCACAGTCATTTTGTACATCCAATCTCATAAAGACCAAAGATACTCTTAGTTTGCAGTTAGTATGCGGTTAGACTGGACTGAGAGTGGTCATTTTGCAGAAGTGCTTGGGGGTAGCAAACATCTGAATCCTTTATACTCTCAGGCCCCTTTTCAGCAATTCAAATCAGACAGAGGTATGGTCCCCTGTCTAGTTTGTTGATGTGAGCTACAACTTTTACATAGTTTACTCAGAATGTTCACCCTGTGCATGTTATGTTACTTGTAATCATCTGTCTACTCAGATGATCAAAAGTACTATGTACTCTGATCTTTACTACCCACTGGGAAACTTACAAGTTTCTAATAAAGACTTTGGTTGCCAGAAATCTTAATAAGGTTAAACACTTTTTTTTAGATAGGGCTTTTAACAAATGTTATTTAAAAACAAATGCTGTACCTTTAAAAAGTTACATAGTACAGAATTATTCTACTGAGTTCTTCAAAAAGAATGACAAATAATTTTGAAAACAAACAAATGAGATAAGTGCAGATTTTCAGAGGACCTGGAATATGATTCCCAAGATGGAAGTGGCAAAGCATCACAGATATCTGGGAGTCTGCTTTCTAATCATCACCTAACAGACAGTCGAGCAGTACTTGTGGATCTTTGGTTGTCTCAGTCATGATAACGAGTTGAGGTCTCCAAGGTCTACCTCTGGCAGACATAAAGTTGCACATTCCGATTTAAAAGAAGTGATAGGTGAATGGCAGAAACAGGTCACCTCTTAAAAAACTTAAAGTTGTTTTTCAGATGTTAAAATTAAGATAATTATCAAGTCAATCTGTCAAACTATGACACTGAGTGAGCTGGTACGTAGGTAATGTGGAGGATCAGTTTTTTCTTCGACCAAAATAATTCATAATACTTCTGAAACCTTGTCCATAACCAACTCCAACTTACAAAACGGGAATTTTCCCCATTCTGTGTCCCAGTGTCACAGCAGTTGTGCTTCCATCAATCCTCCTCACACATCCCTCTTTTTTAAAGCAGTTTTTTTACACCCCTCAGAGGAAGTCTTTGGACAGTGCTACCCCAAAGTTAGGCGCAGCCATGAGAATTGCGATAGTACAGATGATGTTGAAAACACTGAATCCAACCAGGCACAGTCGATCGATGACGGCCGCCGCGAACTGCCACTGCTCTGCCCGGCTCAGCTGACGGTCCTGCTCACGCACACGTTCAACCAAAAACTGCACCTCCACCAGGAGCGCCTGCAGCTGGTTGTCCACTGCAGCCGATCGAATCATCCCACCGCTGGTTTGTAGTGCGGCCGACCTCCCGCCTCCGGCCTCTGAGCCGCACGGCCCAGAGGCTGTGATTGAAGGATCCGGGTCTGGAGAAACTGGCGGCTCCAGAGGGGTGCCCCCATACTTGGAGGACTGGAGGTGGTGATGTATTGATATATCTCCAACGGGTCCTCCTGCTGCCCCTCCATCTCCCTCTCCAGCTCCGGCATTACCCCTCCCATGACTTGTGGCGCTGCTCCTCTGGACGGGTTCCAGTTCTGCAGCAGTCTGAAAGGTTTGGAAGCCCATGTAAGGTAGGTGGCCGTTAGGCTGAGAGTGTGGGTTGGGGCTAAGGTCTCTGTGGCTTGGATTGGGAAGGATCACAGCCTGGGAGATTGGTCGATGAGGAAGTGGGTGCGACAGGGGGTGGCTGAGCTGCACCAGACTAGCCTGCAGGGAGCTGAGGCTCTGCGGGAGGATGGAGGGTGCTAGGGTTGGGATGGTGGTCGTGGTAGTGGTGGTGGTTGGAGAAGACAGGGTCTTGCTCTGTGAGTCTGCTTGGCAGTTGGAAAGCGTGGGTTCACCTCCCTCCCCCGGACGCTTCATCCGCAGAAACCAAGGGACCCACTGGAGCAGAACCAAGTGCACCTGCCAGTCACCCATGAAGATAAGAAAATTAATTAAATAAAATGAAATAACTTGAAGAAAAATACAGTCACATGGAAAGGGTCTGTCAAACTCCCAGCCACTGGAATTTTCAAATAAGTAGAAGATGATCTATTTACATAGAAAAGCATTTAGTATGCGTGCAATACAAAAAAATATTCTGATAAATTAAGCAGTTCACATGTTTGGAGTCATGTTATGGAAAAGCCAGGCTATGTAACTTTGGAAGCTTTATAAATAGCCTGACTCATTGAAGCCGACCTCAAAAATCAGCAGTCGTGAGCTTGACATCGCAGTCACCCGTGCACTCTGAAAATGAATAGAACTGATGCACTCTTAACAAGAGAATCCTGGAAGACGATAGTAAAAGGCTTTCAGGTAGTCATTTCCTCTGTTTTTCATTCAATTAAGAAATTGCATTACACAAGCTTTAGACACCAGTTTGAGATAGAAGGCCAAGAAAATGGCCGTTCAGAATGTTTGTGAGGTTTTTGCAAAAAAAAATTGTTATACAGAAAGATTTATCAGACTTTGTTGGCGGTGCATTGACGCAGTGTCACCGTGCAGTGACAGCTGCACAAACATGGCCCTCTTTGGAGAGTCTTCAGAGAAATATCTTTCCTCTTCAACAAAATACAGTTGCCGTATACTAAGATAAGATAAGAGAAACATCACATAATGTACCATAGCATAACACTAATTATAAAGGTGTTCAAGTTTGTGAGAATCCAGATAGAAAACATAAGGGCACCACAACAAGGAAAACAATTTGTTGTAACTCACCCAGCGTGGCATATGTCCATCATCAGGGCTGTGGTGATGAAACTGGAGGACAATAACGGTGGCCACCACTGACATCCCAACAATCACCATGGTGCTAGCAAAGTACTGACCTGGAAGAAACACGACTCTGTGCCTTCAATCTGTTTGAATCACCAGCCCCCCAAGTCTGAAATGCCCACACGCATAATCAAACAAGTCAAAAAACTTACCAATCAATGGTACCGAATCTGAAGTGGCTGGCATAATCTCTGCCACCATCAGCATGAACACAGTCAAAGAAAGCAGAACCGTGATTCCTGAACACAGGCACAAGACACCAGAGAATTGTGGTTTACACAAAACAAAAATCGAGAAATCTTGAAAGAAGGGAGTACATGAGGGCTTTACAGTATTATCATCCACCTTTCTGGCACTCCTGAATATACGTATTTGATTTCACTCTTTATTATCTCCAGTGTAAGTCTTTGATACTGCCTTCTTTCCATGTTGGTTCTCCGACACTAATACACAAGCTATAATAGGAAGTTCGAGCTTTTGTGATCGAAGAAAGATTACAATAAAAGAAACTTTCATTAACAATGCATCACAGGAAAATTACACTTCCCTTACAAGCAGATGCGTTTTCTAAAGTATATCTTCCTTTACTGTAGCACCATGCCATGCCTCTCTCTTATCATCATTCCTCACCAAGGCTGATTTTCTCTCCTGAGTTGGCAGGTAACAGAAAGACAAGCAGGGTCATAGAGGAGAGGAGGACGCAGGGAAGGAGGAGGTTGAGTGCGTAAAACAGGGTCCTCCTTCGCAATGTCACCACGAATGTAACATCTGGGTAGGGCTCTGCACAGCAGTCATAAAAAACCTCGTGGCGATCTCCAGGGACCTCTAAGAGGATGAGGAAAGACAGCGATGCAGCAAAATAGTTTTACTCCTGTGCAGAGAGCGAGACTGACAGAGAAGACAAATAAGTGTCTTGCACTGTCAGCAAAGTCATGAATAGGACCAGCTTTATTTAAACATATTACGGAATAGAACAGAAACGTATACAGTACAGTGAAAAAAATGTCCAGCTTAAAAATGTTGCAATGTGTAAGATAGTGATACATTTTTAATTTAAAGGGCTGTCTGGTCCTTGAATAGGCGGCGTGAGAACAATCTGCATGGCATCGGACTCTCGCTGTGTTGCTCTTTTCATGATTTTTATTGTCATGATATGTAAGCGCAGCATAGAAATGGAGGGTTTTGATTGTGGTCAGTTTCTTATTGCATCTCTGAATCATTCCTGTTGAAATGGAGTCAAGACCTCCAGCAGGGAGTGAGGCAGAGTGTGGAGAGCTGCTGGAATGATGTTCCCCCAAATCGAAGGCCATGGTCCGCAATCAGAAAATTGTGGATTTCCAATTTTGGGTTGGTAATGAGCTTTGTTTCTAGTGGTGGAGGTTAAGTATCACGCAGTGGTTGAAGAGAACTCAAGACGTGTAGGTATACTATACAGCATCTTGTGTGGATGTGGTGCTGCAGTTTCGTCTTTCACATTTGGTCACAACTAGTCGGTAGAAACCATAGAAATTGGAATTAAAATAGAAGTGACTGAAATTACCTGCCGCACAGAAAGGTTTGTCTCACGTTTTACAAAAAGAGCTGCCATACAGGGGAGCTGTTGGTAAGGTTCAGGCATCTGACCAGGATGCTTTCTGGATCCCCCTAAGTGAAGGTGTTTTGTACTTGACAATTCATTTTGTCTTTTATTTTTTGGTCTATTGGAATTCATGGTATTGGCTACCCAAGAATGCATGGATATGAGGAACTATGTGCAATCCTGCAAAATGGAATTGGAAGACCCAAGATTAACTAGAGGGATTATTTTAGACAAGCAGGAAGAAGGTGGCTGGAAATATGTGTTTAGACTGCTGACACTGTCACAAGGTCCCCAATTAAGTATATATAATTGTATATATAATTCTCTCTCTATATATATATATATACATATATATATATATATATACATATAGCATTATAGCAAATATAGCATTATCATTATGCCATCCAGTATTACCCAGTAGATCCCATTCTCCATTGGGCATGTATCCCGACACATCTGCCTCCTTCATCTGGATGTCTAGAAGCCAGCCATCAAAGGTCCATGAGCCAAATTTCAGCTCACATCGCTGGATGTCAAACGGAAACCATCTAACATCCACATTACAGGTGCTGATGAATATTCCTGGAAGTGCAGAAATAACACAGTCAATTAAATCCTCCAAAGATATATAAGTGTGAGTGTGTGTGCAAGTGTGTGTGGAGGTTGGTTGTAACTTGATTAAAGGCTGTGCTTGGAGCAGCCATGTGGAAGTAAGGGAAAAGGAAAATACTTAAAAGCAGAAAACATTTTTTAGATTTAATTCTCTGCAGTGGGAGCAACACTGCATTTCTGCTGACTGACCCAACCCAAAGTGTGGTTTTGCGTGGAAGACACCAGTTAAAACATACCTGGAGGCAGATACTCACAGAAGCCACTGGAGTTAACCAGCACATTGGTTTTAAAGGTGGCATCAAACTTATCATGAGCGCTAAAAAATGGTAATACGGTGACAGTTTAGAGTCAAGCAAAAGGCGTAGGCATGTATATCTGTGTTTGTAGGTTACATACCTGTTGTATAGCAATATGTCGGGCGTCCAAACCTGGTCGGGGGAAAACCGGAGGTTCTTGACTCCGGGATATTCTGACTGATTCCACTGGAGGTAGTGGTCATACCACTGCTGGGAGACACAAACACAAAACCAGTTTTACTACAACGCATTCTTTTGTACAATCGGTTAGGGCAAAGGAAAAAGGCTGTCATCCTGGTGAGGCTGACGCATACATTAACAGGATAATGAGATCCAACAGCATTAGGGATGATACTCTGTATCTGTGAGGTACAGCTTTCCACTCTACAAATCAATATTGTATCATCAATTAAATTATTCTACTCACCATCTGCAGCCAGGCATTTGTGGTGAGGATCTGATTCTTTTCATCCTTGCATGACACAAAACAAAAGGATAGAATAAATGATTTTGTCATCTAAATAGGGTTATATTTTTGTTGACTTTTTTGTGTTCCATTAAAACATCCAAAATGGTCCCTCCTGCTCATGCTCTTCTCAATAAAAGCAACACACACAGTGGTGCATCAGGGCCATTTACTTTAAATACGAAAAACATAATTTACTAAAAGTGAGACATTTTAAAGAATAATAGCTCATCTTTAATATTTAAACCCGGGACTATTGATGCACAGGAAAAGAATGGGATAAAGTTCCCTTCCCAGGGGTGCAGTAACTGTTTTCCTCAGTTCCCAGATGTTTAGAGAATGTTGCTAATGAATATGAAATGCTATACAGTAGAAAAAGACCCTGTCACATCTTTTTAGGACATGCTGCCACCATTGAAATCTTGCGGGGGATCTAGAGTCGTCCCAGGGCACCACCTAAACAAGTTGCAATTTGCTCACAATGCTGCTGCACAAAAACCTTGTAAAGCATTTAAAAGGTTTTTTAAAACGCCAAACCTATCACTTTTCCCTCCGCATACAATTTTTAGAATCATTCCAAGACCTCATCATAGGACTGCAAAATTAGGTAATTGGAGATTGAGGATTTTGTTCACCCAGGTAACGCAGTATCAATGACCAGTTGTTCCCTTTAGTAGATGAGAGAACATTAAGATAGCCATCAGTGCAGCAGCCATAATCATTATGGAGTGGCTGGAGAGAAGCTGGTTTTCATTAAAAACCACATCATGGCCTGCTGACAATCTGTTAAAACAGTGGGAGGATGTTGGACTGCCAAGATCATACCAACGTGTACATAGGGAGAACGTACAAACTCCACACTCGGGATTCCAACAAGAAACCCTATCAAATACAAAAGTTGGATACTTTTTTGTTTTGGCTCAAATTTTTTTGGCTGATTAACAATGGGGGAAAAAAATAATTGAATCCTTTTAAGAAGCCTGAAAGAAAAAAATTAAAGAGGATCTGAAAGAGTTTGGAAATGTTTGTAATAGCTGTATTTTTTAATGTTCTATGGGAACATTCATGCTTAAATCTGTTCCCTGATTTATATAAAACTGTTGCCTTGCATACCACATCCATGACCTGCATTAGAGTAAAGGAGAACTGGACGGTGAGTGTCTGAGTGTCGTTGGCCACTGGTCTCTCCATTGGATTGTAGTCTCTCATCAGCTCCCTGAGCAGAAAGCGCTGGTGTGGACCCTGCACCGATGCTGCACAGGAGAAGCAGGAGGCAGTTTAATGAGGGCGAGAAAAATGGGACGGAGTCAAATCATAAAAAGAGAAAAAAAGAGAAAAAAGAGAAAAACGCAACCAATGGAGAAATCATTTTGATCATGATGATTGTTTGGCAAAGGGCAGTGGGGAAATTTTAGGTACATGAAAGGTTCACCAAGACACAAAGTTATGCAGATGACAGAGTGATGAAAGCATAGAATAAAATTTAAAGAGAGAGAGAGCTAAAGCAGAGAATAAATATGGAGGGCAGACAGGAAGAATCCACCTCCCCCTAATCAATTTAGCCTCTGATTGATCGCCAGCACCCAGTCGGAGTCTTTCCACGCCTGTAAAAATGTCAGTTTCATTCTCTGCAGGAAATAGTGAAGCCATTAAACACTGAAACACTCTGGACAGACGGCCATGGCGCCCACAACAATAAGAGGAATGGAAACATTCTCTCTTTAGCTTCTATGTGGCCAAGAGGTTCAAATGACTCTGAATTCATTCCTACTATGTAATTCTACTGATGTGGAAGGTGTGTTGGTGGGCATAAACTACACACTGAATATGTTAGGCAAAACTATATAAAATAAATAAGATATTTAAAAAAAAATAATATTTGCAGACTGTTTGATGATCCTAATTCTAGACAATTTTTGTAATCATATATTTGAAATTCCACAGTTGGCTTGAATGTAATTCAGATTAATCGTCTCCCAGTTGTCCAGATGTGGACAAGTTTCCCTCATAATTACCACTTTATATCCAAAAACTTAAATGTATGCACAGTGCCATGTTCGGGCACTGGTAAACCTGTGTTTATGTGAATAGCTGCATAAGTGGTGAATTAATTTCTTTCCAAAAGATGTGAGGATCAAAATAGCACAGTTTGTGTATAGTCTTAATTCAATTTAACTCTGAGACCCAATGCAAAGCATTCTTTCTCGAACAATGATTTTCCACTGCAGAACTGAGATAGTTTTGGGGAGATTTGTGGAACATCTTCTTTTCATCTTCAACATGTTTTAATGCTTTCTTCAAGAATATGCAGGTATTTTCTACATTTCCTTTAGGATCCAATCTTCAAAGCATGTACTACCTGCTTCTATGCTGAAGAATCCCAAAGGTTTTTCTTCTTTTTACTTTGCTCATCAAGGCCACAGGCTCCATTTTAACCTGTATTTGGGTATTCAGATTGCTGATGCTAAAGTTTTTGGTTGACACGGAAAAAGTTTCTTACCGTACGTCTTACTGGAGATGGCAACCATGAAAGTTTTTGCTAGCTTTATCTTCAAAGGACTTAAAAGGGTTCAGAGGTTGGAAATATACAACACCCACCAATCAATCAATCAATCAATCAATCAATCAATCAATCAATCAATCAATCAATCAATCAATCAATCAATCTATCTATCTATCTATCTATCTATCTATCTATCTATCTATCTATCTATCTGTCAATTTTAATTTCTTTTTCTATTTATTCATTATCTTCACATATATTTTTGTGCATTCTTAATTTTCTTTCTGGTTGATTTATCAATACAATACAAAAACATTACACTATTAGTATCTATGCTAAAATGTCCAGCTCAGCCATGTCATCTGCAGAAAAGATGATAGCACCTTACCCTGATGCTGGCTCAACATAAAATACCTTTTGAGTGTGTATTGCTGCCCACATAGAGACCCTCTGTTTCTATGTGAGCTGCTGTTTGCAGTTATTTGGAATATACCTCCTGACCTACAAATACGTAAGAATGTACAACCGTTTCTTGAACAACGCACGCATGTTCATGCATAGACCCTCTCTAATCAGCAGTACAAGTCACTTACCTCGAAGCAGAGTCGCAAGTATCAACAGCCAAAGAGCCACAGCTTGCCTCATACTGCATTCCTCTGAATCAGCGCAGAAAGAGTGGCAAAGTGAAAATAGAGAGGGAAGACCAAATAGGAAAATTGAGGTAAAAAAAACAAAGGGGGGTTGAAGATAAAGAGCAGCTGTAGAAAATCAGTGGGGAGAGCTTAATACCAGCAGCGTCAGAGCAAAAAATGTTATAAAATGAAGGCGAAAAGAGAGCGCAGGAGACACAAAGTGTGGTAGACACGCAGTGAAACAAGTACTCTGATCCAGTGGGTGATGGTGTGTGGGAGTCGATCAGAGTCAGAGCGATTGGTATGCTCTGGACAGCACTCAAACTCATCTCTCATACTTATCTGAGTATTTCTTACAGAAGACACGATTATATGGAATTATCTGCAGCCACACGTCAGCTTGAAGAGTGACTTATTTACATTTTAGGGATTTACAAACTGAAAGAACACATTTTTATATTTGAGGGGGCTCTGTGCATGAGCAAAACAACCTCCATGTTATGGTATCAAACAACTTTACAGCGTTCTCTTCCACTGCGCTCCAATTAAGTGGAAACATGCTGAAACATTTTATTGTAAGCTGTTGCACCACTGTGTGATCCACAGAGGAGAGTATAATTAGGGAGATGTTTCCCTTTTGATCCCCCCTCCTTCCATGCGTCAGTGCATTGCCTTTCTAATGCTGACACCCACAGGACATGCTAGTAAAGTGCAATCTAAAATCTTCCCCAAAATCATTTGGTTTTTAAAAGGGTATTAGAAGCTTTCAAATTCATTTGAATTAAGTTGACAAATAAAACCAAGTGTTTGCCCTGTTTGTCTAACAAAAATCCCTGTGGAAAATGGGATAGACCTTGTTTGTTTCTTTATCTGACTTTTCTGTTAAGCTCTTAGGTTGCACACAAATATGATGTTTTAATATCATTTGTGCATTTATTTAACAGGTTCTTGAGGGTTAAATTTTTTTTAGCTATTGACAGTATTACCTGTCAACACATGTCCTCCATATTGAAACATTTCTATTTATGTAACGCTCAAACTGTGACAAATATAGAATGTCGCCCTGATAATAGCTTTTGTATTTTGTATTTGGAAAAAAAACAAGTGCATTGCAAATATTTCCCAGATTCAGATGAAAATATGGTTTTCTCAACCACATAAACTGAGACTTATCTGAAATAGTCAGCTGCCCAGGACACAGCGTGGTTACATCCATCCTAAGCTGTATCTCACTAAGTAAATTAATATTGTTTAAGAGGCACTAAGTGGTGGTCAGGTAAAAGCTGCTACAGCAAATAGATAACAGCACCATGTACACAATTTCATGGGTAAGGATCAAGACAAATGTGATTTTTCTATGGGGTTTTTTTTGTTAAATTGTTCCTCTGTGTCTATTTACTTGTTGAATAAATGTATTCATGAATTAGTTTATTAATTTGTTACTCTTCTGTAAGGAAACCGGAGACTCGTTCCCTTTAGGGATATCCAACAAGGAAGCGAAGCACACAGACCAAAAATAACGGAACCATGCCCATGTCGTTACGTCATCCACATGCGACTCGGGAGTGTTTGTTTCAGTCGCGAGCGAGTGCGTCACAGTTCTTTGATTGTTTCTGTCACCGCATTAATTTATTACAGTCCAACAACAACCCAGAGCAGGGGGACACTGCGGGCTGAGGTAACTGTCTGGAGCTTCCTTTTGTTTTGCAATGACTTGTGGAAGAGTGGGTGAGAAGTGACTGTTTATTTTGTGTTAAAAGAGAATTCAGTGGTTGTGCTGCAGGCGGTGGATGGGAATGGTGCAGAGCCAGTGCGGAGCTAGCAGGCTAACTAGCTTTAGCTGGAGGAACGCTGTTCATTTAGCTCCTGCAAGTTAGCTTCACATGTTGACCCATGTCACTGTAATGTGTGTTATTTGGAAAATGACCCGCCGAGCACCTTTGGTTTTTGTTTTTAAAAGGAAAAGAGAGGGCCAAGTAACCTGTAGCTGTGTAACTTAAAACTTGTAGCCTATTATTGTTGCTTTTTTGTCACTTAAAATTCTGCGCCAAACGCAGAAAGCAGCAGCTATGATGTGAGGGCTGCACGCGCCGACCTGTGAGCAATTAAATCTAGAATATAAACCCAAATATGATTATTACATGTGTTTTTCAGTTGCCGTCCCTAGTTAGCAGACAGCTAGTAACATGTGCTTAATGACTGTAGATCAAAGTACCATTAGGTTCTGAATATTTACCACTATGATTCCCTATTAAATATGCCAATGTGCAAAGTGGGACTAGGGACAGTTACGGAACTATAACCCATAATAACTTAATGATTCTTTTCAACGATTTGATATCATTCCGTTAACTCTTCACACTTATCATCTCTCATAATCTAATCCCATCACCATCACAGGTATTAAAAGTAATTGATCTATGCTATATGGAAACCTAACTACAAAGTTGTTACCAGAGATACAGGAAAAATGATTATGCCTTGGAGTGATATTTGTATCTTACCTAATGTATTACGTTACTACCAAGCTCGATCTTTCCCGCCCTTGTTTTATTTTTAATGTGAAAACCTGATCCGGGTCTGTGGTGTCTCCTCTGCCCCGGTGTGCAGCCGACAGTGGGCATTCGGGAGAGGTTGTCCTTGTAGGTGCTCAGTCACACAGGTTCACGGGCCGGGATCCGGTCACGTGACTCACTCCAGAAACCAAACTGTTTTCTCTTACCGAGAAGCGAAATCGAAACTTATCCCCTGCCACATTTGGCCTTTCGCCTCGGCGGTCTTTCCAATCATTCGTTGGATTTCCCACCCGAGTTTCTGTTCGTGCAACAGTTTGGCAACGCATTGTGCAACAGCACCGCAACGCATCTCGGCACTTATAAACGGGTCGTGAAGGCACAGAGGACATTTTCGACCCAACGTGGAAGAACACGCGTTTGAAAACACGCTTCAACCACCATTTCCTGCTAGCCTTCTCCGCAGTCTACTGTCTTCCACCGGCTAAGTGTTTTCTTTATGTGCTCACTCTGGTTACCTTCTGCACAACGTGAGTTCTTGGAGGCAGCTGAGCATCAGAAAGGCTCACACTCACCGCCTCCTGCTCTGCTACCTCCGTTTGACCGTGTGCAGGTGAGATCCACCACAGTGTGTGTGCTCAGGAGGCCTTCGGCTCGGTTCTGTAAATGCATTATGCTAAAGCACATGCCAGGTTTGATTCAAACCAGCGTCTGTCTCATGGAGGAGCAGCTGTCTTTGGAAGCTGTGGCATTTCAGGACTGGACAGCATAGAAGTTGCAGAGCAGTGTGTCCACCACTTGGCAGAGTGATGGTCTGCTAACGCAGAAAACACAGAGAAGTGTTTTAACATAGAAAAAGAGAGAGGGGAGGGGGTAAATAGAAAATGAGCATATACTTGTTTTTTTGGCTGTCAAATGTTGCCTTGCATCAGGGTCAGAATGACTCAGCTCCAGCCCTGTTGGGCCCCTGGGCTGCTGGCCCCGTCGGTCCCGATTACCGTGATGAACCAACACTATGGTGTTCTCTGGTAATGTGGCAGTGTTTGGGCCTGCTCAGCTCTTTCACCCATACCTTACTGGAACAGAGCGAGTGAGTACTGACTGAGTATTGGGTGTCTCCCTGTTGTCCGTCTGACTGCAATAGACATTATTGAGTGTTGTCAGGTATGACACTTGAGACTAAATCAATGTTGGTGTCCAGCATAGGAGGATGTATAAATTCTGACCTGCACATTTCAAAATGGGCATACTTTGCTGAAAACTTTTATGTGTCTAAATTGTGAGAAGGGAATTAACCTTCCTCTGCAAAAAAAAGGAGTGACAGCTGGCAACTGCAGAGTTTTCTTTCTACATACTTGTACCTGTTTTTTTGTCCTTGAAGTGGCCCCTTAGTCTGCTTCATTGTCTCACTTTCCCCTTCTGCCACAGCTCTATACCCAGCAATAATTTGTAAGGCCAGTAATAATACAGAATAGTCACAAGAAGGTCTGAATTATTTATCATCCTCCGTTCACCCTGGATTTAGTTTCAGTGTGACAGGGAGAGATGTCAAATCTCCCTGCAATATCCTTGCAGACTGATTGGGTTATAATCTGAAAACTTACACCGTCACATCATCAGGGCTGCTGTGGCTCAGTGCTTCTTCTCTGCATATAACCTTCAAGTTTCCGTGATTGTAGCATGTTTGCCTACCCACTTAGTCGGATGCTGTATTTAGGACAGCTGTAGTGGAGTGTGATAATCTCAAGGTGCCCTTGACGTTTGTGCAGCTTCTCCGGCTGAACCAAGGACACTTGAACAGGTTGGAGGATTGCCAGCAGATCCTGAATTTGTGTTATTAGCTGGGACAAATGTTTCTCATAACCTTCTTGTTGCTTTTGAATTGATCTGTCTTTAATCAGCCTTCTCGGAATGTATTTCTACATATTAGTATTCTCCTGACTTTGCCTTTTGCTTGTATTTCAGGCACTCAGTGTGCAACCACCCTGCCCTGACTTTCCTCCAGGGTACTCTGTTGGATGTTTGAAGGCGTATCGTAGTACTGAAGCTGCACAGCCAGGTGCGCCGGCCCCCTTTGTGCTCAACCCCTGCGCTATGAGCAGAGGCAGAGGAGGGCCTCACAAAGAACCCTACAACAGGCATCTACCACCTCGCTTGCAGGCCAAGGAGAATTCTTATCGACCTGGCCAAGCCCAACTCTTCCCCAGAGCTGATCCACAGCAGATCCCACATGTAAATTACTACAACAATCCAATACATCCTGCGGTGCCCATACATCCACCTTCTCCTCTCCCCCCCACCGCTCCCCCAATTCCGAACCACATTAAAGTGGTGCCTAACTCTGCATCTTATTATTGTGCACACAACCAGAGTCACATCATCACTCCAGTCCCCAATTCCTTCCACTATAAACAGGTAAAGTTCCTGAGAGGACAGAGCTCCGAGGCACCCCAGTTCAGGAGCAGTGCGCGAGGAGGTGGGGAAGTACCCATCAGGCCGCAGAGAGCCCTATACCAGCAACAATCACAGTACAGTAGATATACAAACCCCAATAACAGCTCCAGGGGTAGAGGGTGCTACAGCCAAGACCAGGGCTTTGCTTTCCCTTCTGGTGCAAGAGGTTCACGAGGTGCCCCACGCCCTTGGCACTTGAATCAAAACCAGTTTCAAGGCAATACTAGCAACCAGTACTCCAACAGACAATGGTGTGTCCATGACGACACTCTCTCTGACAATTTTCAGAATTTATCTCTTCATCAAGGTATGCCCTGCAGAAGGGCAGAAAGCTTTGACAAACGGCTTTCATTGAGCACTGCGGGGAAGTTGGGATTTACTAAAGAGAATATCACTCTTACCCCTGACATACAGGGCCAGGTGCACAGGGCGTTGGTTGCTTTGAGGCCTGATGAGAGCGTCTCTGCTAAGATATTAGCCAAAAAACTGCGGCTGCCCAAGAAGATAGTCAACAAGGCTCTCTACAATTTGGAACGATCTCATAAAGCCTCCAAGCAAGGACTCCTCCCGCCCGAGTGGACCCTTTACAGAGAACATCTCAGAGGAGAGCATCAACTCTCTGAATTTCAAAGTTCAGTTCCTAGTTTGGGTCATAGCACCAAACAACCACAAGCCCCTGGGGCCGGGATTGACTCAGAAACAGAAATCAAGGGGCAGAGCAAAGAAGGGGACTCTGATACAGAATTCAGTTCTTCTTGCTACCTCTCGTCAGAGTCATCTGACTCAGAAGAATCACAGTCATCAGAAAAAGGCCAATACCACGAGGAGACGCACCCCCAACCAACCAGGTCCCCAGATCAGGACCTTATCTCTGCACTGATGGCAGAGTTAAAAGAACAAATTCTGCAGTATCTGCAGAATTCAGGGGAAGTGACTTCTCTTGTCATTGCAAAAAATCTTGGATTAAAGAATGCCAAAATCAATACCATACTTCTGGCTCTGGAGAATCAAGGTGAGGTGCGTAGGAATAGTCAGGAAAACCCTCCCAAATGGAATCTGTCTGCCCACCGGAGAGAGAGAATGGAGAGGAGCCTTCGGGCCGCACAGGGCATGGCAGCTGTGAAGGTTGAAGTGGAGGAAAAGGCCATTAAAGTGGAAGAGGAAGATGGCTTCTTCAAGTCACCGCTACCGTCTATACCAGGTCTCGAACCACTCTCACAGCTTGAGGACAGGGTACAGGGGCAAAATCAAAGTGAGGTAAGTACGTTCACCGTTTTGCTATGCGTATTTGTATCCTTTAAATAATAAGAGAGTCAATACTCTGAATGACAAAATGTAAGGTGCTAATGATGTGGCGTGATATGATTGTGTCCCTTTTAACCTTGACGAAGTCCAACTTTGTTACACATGTGTCTCATACCCAGCTATGTGTTACGTCTCATTAAACATTTGCACTCGATAAACGGTACCCAGCACTAACCTGCCAGGAGAAATTGGAGGTTTGCCGTCTTGGCCAAGGACACTTTGTCATGAAGATAATATGAATTAACCCACCCCCCTAACAGTCTGAAATGCACGTCTTTGCCAGCGTGACTATGGGTGCGCAAGACCTGTAATAATTCAGGCACTAGCATTTTACAGACACAATTTCTATGGTTAGTTTTCACACTGTGTCCAAGGTCATTTACTTGACTTGACAGACAGTCTATTTGGGATGTGTTTTCAAGGTGATCCTGTGTGTGATTTCTGTAGACTATCCAGAAAGATTTAACTTAAATCCCTGTTTCCTGTTTGGGTTCCATTCTTTTCTTCACCCTCTTTAAAGCAATGTATAAAAGAAGAGACCAATGAGGAGCAGTGGGCCACCGATGAGATCCCCCTATTCCTCAATGCTATTCGCAGAGAGACAGACGCTAGTAAACAGGCTTCAGAAAAGACCAACACTATGGGAACTGTGGCTGTTTCACTGGCTGCCCCGCCTCCTCAGAACCTGTGGGCCAAATTACAGGAGGTGAGGCTAAAGAACCCCGTCAGTGGTCTCATGGAGTATGCCCAGTATCTGGGCCAAAACTGTGAGTTCCAGCTTCTCGACCAGTCTGGACCCTCTCACGACCCAAGGTTGGTAACTTGATGTACCCTGCTATTCAGGGCTTTGGTTGACACAGGTTACTGAGCATCAAATAAGAAAGTAATGTAGAAAATGCATCACATCTTGTTGCTCAATAAACCTGCTCAGGAGGAGGTTATAACAAGCGTTACGGTTTTAAATGAATTGTTTTAAGCACCAGCTCAGCACCACACACAGCAGACATAAAAATTAATTTATGTATATACACATATACACACATTATGTGTCTGCCTCAATCACTTGTAACAATGAATGACATGGACTTAGCTGTAATGTAGCACAGAAAGCTTTTAATGTGTGTCCTCAGTGAATTCTGTGTCGATGCAGATCAGTGTGCATTTTTTCTACTCCTGCCAGATTCCGTATGCAGGTTTTGCTCAACGGGAGGCTGTTTCCTGTGGCTGAAGCCTCTAGTAAGAAGGTTGCTAAAAAGGACGCTGCTGCGGCCACCCTCCGAGTGCTCATCACAGAGATGCAGGGAGGGACAGGCACAGCAGACGAGGGGAACGCCACAAGTATAGACCAGCCGATGGAGGCACTTCCAGACACCAGCGTAAGTTATCATTTACTGAATGGTAAAAGCTTCTTTGCTTTACTGTACATCCAAATTCTCCACATAAAGCTTTAAAAAGGCATCTCTGGGGTTTTACTCTCCAGACAAAGCTTAATCTGTGTCTTCTGTCCCCCAGTCTGTTGAAAATACAGGGGGAGTACATGGCGGTGGTGGTGCGGAGGGAATGGCGGAGGGCCCTCGCCAGCCCGTATCCCGTTCTCTGCCTGGTGGGAAGAATCCAGTGTCGGTTCTGATGGAGTACTGCCAGCGCAGTGGGAACGCCATCGAATTCATGAACACCGGACAGGCAGGCCCACCACATGACCCGCGGTACTGACTCCTTCACCTCCCTCTGAGTCCGAGTCCTTTATTAGCATGTCCTGAGGTCAACTTTCACTGTGGGGTCTCATGTCTCAAGGAGGCAGCTATTTCTGTGTAATGTCCTCCACTCTGTAGTCATCTGACAAAGACACAATAACATCTCTGTCCTGTTCAGTCCATCCCTTTAGGCAGTTGCCTGGGTGATAGATAAAGTACAACTGGTGTTATTGTCCACACGCTTTAGAGAAGCCGCACGTGCTGTAGTCTGAGACTTGCTTTAAATCCTTCCCATCTGTTATAACTGGAAGTTGTCCCTCCATAAAGCGTGTCCTGCGTTTGATGTAGCTTTCACCACTCTCACCTCCTCCATCCTGTGCTCAGGTTCATGTACAGGGTGAAAGTTGGGGAGAACCTCTTCGCAGAGGCTTCAGCTCCCAGCAAAAAAGCAGCCCGCCAGCTGGCCGCAGAGGAGGCCGTCAAAGAGTTAATGGCCGATGGAAAACTGCAGCTCAACAAGGTGAGAGCTGTGGATTTCCTTTTTTTATGTTGTCTAGGATTAAAATGAGTAAAACAAGGAATGGCAGCTCACGATACACGATGCTTACATTTACTGCTCTAACACTCCTGTCCTGTATTCGCCCTCTCTAGCCTCAGTTGCCCCTGGGCTCATGCAGTGATAGCGAAGAGGGTGCTTCCGGGACAACGTCGCCCTCTTTGCGCCCCTTAACTGCAGATGAGTTGCGAGCAGCCCATGAGGCAGGGGTTGGGGACCTAATCAATCACCTGAACAACAACGCAGTGTCAGGTCTTCTGGAGTATGCCAGAGCTCGGGGCTTTGCTGCCGAGATCCGGCTGGTGGGCCAGTCTGGGCCTGCACATGAGCCTAAGTATGTTGGCGCTAAGTTTCTGTACAAAGTTAAAGGCTAAGCAAAATGTTCAAATGTGGGCTTGTGTTTTTAAATCCACTGTTTAAAAGAGCCTAAGTTTCCATGGCTCCGGGGGGTTGCAGAACCGGATTGAAAACAGAGTGACATCCTTTTTTGATTACGTTTTTCTTTGGCCCCTCCCTCTCAGGTTCACCTACCAAGCAAAGCTGGGTGGGCGCTGGTTTCCTCCAGTTTGTGCCTCCAACAAGAAACAGGGAAAGCAGGAAGCAGCGGATGCTGCTCTCCGGGTTTTGATTGGAGAGGCTGAAAGGGCAGCTCGCACTGGGGAGCTTATCCCAGCTGAGGTACACACCGTTAGAATATATGGATTTATCTTTGTTGAAAGTCGAAAGTTCAGTTGCTGTGCAGCGAGTGAGCAATTTGTTGTGACATTTCACCGTGAGCCACTGGATGTTAGGATAGAAATACTTCACTCATCCTCCAGAAAGCAAATTCAAATTGTCAAGTAGATTAAAAAAAATTATATTTACAACGATTTGATCTTCAAACAAAAACATCAATAAATTAGTTTAAGTAATAAGTAAATGAATATTAATAATAATCATTATGTAATCATGATATGAGAAGATCTGTGATATGTCACCATTAAAAAGCCTTATGACATCTGAAGGAATGGACATGTCAGAGTCAGAAATACTTCACAAATTCTTAGTAATTTTACTAATACTTTACTAATTCCAGAGTGGAAATATTTTCATCATACAGTATATCCTAGTGTGCTTTGCGAATGAACAAAGTGTCTGGACTAGCATTTAATGAACCAAAAACAAACCAATGTAGAGTCATGATGTATTAAATTCATGGAAGCTCTGTTTCAGGTCAATAGATCTGTTTTTTGTGTTATTCTGTCCCAGCAAAGGCATTTGTTTCTCATGTGTAGAAAAGGCCTGGACAAAAATTAACTAACTCTCATTTTCTCCATCTAGCTACCAGTAAGCGGTAGCACCTTGCATGACCAGATAGCCATGTTGAGTCACCAGCGTTTCAATGCCCTGACCACACGTATCCAGCACAGCCTTCTGGGACGCAAGATTCTGGCCACCGTCGTCATGAGAAGAGGGGAGGGCCTGGGCACCGTTGTCAGCCTTGGCACTGGTATATTCATTATCTTTTAGCTTCTACTCAATAATCAAGGCTATTTATCCATTAATAGTTTAAGACGTATAACGACTGTAAGGATTTATGTGTTGGTTAGTCTTCAGATAGCAATGTTTTCTGCTCAGAGACGCTTGCTGTCGCAAAGTTGAGGCAGAACTAGGTCACTGCAGAACCGAGAGGCGTCGCATTGTCGTTTTCTTTGACATTGATTGTGTGTCTCCCTTTTTTTTCTCTTTTTTTCTTTCCCCCCTGTCAGGAAATCGTTGTGTCAAAGGGGAAGAGCTGAGCCTTAAAGGGGAGACAGTTAATGACTGCCACGCTGAAATCATCTCCAGAAGGGGATTTATTCGGTAGAAATTGATGTCTTGCTCCTTTATCAATGTTTCTCCCTCGTTTCTAAAAATACTCCTTGCTCTTCCTGGCCTCATCGCATGTGACATTATTTATAAATCTAACCCACTGTCTCCTTTCCTCTCAGGTTTCTGTACAATGAGCTGATCAAGCACTACGACGGCGCAGATGACAGTATATTTGAGCCGGCAGAGGAGAATAAACTAAAGATCAAATCTGACATCACCTTTCACCTCTACATAAGGTGTGCTCTTTCTCCCTGTTCACCTCTTTCAAAGGCTCTTTATTTCTCGGCGTGCCTACCAGTTTGACATATCAGTCTTTCCTGTGTGGATCTTAGTGGCTTGCCTTTAGATTTCCATCACCTTACGTCTCCCTCCCTTACCCCCCCTTACAGCACGGCGCCTTGTGGGGACGGTGCTCTGTTTGATAAGTCATGCAGTGAGGCAGGAGATGAATCCCAAGACCATCAGCCTCTGTTTGAGAATGCTAAGCAGGGCAAGCTTCGCACCAAAGTGGAGAACGGTAGGAATGAAAGCACATTAATTCACACTCCATTCTTTTAGCAGCAGATGTGACCTTAGCTTGTTGCGTGCGTTGTTGCGCTTTACAGGTGAAGGAACCATCCCAGTGGAGTCGAGCGCCATTGTACCCACCTGGGACGGCATCCAGCATGGTGAGAGGCTCCGAACCATGAGCTGCAGCGATAAGATCCTGCGCTGGAACGTGTTGGGCCTGCAGGGGGCACTGCTCTCCCATTTCCTGCACCCCATCTACCTGAAGTCCATAACACTTGGTAAATCTGTTGGATAAGGATTGTCACTGTCTTGTGGTTGGATTGAAGGTGAATGATCTCCCACATCTGATTTAGGTTATTCTCACTGAACAACCTGCGTCCGCTGCTCTGATTTTTGCAGGCTACCTGTACAGCCACGGCCACCTGACCAGAGCCGTGTGCTGTCGGCTGGCCAGAGACGGTGAAAGCTTCGCTCAAAGTCTCCCTCCTCCCTTCAAGCTGAACCACCCAGAGGTAACTCGGACACAGACATAAATCAAGATTGTTGAGGTCATTCTCATTAACAGAATTCATTAGGCTGCCAGCTTTCTTGTTTGTATCTGCAAAGTTGTTTTTCAATGTTCTTGTTATGTAAATGGGGCTCATCCATCAATTAAAAAAAGCAGGTTGGTCCCTGTCGCATGCCTGGATAAAAGTCAGAAATGCGGTGGCTGGCAGTTGCACACCTCATGTTGTTCTTGCTTTAGCCTGTTGTCCAACCTTGTTTTGCTTTTATTTCCACATTAGCTAAGAGTGATTGAAGATAGCTGACACACGTTTATTGGTATCACTTATCTGTGTAATTACACAGCTAGTTCTATAATTGCTTATTTACATTAAACTAGCTCAGTGGGAAACCATGTGCTCTGTTTGTCATATGCGGCTATGTACCACCTGGCTTCTCTGTAGGTGGGCAGAGTGAGTGTGTACGACTCCACACGGCACACGGGGAAGACCAAGGAGTCCAGTGTGAACTGGAGCTTTCCTGACCAGTATAATGTGGAGGTGCTGGATGGGACCAAAGGAAAACTTGATGGGTATGTAGATGTCGTGTCCCCATGCTAAATCCTGTCCCTGAACTGGATGATTGCGTTGTCGTCTGATGATAATTTAGATGCTGTTGATTTGATGAGTTCTTCATTTGATGACTTAATGAATATATAATTATTGTGTTATTTGTTTAAAGTGCAGACCTGCACAAAATATTTCTCTAGAAATATTCTGGGTCGGTCTTTAGAAGTTCAAACTTAAGTGTTCCTTTAGGAGTTTAGAGAGTCATGGAAGACTTGTATATATTAACAGTGGCCAACTTAAAGGGGGCTTTTACTGTATCCTAAGTTTCCCTGGGATTTGTCTAGTCTAACCAGACCCTCTTTATTCTCTCGGGTTCAACAGAACCAACATACAACAGCTGTCAAGTTAGTCATTTTTAGATAGACCTGGACTGAGACTAGGAGGTTATTTGATGATACCATGATGCATTGCCATGTTTATTACTTTTTTCACCAACACGCATCTAAACTGCTCTTTAACATCTTCCCTCCAGGACCAAACAAGCCGTGTCCCGCGTGTCCAAGTCCAACCTGTTCTGTCTGTTCCACTCTCTGTGCCAGAAGTGTGGCCGCAGTGACCTCCTCTTGCTGCCCTCCTACGCTCAGGCCAAGATCTCAGCCTCGCACTTCCAACTTGCCAAGCAACAGTTCTTTCAAGCTCTCACCGTTCACGGCTACGGAGCCTGGATCGGCAAGCCACTGGAAGAGAAGAGCTTTGAGGCCACGGAGGGAAGTGGCAACAACGGGCCAGGCATCCCTTTGGCACACGGGAACAGTAGAAACGGAGGGGCGATGGAGTACGCACAAGCAGAGGCGTAGATCAGTGCAAGGAGATGATATGAGCATGTGGGGGAGAAAAGCACAAGCAGGGGGCAGATCAAAGGGAGCGCGCTGAAACAATGCAAAGCCAGTGGCCAGAACTGAGTGTGCTGATGGAACATGGTTAAAGGCTGCCAAGTGAGTGATGGAAAGCGACAGATCAAGTCATGGGCAAAGCCTGAAGTATGAGTGAGGTCACAGTTGACAGGACAGAGCGGGGGAGAGATCCACAGGGTGTACAGAACATTGTAAACACTACATTCAGAAGGAATAAGTCTGAAGTCGTCTCATTTCCACGACCGAAAAACTCCCGCTCGGCTCAGTTGCAAAAGTTTGTGATCAGTTTTTGTCCATTTTGATGTTAAGAGCCCAATTAGTTTCAGATTTTTGTTGGAATTGATGGCAAACTCTGATCAGCCATAACTTCACCCCCAGCCTACCTAGTATGGAGTGAGCAGGGTGTGGACATGGGGGGTGTCCCGATGTGAACTGGGACATTAGCAATACCTTTTTGGCCTTGTGAGGTTTGTTGATGATTTGGAGGTTAACTGAGGTTAACACCTCAGACCTTTTTCTGTTTTTCCTAAATAGTTTCTGTGGGGCCCACACTTCCCTAATAAGGGTGAAGGTTCATTTTGGGGGAAAGTGGCATGTGTCAAAAACATACACGTGAGTGCTGAGATGGGTGATTTCCCTGTGTACAAACAACCGGACAAGGAGCATTTTATCTGCCCGTGAAAATGTTACGGCTGATTGGTGTGTGCGCAGTCATTGTTTTCACACTGTTCGAATGTGTATGTCAAGTCATTTGTGCTGGTTCTGTGGACATAAACCCCACCTAGACCAAAACTTTGTGTTGGCGTGAGGCCGCTGTACAGATGACAGGAGGGGCTCGCTGGCATTCACCTAAATGTGACCCAAGCTTCTGAGTAAAAAAGTGTCCTCTTTGTTCCATTTGCTATTCTATGTTTTGTACAAAGGGAAAGCTAAAAAGAAAAAGACGGGTCGGCCTTCTGATTCCATTGAGGCCCTGCTCCCTGTGACATGCATCAGATCTTCTTCACTGCCCTGAGCAGTGGTAAGGCTGCAGCCCCTTCACATCCTCCTACGTTTACACCAGTTGGAGCAGTTAAACTGACGGTACACTTTTTTTCATTCATTGCTGTCATGGTTTCCAATAATGTGGCCCTTCGATCGGTTCCATTTTTCTGTTCTTACGAGCTTTCTTATAGATTTACTGATGCCATGACCTTCAGGAAGTACAGTATGTCTGTTCTTATGCAGTTCTTGAATGCATTTGCTTTTCCACCCCATTTATTCCCATCCTAATGCATCTCAAAAGAAGGCCGTGCCTGAAAGATCCAAGCCTATTGCAAACCCATTTCCAGGTCCTGTCATATGGTCGGTTACCGAGGACCGTGACATTTTAACGTTTTTTTTTTTTTTTTTTTTTGTCTAAGGACAACATTCGTTCCTCATTTATATCAATGTAAGGTTATATATGCATCAAGTGCACACAAATACATGAACACACAGTGGGATCCAGATGCCTGAGCCCGGCTTCAGGAGCTTATTCAAAACATGTGGAATCATATCATTCACCTCTGCAAGCACTGCAGGCATATTTGTTTACTCAAGATTTTTATAATTTGCATAAAAACAAGTCATCTGTACAGAAAAAAGCCCAGAAGGTTGCTTTTTTTCTCCTTTTTTGGTAATTAGCAAAGCAAGAGGAAGCTTTGCGACTCACAAGCAGTTTGTTGTAGTGTTGATTCATGTACACAACTCTTGAAAAATAAATTTGTTTGTCTTTAGAACAGAGAGATGTCCGTTTTTGAACATAGCTGCAGCCCACAAGTTCATATGTACATCTTCATGTTGCAGCTAATGTGTGACGTTGGTTTTGGTCAATTTGTGGACTTATTTATGCACAGTTCTTGAACCCTGATGAGCACACTGAATGACCACAAAGCTGCATCTGCTCCAATGTGAGCTGTGTATATTAAAAGAGCGATACAACAGTTATATATAAATGAAAAATGTTTTACTTTTAACCTTTGATATCAAAATGTCTGATGATTCCTACTGAGCACAGACTTCTGGACCCCAGTTTCCTAAAGACAAAAATGAATGATTGACTTAAACCTGTGTGTGTGCTTATATTTGTATTGTTGTGTTCCTCTAAAAATGTTTTTTCTATTACTTTCATGGTGTTTTAATTGGATTCAAATGGACTATTTTAGACAGTTAAAAAAGTTCCTCATGGGTGGATTGTTGCCCATTGGGGTGTCTGATCCACACTGGGGCACAATAATGTAGAACGAGTTGAATTCTGTGCCATGGATTACACCTGTGCAGTGGCTGGTGAGGGGTTTTACTGGCTGACGACTCGATCAATCAGATCTCCCTCCCCGTAGCTCCGTTAGCTATTGCAGTGCTCTGAAGGATCAGCAGATGGAAACGTGTGCACACCTAAAGGCTGCAGGCAGTCCCTATGTATAAAGAAAAGGCTGCATTATGTCCACCCTGGGTGAGATTATAGCCCTGTTGGATGCCAGATAAAATCTCTGGCTGGATATAATATGGGAAATTCTCTTTTTTTTAAATAAAAAAACATAAGCCATTTTCAGGCTCTCGGTATCCAATTTCTGTTGGTGTTCCGAAGCACTTTGCCAACATTCATATCTCACGTTGACTGTTTTCTTTTCAGTGTGTGTTTTTGATTCGGATCACAATTTGTTTTATTCAAAAGCAGTGTATCAACCAAGTAGAGACAGTAAAAAAAAAAAGTCTGCTTTTACAAATAATATATGAACAGATTGTAAAGAAGTAAGAACAATAAACGTTTCTCAGACAATTAAAAAATATCCGTATTCGCCTACTGATTCAGATCCTACAGAAGTCCTGTTCAGACATAACTGATAGCACTGACGGGTGTCACAGTTAATAGTGCGTCTGAGAGAGGACATCGAAACAAAACATTTGGTAAATTTGTCACTGGGTGCGATTCCTCTCTGGGAACAAACACTGATTGTCAAATTCTGAATCATCAGTCCAACAGTTCAGCCCGCCTGCTCTCCAATCCACCAACCAGTCACTGTAACACAACATAAATGTTTCCATTTTTCATCAGTATTGTTACCCATTTGTGAAGGAGCTGCTTCAACTTCAGGAAAAAACGTTCTAACGTCTAAACACCGGTGTTTTGACATTTCATTTGTGCCTCTACCCAACAAGTCAATCAGAAGTTAGCACTGGAAACACATGCATCTGGAAGTGTTAATAAAACCTGTGTTTGTGTCGTTTCATATATCACAGTGTGCGGCTGTGATGGTCCTCAAGCCATTACGTTGGATTCACATTGTCTCTCTAGTTGGTTATCTGGGGAAGGGAGGGAGGACAGGACTAATGATCGAAGGAGAGCTGAGAGGCACGATGGAGGAGAGGATGAACGAGTGGAGTGAGACTGCATGAAGTGAAATATTAGTCCAGACTGGAGGGCTTAAATGAGCCAATCGATGCTCTCCAATGGAAATAAATGAGTGTTGGGAAAGAGGGAATACATGAAGGCTGAGAGGGGAGAGCGATGGTTTAAAGGCCAAGATGGAAAAAAAAATGTTTAAAAAGCAAACAACTCTGACCATTGATGGTCATTGTTAGATTGATGAAGCATCAGAGGGGGAAAGAGGGGCTACCTGGAAAAAAAGTAGCCAACTGCTGTAAGGGTAATCCCCAGAGTATGACATGGTCCTGGTTTTTAAGAACAGTCCTACATGTCATTTACCCACCCATATGCAACAAGGTGTTAAGAGCCAGGAGAAACGTGGAGCCGGACCACTGACCAGGCACTCCTGGTTCCCCCTGAGCCACAGCTTCTGGTCGAACAAACACTGCCCTGCAAACTGACAATGCTGCTGCTCTCACAAAAACACGGTGCTTCGGCTGAATCATCCAGCAGCTCTGGAGCTCGCACGCAGCACCCCGACCACTGTGGCGTTGGGCGTGTAATGAGTGGTACTCAGTGGGACTGTGCTTGAATAACAACCCTAAGTTAAAAGCAGGGGATGTCACTTGAGCTTCATCAACGCAGTGCTCCGTGTGTACAGTCATCAACATCAGAGTAAGAATTTGATCACTGGACAAATATTGTCCCCCCCAAGTCAATGTGGATGAGTGTTTTGAGTGGAGGATCTCGACACGCGTCATGGCTTTTATTCGGAACGTCAGTGCTTATTCGGATCATCTGAAAGTATGTAACGCACAGTTCAAGTGATGCCCAAGCTGGACGAGGAGTGACCTCTGGCCAAATCCCTGGGACTGGTGGAAAGAAATGGACTCTAACTGATGAGGAAACGTTTTTTTTTTTGTTCACACTATTTTATATGTATGTTTGTTTGATATTTTCGTTTAAAAATGGAAACAGCAGCATTAATAATCCCGTTTTTATGATTACAGAGGATCTGAATATCTGTAACCCAGCATGATGTTGTTTTCTGATAACTAGGAGCTAGCTGGATTACTTGTCTACAGCTCTCCATAAAGTAAGTTTGGACTGGTTGTTCCATTTAATCTTTTCTAAGACTGACCCAAATGAAACAATGCCAAGCCTTTAAGCATCCCAAACTTCCCAGCTGACAAACATTTGAGCAGCCAATGTGCGAAAGCCACAGCATTTCGCTGGTTAGGAACATATATCCTCATTTATCAGGTTATACGACAATATAAGTGGCTTATGTGCAGCCTAAAGTTACAAAGACAGGGCGAGATGAGGCTGGTGATGATGAAAATACTCCATCACTGACAAAAAATATTTTTATTGAAACGCTGGAGAGCCGGTGCTGCGTTTGACTGAGTCGACGTCCCTTTCATCTGTTTGAGCCCCGTTTTCAGTTTATTCAAATAATCATATTGAAATGTAGCATTTGTGGGGCTGTCCTTTTGTATCATTAACCTGCTTAAGGTGCACACAGTAAAATGGTTCTTTTCTGTGATGGATGTCTGTCCACTCTTCTCCCTGTCACTGTGCCATGCTCATTTTATCCCTACCATGTGCTGGCAAAGTGACTTGGATCAGGGCAAACCAATTTTGCACATTTGACTCTCATTCATGGGGATGGAGAGACAAATATTGGCAAAAATCTGGCAGTGTCACTTCGCCGAGAAGAGACAGCTGACTCAGGCCGACTTGAGTCATCTCAGAGACAAAGAAAGCCAAGCTCAGCATAAACGCCGGTATCGTGCTGACATGTTGAAACTCTAGCTTCTAAGCTCCTTTAGAATTTTTGGATATGAGCATCTGGCCAGCTGTGCGTCTGTGTTTGTGAGCCGCATGAAAATAATGAAAGACCCAAAGTGGACCTGACTCACCTTTTAATCCTTTGCTGTATTTATTTATTTTTTGCTCACAGATGTGTGAAACGTGTCACATGTGGTCAAATGATTCCGCTGTGGCTGTTTGACTGAACGGGGAAAAACTGTAGCTGCGCTCCCTGAGGACCTGCAGCCTGGAATAACGTGCCCAACAATCCTTATCATTAATCATATTAAAGTTTTTAATTTTGCCTTACTTTGCTTCAAGCTGTTTCTGTTATACCTGATTTATTTGTGCTGCTAAAATGTTATTACTCAAATTCCCTCCGGGTGGTACTTACTCTCCATTTTGAAGCTGCCCTGTGAGGCCAATTCATTTCTTACTCCACCAAATTCTAAAAGTGGTCTCTGTCCATTTAAGTTATTTTTTGCAGTCCTTCTTAATCACCTCAGTCAAGTGTTACACACAGCAGGTGCTGACTTCCAGAAACTTTCACATAGAGGGAGACCCAAGATAAAGATCTTCGGTAATTTTGCGGAAACACAGAACCATTGTTGTCATTTAGGGTTTTTCATGCCACTTTTAAGCCTCACACAGTCAGTCGTTTTACATTTGTTCCATAATCTATGAATTTCAGTAATAATTCAAAATGAAATGGCATTCTAATAAAATTATTGGTCCAAGATGGTGGACTAACTTCAGTCTTTGCATGGGCCTAACTTTGTAAGGATCTAATAAAAGCAGTTGGAGCAGCAAAACCCAGGGAGGCTACAGCACGTCGAACCAATCTTCTTCACACTTAAGAGCATCAAGCCAGACCCTAAAAGCCAAGTGTTGGATTTCACTCAGGGAGAGAGTCCAGAAAACATTGCTCAGACGATAAGGTTATTGGGCACGAGACTGTCCACGAAAAGATGCTCTTTTATGAAGAGAGCCTTTGGGAATGGTTGTCAATGGATGGTATGCTCCTCCACACAATCCAAACTAATCACGGATCAGTTTATTTCCCGCCTATGGAACCTGTCAACGTCCAACCAATCGAAACCATTAAACCAGCGCGTTGTCACCAAAAGGGGAAATGTGTTTTTCCTTGTGTGTTAAATAGTGAGGAACACCCTGTACGAGGGGAAAATCCAACAGTGTTGAAAATGTGCTGACCGCTGTGTTTCTCAGACAGAAGACAGCTGACGCAAACACGCATCCAGTCCATCAGAGTCACCACAACACACCCCTTTGCTGTCTTGCTGACTCTGAGCTATACTTTGAACTTCTCAAACATCCAATATGAGCAGCATGACAGTCGCACACATGCCGGAGCAGCACATAGGACCAACCAATCCCACCCCCACCCCCTCCGCCATCAGGGGTGATTACACTGGATGTGATAACTGTATAGATTGCGTCTTGTACCTTTTAAAGGCTGGCTGTTTACTTTGGTGTTTAATACAATTTGCGACAGAGGCAGGTCCTAATAAAGCTGCGTGGACAGGCTGGGTGTGCGCGTGTTTGTGTGCTACCGAGTGCGCCGGTCTTTTCATTAAAAGGGCACAGTTGTTTGGAGGCGAGATGTTCTGCGCTGATTGCTCACCACTTAAATGAGAGAGCAGACACATTACCCACAGCTTTCTGCAAACTCCACCATTTACTCCCCCTTCTACACCTCCGCCTCCCTTGTACCTTTCACCCCCTGTAGTCCCCCGCTCTCTGGATTTGATTAGTCTCTCAGGCAGCAGGACCGGAGTGCTGTTTGCCGCACTAAAATCCATCTGCATACACAGCACTTGGTCCTGGGCGGTGGGTTAGACTCCACAGCTTCCCAGCCTCAAGTGCAATCCGAGCCATTAGGATACAATGGAGGCAGTGTAGGGCAACGATTAGGGCATGTCTGATAGAGTGAGGCCAGCCCAACGGTCTATTAAGGAGAGTCATGCAGCTGAACAATGCACTTACTCATCAGTTCCCTGACATTTTTCGTAAATGCAGTCACTAAAAGGTTGACTTGGTGGAAGAGAAAAATCTGCTTCTTCATTTTCTTTTCTATATTTTGAGTCTGCGTCATTTTAAATAGCTGAAAACAGCATTGAGGTGTAAAATTTGAAAGAGAAAGCAGAATGCAGTGATATCCAAATCATTTCAAGCCTTTGTCTAATTGAAAATTGTACAGGAACGACATTTCACATAACTGAAATTACATTTCCAGTTCCAAATTCTACATCTGATATGTAATATTTTCCATTGAACACTGGACTTACACAATCTAAAGCAAACTGATAAAACTCCAAACAACTTGACAATACAATGTTTGCTTATCCAACTACTATTTAGTGCATTAAAAATCGCGTTAAATTTTATTTCCCTCAAGGTTTTTTCACATTTTGAATTAAATGACACTTTATATTTTCATTTCAAGCCTGTTCAGAGACACATTTTCCACTTTTTGTTCTGCACTGTTGGTCTGAGAGCTACAGCTAATTACAGGTTTGCACATCATATGTTAAACGTTTTAAATATATATGAAGCAATATAGGCTTGTGATGTACAACCAGTCCAGGGGTTTTTCCCAGCCATTTGACCAGTGACGCCTGGGATGGTTTCCAGCCCCCCCCCCCCACTGAACTAGATTAAGTGGTTATAGAAAATGGATGGATGGATGAAGCAATTATACTCATATTGATTCTGAGAAATACCTCTAATTGTCTGTTCTTTCCCTAGCTTGTTGAAACATTAATGCAACTGGAGGAATTCAGTCATGAAATGTAATTATAATATAACATCTCAGCATAACTGCTTGTGATACTTATTGTAAACATATTGCTCTCCTAACTGAACATTTGCTATAGCAAATTTTTGATTGCAGGATTAATTTTCTTTCAATATTCTCACAATGTGGTTTAAAGTGTGTTTTAATATGGGCTGTCATCTTGAAAACAAGCCTGTTAGTGTCTGAGCCCTCTTGTTTTATCATTGCTCCTCAGTTTCATGTAAAGCTAATGTTAAGACTTAACTACTTAAGAACTTTTACTTCTATTTGTGAGAAATAGATAGGAGGCTCTTCACTTGTCTGTACAAAACAAATGTTTTTATGCTTTGGCAGCAACTCTCTGCAGATGACTCGTCCAACGCATCTCACTCAGTTTTACTATCTTTCACTCTTTGTACTTCTGACTACACTCTCTTCATCCTCCATGGTCAAATTCTCACATTTTCTTGGTAGCTCCATGTTTTCTACCAAATCCTCATTACTCTCTTCCTTCATTTCCGCTTCCACCCACCTACTTACTGCGTCATAAGAAGTTTTATGTGATTTATACAGTGTCATTTCCTGTAGCCAGGCTTTGATGTGGCTTTAAACTCCAAGAGAGATCAGAAAGACAGATATATCTGGAATGAAAGCTCATCTGTATACTACACCGTTGGCATAGCAACTGTCAACCCACTTCATTATTCCTCTTTGTATTCTATTATTCACTTTCTCCTTCACATATTTCTTCTCTTCATATTTCTCATACCACATATCTGACACATGCTGCAGGGCAGGGCTGCTCACTAACCTTTTCATCCAGAGTGCCGGTCATTTTTCCTCTCTGTCACTCTCCTATGCCTCCTTTACTCTCCATCTTATCCTGCTGACCACAAACCTTTGTTGGAAATATTAAGACATGTGAAAAATATACATTGCGGCCTGACACCATTCCTTTTTTCTGCCAGCTCCAATCTCCCCCTGGGCCCATGGCACACCTTTTTCCATTTACTCTACTTTACTCTGTTGTCAAACTCTGTCTCCCTTACTTTCTCTCACCTGTGCTCTCATGACCCTTTGAAATAAAATACATTTTAGAACATAATATTAAACAAACAGATTTTAGAAGAATGTATGAATTGTGCAGAGGAGCTAAAACTATATTTATCTTTTGGAAATTGACTGCATGTAACCTTTAAATATGAAACTGTGTTATTTACTAAAAGAAAAATACATATCTGTTTTTTTTTTTTAATTTGGCCAACTAGATAAAAAAATGAAAAGATTTGGTGATAGAGAGTCTTGTTTCTGCAGCAACGGTTCTTCATTTGAGAACATTGAGTTATGGAGTTCACCTGTTAAAGGTAACCAGCAGAACAAGTGGTTATAAAAACTCAGCTGTGATTCCATGGACAATATCTTAAGCTGTTCTTTGCCACCCTGCTCAAGTAATAAACATCTATCTTAAAAAATATTTTCTAAAGTCTGTATCTCTCAAAGTTGAGGGCAGGTTCAGGTGATCAACCCTCCTCTACTGGTTTCATCTACATACTTAAACTGATTGACACACTGGAAAATATTTGAGAACCCTGCTCACCCTATAAATTACATAATACATCCTTCCCCCGTTGTCAACTGAAGCTAAATAGATTGGATCTCTAGCAGTGCATTTATGATCATTGACCCTTGATTATTGGCTGATATAGATTATATCAATTTGTCAAAACAGCCTCTCCTCACATCTGACCCATCACAAATGGATCCAGGGCACATTCTCATGTTTGCTGAAAATTACAAGGAAGACAGGGAAGAAATAATCCACTGACAGAGCTTTATGTAAATACTTCAGAGAAGACTCAATATATACAAGACTAAATATACCACTGAATATTGACAGAAGATTATAACATATTCATTACAGCACTGTTCCCACATTTCATATTGGACTACTGTCCATGCAAATGACACATTAACCGTGCAAACAAGGCCCCAGCATAAAGCAGATGTTGTAGCTTGGACGCTTCATATGATTTTTTTTTTTTAAATTGATGTCTGTCTGATTGCATAACAGAAGGGTGGGTTGACCTGTTATAAGGAAATGCTCTAATCCGCACCCACACAGTTCCATGTCTGCTCTCATCCGATTAAGGTACGCAAAGCACTCAGAAAAAGAAAATATTAAATAGATTAGACCAGGTAGAGCAGTCTAATTACGTGGTACTATGATCTTGACCTTCCTATGTAAAGCACTCTAGAAAGAGAAATATTATTATTTGGCACTGGGCTTATAATTAATTAAACTAGATTTGGGGACTATGGTTAAACTTATATCTATTAAGCAGGCTGAGATGAGGTCAAATTATAAAGTGAGCGGAATGGCATGGCAGCACATTCAATTAAACAGTTATTCCATTATGCACATAGTTATGTGCATAGAATTTTAGGGAAATTATAGCATGTTATTAGATTTGAGGTCGTTGAGGATGTGAACATATGCCATCATAAGCAAACATGGTGTCTCCATGGGGACATGTCTGGATTATTTACTGGGGGGGGCAACCTAGTTCCTCTTTGTTGTTTTGTCTTGTTTGGTACGGTTTTTTATTTGGGTTTTGCTTCAAATGCGGTCTCGATTTGTTAATTTGAGTGCCCTTCATCAATAAGTATTTCAACAGGTGTTGAAATGCCTCCCTCTCTTTGTCACAGTGGCAGCAACTGCGAATGCAATGAGGATCAGGTTTTTCTGGGGCACCGGTAAAAATAATAACCCCGAAATAACCCCGGGTAGCATTAACCAGCCGTTCGGTGGCCAGCACTTTCGAAATCCCTGCCACCTGTTTCCAGCGCTTCTTGCGCCTCTTTGATGCGGGCCAATGGGAGCGAGCGGCGGATCTGGAGGCGGAGAGAGGAGGCAGAGAAGTTCGAGGAGAGAGTGAGAGACAGATTCGCAGAGACAGGGAGCGGAAGACTGAGTGTTAGTCGGTGTTTCCTCATATTTAGTCCAACACAGCCGCTCTTCTTTGGAATCTTAATTAACACCCAGCACCCCCCCCCCAAAACCCCACCCACCCCACCCACCCTCCCGTTGATGCTGCACATTTATTGACGTGCAGCCACAGGTTGGCCGATTTAATCCTGTTTCCATGGATTATTTCTCCCCATCTCGTGCCGGCTGTCCCTGACCGGATGGAAATGGGAAATCTGCCGTCGATACATTTGCGATGACCGAGGGAGACACAAACTGATCTTGTGCACAGAACGGAGACGGAGGCAACATCTGTGAGGAGCGACGCGCTATTTCACGGAGCCGAGGACCTGTGGAGGACCTAGAGGGAGACAAGCCAAACAGATGATGGGATGGCCGTGCCAACATGAAAAAGAAAAAGTGCGGTGGTCTGCTTCTATCCAACCAGTGAATCGACCCAACTAACCTGGGAGAGAAAAGGTCGGAGGTAGGTAGAGTAGATGGACAGACGGGAAGGATGGGGGTGGAGGGGTGGAGGGGGGGGGGCGTGAAGGTGTCTGGTTATATCACACTGAAAGTAGGTTATTGTTTTGCATCAATCAGTGGCAAGTAACTGCTTCCAACTTATGGTGGATGAAGCTTTACCATGCTCACACTTCTGCTGTTTTGAAAACTGCCAGATGCGAAATTATTTTCCTTGAGTCTCTGAGCCTGATCTCATTTCCACAGTGTCAAGCCAGAGGATTCCCCCCCCCCCCCCCCCCCCCCCCCCCCCCCCCGCCCCCCTCCTGGCTAACAACAGTGTAACACAGATGACATTTTATTGAGGAGATTGCTGGAAGCACTGTGGGATGTGAGAGAACAGGACACGGGGAAACAGAGAGAAGGAGTGCTGAGGGAGGCTGACTGGGCAGCTGACTCAAATGTGACTCAAAGAACAGCTACCCCAAATACGACAGCCTCTTTCACTTTGTTTGCCCGTGTGTGTAAAACATCCTTGGCATTTGAGTTTAGTATTTATTTTCGTTTCTTTCTTCTTTTTTTAAAGATGCATTACAGTGTACAGTATACTCAGATGAGAACAGGAGTTCTCTGGAGTGTTGTGTTCCTCCTCACAGTTCTCGTCTTCTGTGTGTGTTTGACTGCAGACAGGTGACCATGGAGCCCCCCCCCTCACTGAGCTTGGCTCTGCTCGGAGGCAGCGAGGATGAGGATCAGCGCTTCCTTCTTCCTCTGGGCAGCATTTCCCATCCCTCCACCGCTGGCAACCAGCCAGGTTCCAATCACTCCAACCACACGGGAGGTTCAAGCCTCGACCGTCTAAATGGCAGCACCCCGTCCCCGGCACCTGCCACGCCCAATTTGCCCCCTGCATCGCTCCCTAAGTTGCCCCTCTCGTCGTCTGGAGCCCAACCTCTCCCCCCGCCCATCCCTAATGCCCTGCATCCCACCAGCACTCCTCTCTCCTCCTGCCTGGGCTCGCAGCACAGCCTGAGTGGGGACAACTCCCCCGTCTACAACGCTCTTTTTTACTCCTCCCACTCGCCCTCCATGGATAGAGGGGATAGAGATAGGGACCGTGACAGAGAGAGAGACAGGGGCAGCAAGCACCGGCAGGCCAGCCCTCTGGTCCACCGCCGGGACAGTAACCCCTTCACGGAGATCGCCATGAGCTCCTGTAAGTACACAGGTGGGGTCATGAAGCCCCTGAGCCGCCTCAGCGCCTCGCGCAGGAACCTCATCGACTATGAGAACAGCAGTGAAACCAAAGAGGGGGCGGTGGCGGCGGTTGCCGGGTTGACGGCGGCCGGTGGACACGACCGGCCGCGGGACACCCTGTCCACCTGCTCAGTGACCCAGTCCTCGACCAATCAACCCCCCATTCAGAGCCCCCCAGAGATCGTGATTTCATCCAAAGAAGACTCTCCGTACCCCAGAGGGGGGTATGACATCACGGACTCCACATCCAACCAGATGTCCATCTACCATCAGAATCATGCACTAGTGGAGAGCCGGCGAGCTCAGTCAGGACGCAGCAGCAGGCAGGGAGGGGTGGGACCAGTGGCCCCCGGGGCCAGGGGCAGCACCTCCAAGGCCTCCAAAAGGAAGAACCAAAACATTGGCTATAAGCTGGGGCATCGCAGGGCGCTGTTTGAGAAGAGAAAGAGGCTGAGCGACTATGCCCTCATCTTTGGAATGTTTGGCATCGTTGTCATGGTGATTGAGACAGAGCTGTCATGGGGAGTGTACACTAAGGTGAGTAGACCCACTCTAATATTTATACTCATGAAGACTTGTCTGGTAGTGTAATGTGTCTGGAGGAGCAAGGCCAAGTTTTAAAAAATCACCCCGTTGAAAACTGCAAACTCAGAAGGACTGCCTCCAAACAGGCTCAGAAATTCATAGAAGAAAGGAGGATTCACTAAATGTGTGCTTAAAGATGCGTTACAAAACAAGCTGCGTACAAACAAAAAAGAAAAGATATTAGATCATTATTAGAACTATAGCAAAATTTGGAAATATTTATATATCCGAAAAGAATTTGTAACTAAAGGTGCTCTAAAGGATTTTTATCTTAAACAATCATTTTAGGGCCTGAAACTCAACAACCAACATTTTCGTGGACCAACGGGATATTTTTCTGCACACAGTCAAACTTAAGTCCTCACATGTGTAATTGATGGGTTTTAGGCACAAAATGAATCAGTTCCTTCTCCTTCTCCGTCTCTCTGATTGATTAATTGATTAATTGATTCATTGATCACTTGCTTTCTGCAAAGAAAAATAAAGGCACACATGTTCTTGATGTGATATTGTTCACCGACAACCTTGTGGGTTGAGTCAGATTCTTTTCTTGGACTGCGTAGATTTTTAACTGGCTTCCAAGGTGTTTTCATTTTGTTTTTAGTTGAAAAGTAATACCAAACTGCGGAGGTGTGTGTGTCGATGTGTATCGTGGCACACAAATTGACAAATGTCACACAAAGTAGTGGCAGAGTGGTTGTTTGTTTGTGCTATGTCAGGTCCTCTCGTGTTAACTTTGCCTCCATCGTGCTGGTCTGATCTGTTCCGCCTGCATGTTGTTGGGAGCCACTGAGCAGCGATGGGAACTGATGGGAGCATTTGTCTGAGAGCTCATCATCCAGATTTGGGTTTGTATTGTTGAGCCTGCGGGTCAAACACACCCCATTTTTGGCTCATTTGGAGATGAGCCAAAAATGTTTCCTGCAGCTCAGCCTGACCAGCTCTGTGTACATCTTGTTGGAGGGTGGGTTGGGTGGATGGGGGGGGCTGTGTACTGTAATGACCAGGGCTGACAGTTGCTGCTTCCGGGTGATGTAATGCAACGATGCAGAGGACATGGGGGGCAGATTATCAGGAGGAGGCTGGGATCTCATTTGTCTGTGTAATGGGCAGTGTAATAAGCTGAACTGGCCCCTGGCTGCTATTGTGTGTTTATTTTGGGCGTATTTATGTGTGTGCGCTCGCTCGCTCGTACGCGCGTGTGTGTGTTTGAGAGTCTCTGAGCATCTTACGCTCACCTCTCTGATTCAAACACTCTCCTGTCATCGTCCTATTCTTCTTTTCAGTCTGACACATCAGAGAGGCTTGGTTTTCTGAAGCTAATGAGCTAGAAACATTACTTCCACCCATGCAGTTTGTCACTGATGGATCATGGATGATGTGACGGAGCCAGTGGGATCTTGTGAGCGCACAGGTTTACAGGTAGTCTTTAGAATGGGCCGACCAGATCTCCCTGTCCGTGTTTTACTCAGTGGTCTCCAGCTGATCGCACTGGTCGCTCTCTGTTGCTGTCATTGGCTGAAGAATCCGCCCGTTCTTATGTTCTGTGCTGCCCTTTCACCTTTGTCTCGCACTCATTACTTTCTGAAAATCACTGTTTCAGACTCGGTGTCTTTTTTGTTAATGAAAATGCACAGCTCGGAATTTCTCTTTGAATCCCCTCTCGTCTCTTTTCCTCTCAGCTGTGGTGCCATTCTCCTCCTTGAAGGAGATGGCCGACACTTTTATGTCCTCCTTTTTCCCCGTCTGCCCCTTCTTTTTTGATTTCAACTGCCTACCTCTCTCTCCTGCTTCCTTTTTTCCCGTTTTTCTTTCATTATTTTTTCCCCTCACTTCCTCACTCCCTCTGCTCCCCTGCTCTTGCAGTGGGCGTCACACGGGGGGGCGGGGGGGTGTGTGTGATCGGAACAGAGAAGCGCCTGGGCGAGAATGAAATTCTGTGGAAGGAGAGAAGAAAGGAAAGGCGATAATGAAAAGCCTGATTTAGTTTCTTAAGTTAATGCAGTCCTCCTCTAAAACAGGCAATATTGTCTATCAGAATAAATGAACTGATCCGTTCATTTGAGCAGATTGAGCAGAATGATCAGTGTGTGTCCATTTCCATGGATTAAGATACAATCCTTAGAAAACTTTGGTTGCAACTTCAGAAAGAATGATATGCAGGAGCCTCATAGTTTATCCCAGGAAGGTCCCTCCCACATGCTTGATTCGTTTTTTCAATCCAACAAAACACTAGAGGCCCATCAGACGGCTCAAACTCTCTCTTAGATAATTGAAGTGGATAGAAACCTGCTGGTTGTGGTTGTAAAAATGGATGGAGATCGTAAAGATAAAGGAGAGGTTGGAAAGAGAGATGAATGAGATGATGGCTCACAGAAAAGTGGAGGTTCAAGCACTGGTTTAAAGCAGTCTAAGGTCGGAAGCTTTGAAGGATTTCATGTATTGATTACTGATAATCACTCACCCACACATGCACCATCCGCCCCCACATGCACACGCAGTGCAAACTTGTACAATGAAAATGGCTGCTGATATTTTTTCAGTAGGGCTATATCGTGTGATGTTATTGACAAGCACTCTTAAGAGAGGGAATGAGCGCTTGAGGCCAAAACTGTCAGGTAAAGAAACACCTTTTTTTCACAATAGAAAATACATCTTTATATCTTTATATAGACTTCTTGTTTTTGTTTTTTTAATTGTTGTAAACCAAGTGTTTCTCCACTGTATTTTTCCAGTGTTTGTATAGCTACCAAAGCTCCTATACTTGCCAAAAATAGAGCTGAAGAATAAGAATGGCACTAAACAGGGTGGGTTGGATTCCGCCCTGCAAGCGTGTTGTTGTGTGCTTCAGGCGGGGAAGAGGTTAACAGAGGAGGACTTGTTGCTCATGGCTGTGGGCATCATGGCTTACAGCTGTCCATTCACTGCTTTCATTGCTTTGCGGTGTCTGTCTATCCTTTTCCATTTTCGTGGGATCGCGGGTTCTGAGATCTGTGTGTTAACTTTTGCTTTCTGTCAAAACTCCTCCGCTTTATGAAAAGCAGCTGATATTAAGCTACAGCTCTGTAGGTATCCAGTCGTCACTGTGATGAATTATGCAAAGAGAATATTGCATGATGAAATTATTTATGAATATGAAATTATTTCATTTGCCCTGAGGCAGAATGGTGACTTTTCACACAAAATGCCTGACAGATGAAAAGAAAATCAAGCCTTTTTATCCCATTCCCAAAAGTAATCTCAGCTGTAAATGTGTTGCTTTTCTAAATCTGCATGTTTGCTTAGCTCCTAACCAGTGGCAGCATTTAACAGCGGCGTAAAGTCAGCATGTCGTATGAAGCCTGTCGCTGGTCTCATTTGGAAAGGGAGGCTCTGTTTGAGACAAACTGAGCCTCTGTGCCACTTGGGACCTTAGCATGTGGCCTGTCAATGTCAGATCAGTGGGACACTTCACAAAGGCCCATGTGGCTCCCCGGGGCCGCGCCCCATGCCGTGTTTCAGGCCTGCCATGCAGCGGAGCTATTCTGAGGAAATGCGCAGCTGTTGTCAAATTCACCTGTCACAATATCAGCACACACATTTGATGTGTTATGCAAATGGATGGGGTATCAGATGTGATATACTATACCCACACCCAATCAGGGCATTTACAGGCACAAAGTATATGTGCACAAACATTCCTCTCAGCATAAAAACCCAGTCATGAACCTTTTAATTCTTGCCATTTGAAGGTTTTTTATGCCTGAAAGCACATTAAAAACCCAACACTGTCAGTACGTTTGGACTGAATAGTTGTTTTGACCAATTAAATGAAAAGCTAAAGTCACAAGAAAGTTAGCACTCAACTAACTTTTTCTCTTATCTTGTGATAGCTTTTGACTCCAAGGTGAGCAGAGAAACCAAATAAACTGTATCCTCAATATCAGTTGACTTGAAAGAATAATTACATCGTGCTCCATTAAAAAAAAAAAAAAACACTCCTTTCTCAATATAATCGAGCCAAGGCCATGATTTATTGTATGCTCAAGGAATGCAAGTCTTTCAAGATCTCTCCTTTCCCTCGGCTGAAAAAATAGTGTAATCGCTATTTATCTACTGCCCGCAGCAAGTAACTGCATTGTAAAATGTGCTTTGTTGCTAAGCTACCTGTTGCCATATGTTGGTAATTATCTTAATGACTGCAAAAAGCACTCCATATATAATTAGTGGAATTTATCCATATTTATTGGAACGGCACACAGTATTTTTTTGTGAGATTATGGAAAGAAGAAGTCTCCATAAGAAAGAAGAGCATTAGATCGTTTGACATTTTTCTACATCTATTAAAAGGGTAATTAAATATTTCAAATCAATTTTAGGATGTGACTTGAGAATATCCGGTGACAGGTTACAGGACGTTGATGAAATTATTATTGTGTGCTGCAGCCTTCCTGTCTGAAATGAAGTATGCAGTGTTTTTCACCGTTTGCCTTCATTTCAGTACGTACATTTTTTTCAATGTGCTGTCCCTGGTGCTGAACATGTCAAATAGCTGAGCATCACAGGTGGTGTTTTCCAGTTGTCGCTACAACATTTTGTGCTGATAAACTTTGAACAACAAGAGATATCGCAAATATGGTTGTGGCAATGTGGGATTTTTTGATATGCAACATGAACATCTTCCCATTGGAAAAACTTGCCCCTGATCCAATATGGCGGCTTTCAAAATGGCAGCCATGATCTGGACACAGCCTACAAGATAGGCCCCTTCACCTGCCTGCTGTGATATTCAGATGTGTCATTTTCCCTTTTGTTTCTAAAATAAAAGTTGTCCTGTGACTTTTGACTCTTGATCCTGTACATATTCTTCCTAAATCCAGGAATACTTTGTGTCAGGGACTTACGCTGTTAAGCTAATTATTTACATGTCTTTGGCCAACGTGTTTGTTTTGTTTAAATTGAATAGTTTTTTA